TTTATAAAGTTAACTAATAAATTTATATACTTTATTTATTTTATTAACTTAAAAACCTCTTTATTTTATATAATATAAAATTATTATTTTACTACCTCCTTTATATTATTCTTAAAGTAACTCTAGTTTTAAATTAATAATTCCTTATTAATAATTTAAACCTTCTTTATTATAAATTATAAGGACTCTCTTACTTATACTATTTATTATTAGAGCTATAAGCTAAACGTTTATAAGACTAACTAATAGGTCTATACACTCTACTTATTTTATTAATTTAAATAGCCTCTATACTTCTTATAATATAAGATTATAACTTTATTATCTTCTTTATATTATTCTTTATATAACTTTAGTTTTAAATTAATAATTCTTTATAAATAATTTAAACCCTTTTTTACTATAAATTATAAAAACTATTTTATTTATATTATTTTATAAAAATATTTAAATATTTTAAATAAAACTTTTTAAAATATTATAAAAAAATATTAAAAATATTAAAAATACTTTCTTTCTTTTAATATTATTTATATCGGTTAGCTTAGCTTATATGTAAGAAGTAGTTAATTGAAATAGTGTGTATTTATGTTTGTTAAAGGTCTGCCTAGCTAGGTGGCGAAGCGCCTAGTTAGGTTGGCTAGACCTACTAATTAAGCTAGGTGGTCTATATATAGGTACGAACCCACTAATCTTACTTGTAGTGGCTAATCTACTGTAGCCTAGTATTCCTATACTAATACCTTTTTAGTCTTCTAAAATCTTCCTTCTAGCTAATTAGAGAGCTCTATTCTATTAATAAAGTAGGTTCTAACTAAATCACTCTAATTACTTAAAATTGCTACCAAATATATGATTGCAATTTGCTCGATTTAAGCGCCTAAAAAAACGTTTTAAATTAACGTTTTATAAATCGCTTAAATTACTTAAATTCGAATTGCTTTAATAGGTGAAATTAAGTTTGAATTGCTAATTATTTATTAGGCTATCTGCTAGGTAGTCGCCAAGCTATTACCTAATTATTTATTAACTATAACTAATTATTAGTTAATCTATAACTATTAGTTAGTTTAATTAGTTTTCTAATAATTTCTTTATTTTCTTTTATAGCTTAGCTAGTTAAGGTGCTTTAGTGTATATTAAATAGGCTTTTTTTAGTTAAAGTAATAATTATTAAAGTTATTAAAGTTATAATTATTATAATTATTACTATAATTAAAATTGTTGTTTAAATAATAATTGTTATCTTATTTAAAGTCTTTATTTAAAGTAAAGTTTAGTCTATCTTTATTTAAATAATAATCCTCCTCTTTCTTATAGTCTTTATTTTTACTAATAATATAATTATCTTTTTAAAAAGGTTTGGTAGAGTGAGCTGGGGTGAAGCTATTAAAGCCACTATCATTACCACTATTAAGGCTAGCAAAGCCACTATTTATAAGGGGTTTAGGTCTAAGCTTAAATAGCTTAAAGGTTATTAACTTTAACTTTAGTTTAGAAGGAGGTAGTTACTTTTACTATTTTTACTTCTTATATATTATTAAAAGTAGATAGAAAGTTACCTTTTTAAATTTATTTTAAGGCTATTTAAATAGATTAAATTAACCTTTACTTATTTAAAGGATTTTATTAAGGTTAATAAAGGCTTTAAGTACTTCCTTTTTCTTTTTAATATAAATATTATTATAATAGAGATACTCTTAAAGCTTTTAAAGAACTCTATACTTAATCTTTATAAAGTTTTAATCCTTAAAATATTCTTAAAAGTTATAATAAAAGGTTTATTAAATTTAATAAAGTAACTATAATTAAGGTTAGTTTTAATATATTAAAGGATTTATAAAGACTTATAAATTATAGATTCCCTTTAAATAATATACTAAAAGATTTTTATAATAATTATTTATATAATTAAAGATTTAAATTATTATATATATTAAATCTAGGTTAATAAATCTTAATAGATATTATTAATATACTTTTTAAGGGTTATATATAACTTTAATTTATAGCCTTTATATTATGGGTAGGTGATAGGTTAGTTGGTAGGTATTGCGGTCTCTGTGGGTCGCTCTGAGAGGTTGTCTGATGTGAGAGAAGAGCTTATTGCCGGTATCTATAGTCTGATGGTTCTTCTAGTATATTGTGAGAGAGAGAGAGAGAGAGAGAGAGAGTGGTTATAAAGAGGTTTACTTGCTTGCTTACTAAGTCGCTTGCTTGGGTGACATAGGGTGGGTTGGCAAGGCGCCAAACGGGCTACTAAATGCTAGTTTGAGGGTAGGCTTGAATTGTCGGTTGTAAGAGAGAGATTGCCCGACAGGTAGAAAAGGCTGCTATAGCCATCCATAGTCTGATACTTCTTGTAGGCTGTTACAAGAAAGGTTTATCGTAAGAAAGAGAGAGTTGCAAGACTTGCCCAGTAAAGGGGTCCTGCTTAGCGGTCGATTACGCCTACGGGTATCCGCAAACGACTTCATCCTCTTCAAATTATAGCACCTACAGGCATCTACAGACGGTTTTAGCGATAGCTTTAAGTGTACCGTACCTTACTATTAGAAGCTAGTTGGTAACTGATTAGTGTCGGTTGGCTTAGCTTACGCGTAAGAAGTGGTTGATTGAAGTGGTATATATTTATGTTTGTTAGAGGTCTGCCTGGCTGGGCGGCGAAGCGCCTAGTTAGGTTAGCCAGACCTACTGACTAAGCTAGGTGGTCTGTGCGTAGGTACGGACCCACTAATCTTACTTATAATAGCTAATCTACTGTAGCCTACTATTCTTATAATTTATTAATTTATTAAACTTAAATTTATTAAGTTAATTATTTTATATATAACTTTAAATATATATAATATTTATATATTATTAATATACTTTTAATATTATATTAAAGTTTATAAATAATTTATAAAAGTTATAAAAACTTATATTAACTATAAAAGTTAATCCTTTTTATAAAACTTAAAAAATTAAAATATAAAAGTTATATAAAAAATTTTTAAAGGAGAAATATATATTTAAAGGAAGAGGTAATTATAAATAGGTAATTATAAAGAAGTAATTATAAAGAGGAAGAGGAAGATAAAGATAAAGATAAAGATAAAAATAAAAATAAAATAATTTAAAGAATAAAAAAACTTAAAATTACTTTAAAAAACGAATCCTTCTTAACTATTCTTTATATTTAAATAAATAAAGTAACTTTTAAATTATTAAAATCTTATTATATAATTTTTAAACCTTAATTCTCTACCTCTTATAGATAGGGTTAACTCTTATAGTTAGTATAAGTCTTATAGTAGGTGTAACACTTATAGAGGGCCGTAATGCTTGTGGATCCCCTCTATTTGTCAGTACGGTACTATAGAATGTAAATAAGTGTACTTACCTAAGTCTGTGCTAGGTTGCCCAATCAGGCGGCTAGCAGACTTGGTATGGCTGTAGGGCGGCCCAAATTGGCGTCCGCCGTCACACCGGCTGCCGAGAGGTAATACAACTCAATGGAGAGGAAGGGACCGCAACCCGCCTGCCAAAACCTGTCAAGTGGTCGTACACATTCTGTGTATGCTATGAAGGCAGATCTGTCATCTCTTATCACTAAGTGCTCAATATTCCCTCTTACCCAGACGTACAACAAACAGTATTTGCAGTATAACGTCACAAACTCGACGGTCATTTTGTTGAACATTGCGTTCCCAGCCCCAACCCTGTTGCCCGAATCTCTACTTAACATGGCCACGAGCGATGTCGTCTTTCTTCCCCTTAAATCTCTAAACAATCCACCACAGATCAGGTAAGCCCAAGCTTAGTGGCTGATATAATTGAGGCTGATCAGGCTGGAAGTGTCATCTTCGTCCACGACTTTACCAAAGATGGCACAATTCATGAGAAGACACAGGAATGGGTGAACTCTATGCCGCCACCCGATAACGCTGCCCAGACTTTTCGATTCATATACCGAATCAGGTTAACTAAGAATGAAGCTCTAGCTATAATAGCGGCTATAAGAGCTATTCCAGAATTCTTATATAAGCTCCTATCTATCTCTTAGTTAAAGAGCTTAAAGGGCTGCCTATTTAGTTATCAGACCTTAATATTATAACTACAACTAGGGGGTTCTAGCTATAAGATTACTTATAGTTTAATAAAGATAAGGTACGATATTTAATTCGAAAACAAGTTAAAACGACTAGAAAAAGGCCTAAAGATGCTGGGAGTGGATATTAGCAGGGTTTAAGAATACCGCTGAGAACGTTAATACCACAGGCATGAAAGTGATAAAATTCTTAGATTTTCCAGGTGGATTGATTCTTCCAGATCCATTAGGGTATGTATCGGGAGACGCCTCTAAAAGGGCGCGAACAAAGCCTACCATTCCCGGTGTACATACACCCTTGCTCGATTCTCGTGGTGGCCCTAGGTATGGCCGGGATATGTCCGGCACAATGGATTGCGAAGCCGTGGAGAAGTGAAGCGCCCGTTGGGTATCCACTCAGCTGGCGTCTTCTCGGGCAATCTGGGTTGAGATGGTGTAGCGCCGTCATTCCACCCAACATCCTCCGAATCCTTCAAGCCCTGGATTTCCAGACTGGGTTCCCAACTCGCAGTTCAAAGCCTTGCTTGGCTGGCGCAAATGAAGGGCTGACCTCTCAGCTCTGCCTGTAGGGCGATCACATGTTGAGTCTCACCACTTGCAATCGACGTGGGCACCATTCATTTCCGGCTCTCAGGTGCAGTCTACCTCAGTACCTCGATGTGGATACGGTGTTGAAGTCCTAATGGTATGCTGGCTGAATGCCTGAGACGTTCGAGCTGTTGAACCCGAGCGGCAAGCAGCTGCAGCCGACTACTTACAGAAGCCTCACCTCACCGAGCGTGTGTTACACAACATACACGAGTGACATTACTAGCGATACGGCTGGGCGCGTATGCATCCTTCCAGAGGTGGGGTAAGAAGCGTCTCCGGACGCTCGCTGCACTTCCATCCCCTGCACTGCGTCCCTGTTTGCTCTCCCACCGTGTCCTCTCTCTCAAAGGCTTTTGACGCGAGATCCTCATCGCATGTTCACACGTCGAAATGGCTGCACGCAATGTTCTTGTAATAGGTACTGTCACAGCGGTCCATGCTTCTTGATTATCAACTGGTGTACTGACTTCCGGTTAGGTGCAAATAGAGGCTTGGGACTTGGGCTCTTGAAAGTTTTCAAGGAAAAAGGATACAACATCTTCGGCACCATTCGACCGGAAACGAGATCTGATCCCTCATTCAAAGATGTAAGTCAGCATTAGCCTCCGCGTCCCGACGAAACTAGCAGATCTGAATGGCAACAGCTCGAAGCAACCGGGGCTACGATCATCAACCTCGACTATCTGAAAGAAGATAGTATTGCTGATGCTGCAGAGACTTATGGCAGCGACAAAGCGCTCGATGTTCTGGTGAACTGTGGCGGCGTGGAAATGCACCCGGAAAAGTGGACGGACACAACCGCGGAATCGCTGATATACAAGTATCGTGTCATGACTGTGGTATGTTTTGTTATCACTCTTCTTGAAATGAAATCGTGTCTGTTATCTCCCGCGGCTTTCAAAGTCTCACATACTTGATGCAGGGACCTTTCCTCGCGAGCAAATACTTCCTACCCAGCCTACAAAGAAGCGAGTTTGCCAAGATCGTCAATATTACTTCAGAGTGGGCTTCCATCGCAGGTAAAGACAATGGCTTGAATTTCTTTTTTTTTTTTTGGCGAGGAGACTGATTAAGGCAAAGCAAACGATTGCGGAACACACATCAGTTACCGCGTGCCTAAGTCAGCACTCAACGCACTCAGTATCTCGGTTTCTCAAGAGCTCAAGACCGCAAAGGAGAATATTGCGGTGCTTTGCGTGGATCCCGGCGATGTTCCGACTAAATTAAGCAGATGGGAGGGATGGATCAATTTCGATGATTCTGTTCGTGGTATGTATGAGCAGATTGAGAAAGCCACTATCAACGACACTGGCCTGTTTGTCAACTGGCAAGGTCATAAGTGGCCTTATTGAGAGATGAGACCTTGAAAAGGCTGTATGTTCATGCTCCGCTTGGCTGCCGACGATTGCATCTGGGAATGTTGGGAGAGGCGGGTCATATGTAAAAGGGCTATGGTATCTAACTGGGGGACTTCGGTAGCTTAGAGCGGGCCACTCGAATCTGATACGCAAACATTGAGTGCACAGGTTGGTCTGTCATGATGTTTCAGTTTGACTACCTTGCTGGGCCTAAGAAAGTGTTGTTCCCCACGATTTCCCATACTACTCAATATCCGAAGAATGCAACCGAGGCGATGGCCAACCCTTCAATTCCAGCCTGCAGAGAGGGCTCAATCTCTGGCGCAAATCTTGGGTTGTGATTGAACGGCAAATCGGCCAAGGTACCATTCCTTTCGGCCTCGTCATACTCCTCACGTGGAGTCACACCGTAGTTCCAATAGACGTATGGGATCGGCTTCTCGCCTGGCGGATGTGCCAGAAGAACGAAATCATCTGCAGTAATGTCAAGGTCCATCTGGATGACCTTTTGCGGAGCCTCGTCGCCGTAGAAGATACGAAGTGCCGAAGTGAACTTGTCTGTCGCCTCGCTGTCGTTGTCAATTGGAGGGCAGCTGGCAGAGGTCACAATCCGGGGCTTTTTGGGAGAATTGGCAGCCTGACACTCCCCTTCGATGATGCGCTTCACCGCCTCGACGGCCCTTGTCTGTATATCCTTGTTGAACGACCGAACGTCGACTTTGAAGTCCGCGAACTCCGGTATGATACTGGCGTCCGTGCCGCCATGGAAATAGCCACTGGTGACTGCACACGGTTCCTTGAAATCAATCTCTCTAGCGACAACCATCTGAAGGCGTGAAATGATGGTGCTCGCCATCAAGATAGGGTCGATTCCCAGCTCAGGCGTTGATGAGTGTGTTCCCTTGCCGTAAACACGAACAGCCAATGAGTCGAGAAAGCCCAGTACGCGGCCGCGGCGAGTGCCGATGGTGCCCGCCCTCGTCGGGACGGCATGCTGACCAAGAACGATATCAGGCAGAGGTATTTTACCAAAAAGGTCGTCGTCAATCATGGCCCGGGCACCAAGCAGTCGCTCCTCATTTGGTTGAAAAACGCAGATCAGTGTGCCCGACCAAGAATCCCTCACTTTTTTCAGTAGTTCTGCAGCGCCCAATAAGCTGGCCATATGCATGTCATGACCACAGCCATGCATGACCCCCTTCACAATTCCATCAGTGTCCAGCTGCTTCGCTGTGCTGGCGTAAGGAAGCCCCGTGTCCTCCTCCATTGGCAAGGCATCCAGCTCTGAACGGAGCAATACTGTGCTCCCTTCCCCGTTGGTCAAGATACCCACAACTCCATGGCCACCTATGTTTCTTTCGACCTTATAGCCGAGAGACTCGAGATGCTCAGCGACAATAGCCGCAGTGCGTGACTCTTGGCCCGGTAGCTCAGGGTTTTCATGGAAATCTTTGTAGACTGATACGTATTGTTCCAATGACGGGAAGTGTTGTTTGAAGATATGACGCCATTTATCGAAGGAAAGAGAGAGCTCTGTGTTTTGAATCTGCATGGTGGGTTGAGCGAATTAGGGATAACACTGACTGATGAAGCCAGGACGACGGAGTGCTGACCAGTTGGGGGCTCCAGGATCGTTCCACCAACGGTAGATGCGGAGACCTGTAGTTGATCGTGGACTTTTATAACTGTTGCTGTTGGATCCTGTGGGACCAGTCACACCCTCGCCAAGGCCCCTGCCTGGCCGTCCTGACCAGTCACGGCATGCTGGGATTTGACTGGTCTGCCTTGGTTGCCTGAGGACCGGTCACCCAATTGAGACTGGTCACACCCCTCACGAAGGGACCCAGCTAGTGCCTGCTAACCAGTCATCGCTTTTCCCCTTAAGATTGGTTACTCATTGACCAGTACCGCATGCGTGACTAGTATCGAAGACTTTTCCCAATACCAGTCACTGCGCAATACGGCCGCCCGCCTGGATGCCGAATACCAGTATCGCATCGTATCGCCAGATGTTGTAGGTGCCTCAGGCATGGGTTTCATGGCAGACACAATCACGCATCTTGTTCCCCTTTCTAAGCACCCCAGGAAATCACGCCAACCTTGAGTGCAACTCCGGTGTAGCAGCACATTCCAAACTGGGCACAAGAGATTCAGGCAGCTTGTGACCGCTGGTTATGGTTGGCCGAAGGGATTCTGCAAGGCGAGATAGTCTTATCACGCATGAAGGCGCCCAGCTCGCCATTGCGGCGCTGCCCCCTCAGCCAGGGGCTACAGTACGCACGACTGCCTGATCACTGTCCGGCAGTTGGGAAAGATACGGCGAGGCTTGCCGACCAGGTACCGCTCGGGACCTACGAGGCTGCCATGCGGCGCGGCTGACATGGCCAATCACGAGACCGGCAGCGCGGACCACATCACAGGTATTAAAATACGTGTACCCGAAGGCTTGTTCGGGTAAGAAGTAAGTGTAGCGAGGAGGGTTTTTTAATATAAAGCTTTCTCTTCTAACTATTTATTAAAATAAATTTAAGTATTTATTTAAGTAAATTTAAGTATTTATTTGAGTAAATTTAAGTATTTATTTAAGTAAATTTAAGTATTTATTTAAGTAAATTTAAGTATTTATTTAAGTAAATTTAAGTATTTATTTAAGTAAATTTAAGTATTTATTTAAGTAAATTTAAGTATTTATTTAAATAAATTTAAGTATTTATTTAAGTAAATTTAAGTATTTATTAAAGTAAATTTAAGTATTTATTTAAGTAAATTTAAGTATTTATTTAAGTAAATTTAAGTATTTATTTAAGTAAATTTAAGTATTTATTTAAGTAAATTTAACTATTTATTTAAGTAAATTACTAGGGGGTTTCCCCCTAGAACCCCCTTAAACCCCTAAAACCCCTAAACCCTACATAGCCTACACTACCTATATTACATAGCCTTCTGTATATATCTCGGTACCTTTCGTTTTTTATTTAACTAATCCCCATACAAGCTTTAGATTCTAACCAATCTATACACGAGAAACATTTTACCAATTCACACAGTAATAGAGAAAGCTCCGCTTGTCGGTTTTTTTACGCTTCGTATAAAAAACCCTCCTCACTACGCTTAACAAGCAATAGTAGAAGAATTGCAATGTACACTAGTGGGGGACAATCTGTTTGTTCATTGTATCAATTTTTAGCGCGAGAAAAGCAACTTACCTAGGTACCCACAAAGAAAGAAGCGAGATCGAAATTCCGCTTTGTGTCCACTTACCTGGTGAATGAGATGGTAAAGTCAAAGAGAGCAAAGCCACCGCACGGCTCAAAAGTACAGCTCCGTATCTTCTTCCCTGCAAACTTGTCAGCATATTCGTCGAGCATCTTTTGAGCTCCAGCCAAGAAAGGTGTATTCTTCAAAAGCAGCTGGTATGCTTCATCCGTGTCCGAAGCCTTCACAGTGAGTTCTTTAGATTGGTCCACCTCATGCATTTCATACACGTGTTCCATACAGTCACGCAGATTTCTCTCGATGACTCCCTTGTAAACAATCTGCCTGAGGTCTTTGAGGTCGCGATGCTCTACCAGGGTCCAATAGGACACGATCTGATCTCGCAGTCGTAACTTCTTGTTCCTCGGGCGATTATCAAAGAAGGATGACATGTTGAACGCGCGCGGAACTTTTAGACTGTGGGGGTTGTTGGTGATAGAAAAGGTGTTGATGGGAATTTCGGGCCTGCGAGAATCAGGGTGAAAAATGTTGCAGTGTTTCTCCTCCTTGGAGTAGTTCACGCCTTCAAACCCTTTGGCATCGGGCTCAACAACATAGCCCCATGCCTCAAACCTCTCAATGAGCTTGGCCATTGTTGCTTCCCCTGGCGATGCTGACGAGATCTGATCGAGCTGCGACGTTGACCGCTCAGCGAATGCGGTTAGTGAAAATAATTAAACTTCGCTAAAACGTCTGTCGCGCAATCCCGGTGACCGAGGCTCGTTGAATCGCTTTACTCAGCAGGAATCCTCGACTCTGTCTTGCGAACCAAAACAACATCATGACTGTGAATTTGTGGTCTTATCTTTATATTTTCAAAATTTCTTTGCGACAGAGCCATGGCATTTGGACATGTTTCTGCTTTCACGGGTCTATTGTGCATGTTGACTGATAACACAAAGAGCCTGTTGCAATGAAACAATGTGCTGTTCTCGGCCGCGTTTGAGACAAGCAATACCCAAGGATATTTGACATGTTACAAAGCCTTTGTCTATATACTTACGTATATTGTTGTGCTTTATTCACCTTTGTCAATCAGTTCCAATCAAGCACAGGCGTATTAATTCGTTGTATGGCTGCCCCATCCCCCGAACGTCTCCAGTCTGAGATACTTGCCATGGTAATCTGGTGGCTTGCGGGGGCCAAAGTAGACATAGTTGGTCTCTATGCGATCATTCATAACAATCACTCTTTGCACGTTTACCCGTTGTAAAAAATACAGTATTACTTTAGTGTTGTTGCGAGGCTTCGGCTTCACTCGTCAGCATGAATGGGGTTTCGTTTAAGCGAGGGGCGTGAGGGCTTCGCTGGACAGGTAGCTGTTACATGATTTCGATTCGGTTTAGCTAAATCTGAAATGAGACCGGCAGAGAAAGTTCACCGACCAAGGAAGGTGGGCTCAAGTGCCGCAATGCCAGTTTTCAGAATGATATCAACCCTCTGCACAACTTGCCTAGTCTGATAACTAACTATAGAGAAACAAATGCCAACTCGGAAGACGCTGATTGCATCGAGGAGCTATCCACCCCGACTTGAACGTCTACCCATACATTTCAGCACGGGACTGTTCAACTGGCCTATCATGTCTCGGCAGTTCTCCTGCTGAATCAGTGAATAGCTCGGAATGAAGTCGAGCCTCTTGCTGGGGCTTTACGGATTGAAAGGGTTGCAGGCCTATCACTCTTTCCGGCCGGGGACTCTGGTCGAGATCGTTGCGAGCCGCAACCCTCTTTTTCCTCGCCAGCCAAAATATCCCAATTGCGATAAGAGCCACGCCAGCAACAGCTCCAATACTAATACCAGCGATAGCACCCCCAGAAATATTAGTTCCTTGGTCTGCACTTGTCGGTGTCGAGGTACTGCCGGTCGAAGTGGACGTGGCAGTGTTCCAATCCTCAGCCCGCCAATTGATTTGTATTCTGCAAGGCCATGGTAAGCTGTAGGTCTTTGAATATAGAGTTTGTGGGGGTTTCTTGAGGATTTTCAAATCAAGACGAATTTATCTATTGGCTAGCTGGACTTACAAGGGAGCCAATACTGATAACGAAGTGAGGACTGTGGAATAGTCCATTGACGAGTCATCGTAGATACTTGTGATATACGGCAATACTTGATTAACATCCTCCATGGAAGTGTCACAATACGCCAGCGCTATGGTCGTAGAGGCCGCCAACGACTGGCACAGCTGCGCCTGCCCATACGTGGTGCTGGCTGCAAGTGCATCGAAGTGGGAGCAAGTGTACCCGCCGCTGCGATGAACTCATATGGTCAGAACTCTCTCCCTATCGAGTTAAATGCAGTCTGGGACTCGAAGCTTCACCTTGGACAACATCCGACGGCCGTCTCGCCTTCAGTAAGCGGGAATTGTAATGACCAACTTGAGACATCCTCTCCATAAGTTGCACTACAAGCAGTCGTATACCCACCAGGACACATTGCTCCGGGCGAGTAGAAACCCCAGCCACCCAACAAAGTGATGCTCGTCGGGGCTGGAGGCGCATTGGCGGTCCGAGGCGGCCAGCAATCAGGGTTTTCTAACAAATAAGGGCCACTAGTATCACAAGTTTGTCCTTGCCATGCGGTGTACCACGGTAATACACTCCCAAAAACCTGGTTCGAGAAGCACGTCGTCGCGGGAGTCCACGATTCGGTGAGATGGCCAAGGATAGGACGCGTCGGCTGGGACATGTTGGTTCTGAAAGTACTACGAATAAAATCGTGAGATAGGGGAGAAAAGAAGACTTGGAAATACAATTTTGGGAACTGCTCCGAGGAGGTGTCGCTTTTTGATCAGTTCTGGCACGGAGACGAGCAGCTCGGGTTACACACTTGAACGCCATGCAGGCGCCAGCGAGTATGATTACTGCGGTACACGGGGGGTGAGCGAATGGACTTTCGCATGAGGTTTGACAGACTCGCAGGCATCCGAGATGTTTAGTTTGTTGTAACCATGGATCGAGGGAACACAAATTAAACGAGGGTTTCATTTGTGCAAGCATCGATCTCAAGAGGCATGACCTCGTGTCACCAGCCAGTCTACCTTATCAAGTTCTGAAAGAATTGCTGGAGTCATCTTAGAATGGCGTAGATACGAATTACCAATCGGCAAATCATCAAGTGCGCTGTCCCTGTCGCGTCTGAACTTGATCCCCTGCCAACTTGCATGGGCCTCCCAGGGCTTGCATGTCGTTCTGTCGCATAAACGGATTTTATGTAGCTCATTCTGTTACTCATTCTAGTCTCTGCTCCTCCCCAGGCACCCGAAGTCAGCCGTTATCATAGGTTGGATGGGATATCAAATGCTTATTCGCATTGCGAGAAGTGAATACTTCTCTGAAAATTGGACTTGAGCATCATTTTGGGACAGCGGTGGACGGCGCGACTATATCAAGACTGTGCCAGTTCAGAATTCAGATATACCACTATACTACAAAGACGAAAGCTATACTAATAAAACAAGCTAAAGGGTATAGGGAGAAAAAGCTCTGTTCGTGGGAGAGCATCCTCAGTTGGTCGCGGGAGGGGAATGGTGGTAGGTTGGTTTCATGTTGTCCTCTCTTTCAAGTTAACCTTCAATGGCTTTTGCTCCCAAAGCACGAAGACCTTCTGGTCAATCCATTGCTTGCTCTCTTCCAGGAGATCCAGATCATACTTCCAGAAAATTGTAGCTGCGATCCAGCGCATCTGAAGCAAAGCCATTCTGATTCACCAAATCGTTAGTGACTTGCAATACAGGACCAGTGTCAGAGAGGGTCGTGAGTTATGGACTTACGGCTTCCCGATACAGCTCTTGGGTCCAAGGAGGAACGGCTGGAACGCAGCTTGCTTGTCGTTGGCGAAGTCAGGATCCTCGTCCAACCACCGCTCTGGTCGGAACGCATGTGGATCGTGGAAGTTCTCAGCAGTTTGGGAGGCAGCACATGTAGGCACGACAACACAGCTGCCCTCTGGGACAAATCCACCACAGATTGTGGCGCCACCCTTGGGAATCAACCGTGGCAGCGGCGTAGGGAGCGGGCTGTGCAGTCTCTGTGCCTCCTTGATGCACGCATCAACCCACTTCAGCTGCGGCAGCCGCGAAGTGTCCGCCAACTCGGCCTCAGTGGCGTATGCGGTCCGTACCTCGTTCACCAATCGTGCATGTGCCTCGGGGTGCTGCAGCAGGAAGAATACCAGGGCCGCCAAGCTAGTAGTGCTCGTCTCACTGGCAGCAAGCCACAGGTGACTCGCGTTGAGGAAGAGCTCCTGGTCGTTCAGCGTCTCCTTTCCCTGCCTGCTGTACTTGATCATATCCTCTCGGGCCTCAACGCCCTTTTCGAGCCGGCGTGTGACACGTTCGTTGGTGACGCCCTGGTGCTTCTGCAAAACCGGCTGGATCAGGTACTGGACGACGTTGTCCCAGAGGAAGCGAAACCAACGCAGCTGCTGGAGGCCGGCGACCACCTGTCCGATCTCGGTGAGGTTGAGCACGCCAGCCACGAAGCTGTGGGCCTTGCCGTCTCGTGTCATGTTGAAAGGCTCGCCGAACAGGAAGTCGCTCGCCGTGTCGACTGTGACGAACAACAGCAGGTCTTGCATGTTCGCGGGGTTCTTGGCTTTCGCGTGCTCGTCGAGACGGTCCATAAGCATGTCGATGTATGTCTTTATCATGGGCGTGAGGCGCTGCATGGCGCCATCTGTAAAAGCGCGGAGCAAGATGCGGCGGTGACGTTCGTGCTGGTTGCCGTTCGAGGTGAAGATGGACTGCTCGTTGCTGGTTACGGCCTGGTACAGTGCCGGGTGCTTGTCGAATGCATGGCGAAGGCCGGCAGGAGCATGAACGTCGCGCTGTGCCTGCGCGTCGGCATAGCTGATGTGGTCAGGCCCAAAACGGACCACGGGACCATACTGACGGTGTAGATCGACTAGATAGGTGTTCCATCCACCGCGAATCATGGCATAGACGAAGGGGAGCGGTGATGCTGCCGCGAACCACGGCCCTGGAAGATGCCGCAGGGGGCTGAGGAAGAGGTTGTAGAGACATGTGGTGACAAAGTACACTGCAATTATTGCGCCAAATGCGGTGAAAACTGCCTTTGGATCAGACATGATGCGTCCACTCACGGACGACACCATTGGGGTGCCCTCAAGGTACTTGTCCATCTTGCTAAACTCTCGATGTGTATGGTTGTTGAGCTGCCCAAACCTTGTCAAGATTTCAGTCACAATGAAGGAATCAACGCCTATATCAGCTCCCTAAACATATTCGGATGCATGGTTATGAATTCAGGAAATCGGCTGGGTGGATGTTGTCATGACCGGAATCACTGATTTCAGGGGCATCTATCGGTATGCTTTGGCGGAGAAGACGCCGCGGGCAAGTGCTCGGTGCTCAGGAACACCGTCATGGCCTCTCAGCCGGGGAAACGCTCCGCACTCAGGTATCCGGAACCTTATTTTTGAACTATATTTTGGTGGAGTCGGTTCGTCCGGGTACAAGTCGTCGAGTCTGGTTTTCGGATCATGCGCGAATCAAAAGTCGTCTTGGCTAGGTGCGGCCTAGAGGCACTGCAGGTAGGGCTGGAATAACGCCCTGCGTGGCTTGGCAGAGTGGATCCGAGGCGGACTGGCATGACTTATTATCGGCGCTCAACGAAGACAACTTGTCCGAAGTTGTTGTCGTATAAGATACAGGATGTCACAGAAGGTTCATTATAGATATCGTTTTGAAAAGTTAGTTTTTGAGGAGTGCCAGAAAGAAAGTGTCTAGGTGGAGACCAAACAATCATTGGAAAGAAAAACCAGGACTCCAAGGGCAACTTAGTTCAACATGGAGCACATCTATTCCGAGACATTGTCGCCGGGCTCATATGAGACCTTCGGGTTCTGTCAGGATCCTCGATACGTCCCTCGTCGACACAAGGATCAGCACCTTGCACGAAAGGGTTCAAGACTTGCGAAAACAGATTGTGAGGCCTTGATCGGCCACTATCACCGCCCAACATGCGAGTCCCGTGTGGGGCACTCAATCGCCATGGTGATGCCAGAGTGCATGCCAGCTCGCATCGAAACCATGGGATATTTCATGGAAGCGATTTTTTACATGGACAATATTGCAGAGTCAGGGTCACAGGACGACACAGGCAGCCTCACGAATGAGTGGGCAGAAACCATGCCTGGATCCGGAGACAAGACACCAACCACAGCAGACTCTCAAAACAAGGTCGACAGAAACTCCAACACGGGGGCAAAACAAGTGGTGGCAAAGTTAGCCTTGCAGCTCCTTCTCACCGACGCCGACTGCGCCAAGAATGTCATGGAGGCGTGGAAGGAGTGGGCCAAAGGCTTCGACAAGCCGCGCCGCTTTGACAACGTGGAGCAATACATGCAATACCGCGTTGTCGACTCGGGGGCTATCGTGGCAGTGCATCTCATGAACTGGGCCATGGGCCTGAATATCTCAGTGGAGGAGCTTCGACAAATCGACGACATCATCGACCATGCCGCCCGTGCTCTATCATATCAGAACGATTTCTTCTCTTTCAACTACGAGCATGACATGTTTGTTGAGCTTGGAAGAAGCTCTATAGGCATCGCCAATGCAGTCTTCGTGCTCGCCGACACGGAGGGGCTTGGCCTTGAAGAAGCCAAGAAGAAGGTCGCAGAATTAGGGCAGGCGCACGAGAACGCCGTCTTGCGACTCAAGGACGAGCGCTGGAAGAACGTGGATCATAAGTTACGAGTCTGCCTTGATGGAATCGTGGATATGGTGGTCGGTAACCTGGTTTGGAGTGCTTCGTCAGACCGCTATTCATCGCACCGCAACGAGAAGCTGCATATGGAACTTCCTGTCCGACAAATAACCCACGAAAAGAAGGAAAGCGCAGTCCCACAGATTCCTGTTGTGAGCCCACCGACTCCTCCAAATGACTCAGACCACGAGGAAGAGTCCAGCGACTCGGAGGAGAGAAAGGGTAAGCCAGTTGGGAGCTTGGAGGAAGGCATGAAGAAACTATTGGCGCAAGAGTTGAAGACTCCAGAATTTTCAGACGATTTGACACCCACGTTGGATGACGAGCTCGTCTGTGCACCCATCAAATACCTAGAGTCCCTCCCTTCAAAGGGTTTCCGGGAGGCCATCGTCGACGGCATGGACGGCTGGCTTCATTTACCCAAACGGTCCATCACCACCATCAAAGACGTGGTCAAGCACGTGCACACAGCCTCGCTATTGTGCGACGACATGGAAGACTCTTCTCCGTTGCGTCGAGGACAGCCCTCAGCCCACACCATCTTCGGAGCACCGCAGACAATCAACTCTACCAGCTACCTCTGGACGTTAGCTCTGGACCGCCTGTCTGAATTGGAGAACCCGCAATGCTTGCGGATCTTTATCGACGAGGTTCGACAGATGCAGATTGGCCAGAGCTGGGATCTGTACTGGACTGCGGCGCTGGAATGTCCTAGTGAAGAAGAATACTTGGCCATGATCGATATGAGTATGTTATAATGACGAATCCTAATTTCAGGTGTCGTATCGGTTCACTCACTTTGGTTGCAGAAACTGGAGGCCTGTTTGCCCTGCTCATCCGCCTCATGGTTGCAGAAAGCCCGCGCAAGATGTAAGGCACCAAGCTGCCTTCATGTGCCAGCGGTACCCAAAGAACTCAAGGCTGACAAACAACACAGTGAGATTCCAGATTTCAGAAACTTAGTCAGCCTGACAGGCCGATACTTCCAGATCCGCGATGACCTGGCCAACCTCACATCGGAAGAATACACCAACCAAAAGGGGTGGTGCGAGGATCTCGATGAAGGCAAATACTCGTTGCCGATGATCCACGCCCTGAACAACTTGCCAAAGCCGGCTATGGTGCAGCTGCAGGCACTACTCGTTCAGCGCAGGACGGCAGGCGCCATGACGCCGGAGAGCAAGGCCTTGGTAATCAAGCATATGAAAGACGCTGGAAGCTTGGATTATGCCAAGACCGTTACGCTGGATTTGCAGGACAAGGTCAGGCGGGAGCTGACGCGGTTAGAGGAGGCCTTTGGGCAAGAGAATTATGTCATTCAGCTTGCTTTGGAGAAGCTGAAGTTGAAGGCGTGATTGAGAAGATGACGGAATGATGTTTGTCTGTCATGAGTGGACTGCGATTCCTTATTCTCAATGTAATTATAGCTCTTATTAGTCTTTACGGCTTTTTTACTTCTTACGGGGAGTCCCTAATTGTCCTATTGTGAATATGAATTGCATGATTATATCATTGACGCGATGTTCTAGCAATCATACTACCAGTGGTTGTGATTTGCTCTTCATATTGGGCCAGGTAGTAGTGTTTAACGGCTGACTGTGACACTGAATGCCCGTCTATTGAAGCCCAATTGGATGTCATCACCAGATTGCAGCAATAGGTCGTGTGCTTGAAATCATGTATTACTCCGATCCACTTCCCGGTGCGGCTTTCCGACCGGTCCGGAACGAACCGGGCATTTTCCGTCGGATGGGGCCACTGATATCTATATACTGGAGCGCAGTATCCCTTGACTTCTTGCATGGTTCTTGAATTCCACGAAGTTGACCTCAACCTCTCGTCCCACCTGAAGTAGCAATGCATACATACGTGCTAGGCGTTACGTTGGTGAGTTGATCGCACCACCAGACTTCTGCGAAAAGAAAACATGCAGCTGAATCAGTGGTGCTAATATACTGTATAGGCCGCGATTTGCTGGGTTATCCGGAGTATCTACCGTCTCTACTTCCATCCACTCGCCAAATATCCTGGCCCAAAGCTCGCGGCCATCACTGGATTATGGTACTGTCGGCATTGGGTCGGCGGCCGCTGGCCTCACGTCGTCACAGATCTGCACCACAAGTACGGAGATGTGATCCGGGTGGCTCCCAATGAGCTTGTCTTTGCCACGGCTGAGGCATCTCGCGATATCTACAACCGCTACCAGCCGGGGGCCGAGGTGCAGTTCCAGAAGGACAGACAGTTCTATGCACCCTCAGGAACTGAGCGTTCATTGATCATGGAGCCTGACGCAGAATCCCATCGGCATATGAGGAGGGGCTTTGATCCTGGGTTTAATCTTGTCGCGGTGAAACAAAGGAGCGATATCCCGTTACACCACATCGACCTCTTGATTCAAAAGCTCTACCGGACAGGTCGGCGACAGGAAGGCGAGAATGTGGCTGAGTTTGCATTCCGTCTGAGCTTTGATATTGCTGTTGAAATGGCGTTTAGCAAAAGGATCGACACGGTCTCTGCAGGTATGCCGGCTTTCAAGGTTCCTTTCACGGCTGTTCGATTTGGTACGAAGCTGAGCTGATATTAATGCAGAACACCAACACGAATGGTTGAGACTATTCCGAGATAACGTGAAGGCAGCCTCGGTGGCAATTGCACTGCGGCGACTTCCAAAACCAGTGACTGCGTTGATCGACTTGCTATTGGGCCGCCTCATCCGCATGGCCAGGCGACGCTACTTGGACGTTGTCAACACATTCGTCACGGAACGCATGGAGATTCATGAACTCAAATCGCGCCGGAAACAAACAGGGGAGCAACCGCACCTCGAAGACTGGTTCAGCTTTGTAATTGAGCTGGGCAAGAAGGATAACGAAACGAAATATTTCTACCCCAGCCAGGCATCGTCGCTCGTCGTCGGAGGCACCGAGGCCATCTCACAGTGGACTGCTGCCGTGCTCTACTATCTGACGGTAAACCCAGATAAGTCCAGAATCTTACAGGAAGAGATCAGAGGCGCGTTCACCGGGCCTGATGGCGACCGAGATATCGATTTCGAGTCGACAAAGACGCTGCACTACCTCGTGGCCACAGTTGAAGAAGGCTTGCGAATCTACCCACCATCGGCATTTGGCCTCCCCCGCGTCTCGCCTGGAGCAATGGTTGACGGGCATCACGTCCCAAAGGGTACTGTTGTCCAGGTCCCTAATTTCCTCCTGGCACGTTCGGAGAGGTACTTTTCAAAGTCAAAGGAATTTCACCCTGAGCGTTGGCTCCCGAGGGACCATGCTCTGTATAGCCAAGAATTCGCAAGCGATCGCAAGGAGACCTCTAGACCCTTCTCACGAGGACCAAGAGGGTGCATTGCTGTGAACTTATCGCACCATCAAATGAGGTATGCGATTCTTCCTGACTGTCACTTCTTTCCCTGTTTTATGGAACCTTCCACTGACATGTATGCCGTGCTTAAAAAAAGATGCATCTTGGCTAAGATTATCTGGCACTTTGATCTGGAACTCGCTTGTCCTAAGTTGGACTTGTATGACCATTCAGCCGTACACATGGTGTGGGCTATGCCTCAGAACTTCATGAGATTTATTCCTCGGATAGAAAATTCTACGTAGGAGGCGGGAGTCTTACTACGCATTGGACACTTGAGGTAGTAAATAATTTAATTGATACTTCCACCTCTTCTGAGAGCCCTAATAAAGACACTTCGATACTTCTCAAGGTCGACTCCGCATGTCTAAATATTTGGTTCAGAAGATGCCATGTCAATCACATATCATGAGTTAAAAACTCGTCTTATAATACTATTAAATGCATTGACAGGTTGGCGACCTGGATTGAAAACATGTTTTAAACTCTTAAGTGTAGCTTCCTTTTACGGTTCTTTGTTCAGAATAATATCAACTCTTTTTGTTTCCGAGCCTGTATGAACATTGTTTCTACTTTGTTTTTCATTCTATATTCACTGCGGTTGTTGTCTCAGTCTTCATTGCGCATGCCGTAACCTAGCACCCCTAGACTGTGACAGTTAACTCGACTCCACTCGTCTCTGGAGGCATGCCTAGACCCTTCGGTAAGGCCGGTAATTTGACCAATCGCATAACACGGTTTCCGACGACTTTTCCGACAGCCCCACACCACCCCTGACGCTTGGCGCGCATTCTGACAGCGGAATTATATTCCCAACTTGGCACTCCAATCCACCCTTTGTGCGAATCCTTTATTTCGGTTGTGTGTAGCCGCATCGTAGCGGATCATATTCGATGTTCACGATGGGCACGCTGGCGGAGCCGGTCCGGAGTACAGCGCAGCGGCCGCCAGGATCCTTTTTGTCCAGAAAAGCTTCACCTCAAATCACTTGACAGAAGAAGCAGCAGTTAGGACCGAAGGACTAGCTGGCGCATACAATCAGTAGTGTTTACTCAGAGTTTTGTCATACTCGCAACATCTTACCACCGTTAATCATTCACGATATTCAGAGATGGCAAACTTTACCAAGGGCCACGAAGGCCTGAAGAATGCCTTCGTACTGACACCTACGTCTCTGGAGGACCCTGTATTGTTCAACTCACAGGAAGGTCTGGAGACCATCCACACATATGGTGGGGTTCCAAAAGAAGAACTTCTAAGCCATGTGTTGCGAATTGTAAGCCTCCGATCATGAACTCCTCGTAAATGTCATACAATAAATCTAATCATGAAACCCCACCATAGAGAGATGAGGCCTGGTCCAAACACACGTTCCCCTGCATAGGGATGCTCTCATTCCTAGATTTTGGTATCTCGAAGCTTAGCGTATACCCAGAGATTCTGAGCCGAGTCAAGGCAGGAGAGAGCCTGATCGACTTCGGAACGTTCTTCGGCCAGGACCTACGGCGCCTTGCTGCTGACGGTGCCCCAACGGAGAACCTGTATGCTACAGACATCGAGGGACTCTTCTGGGAACTCGGTTATGACCAATTCCGCGACGCTGGCCGCTTTAAGGCCATCTTCATTGAGGCCGACGCGCTGGATACATCGCGCGAGACGTCGCCCCTGCTCTCTGACCCTAGGCTGCTGGGAAAGCTTTCCATCATCCACAGCGGTCACTTCTTGCATCTTTTCCCCAAGGAAGATACGCTGAAGATCATTTGCGACGTCTTCCTCCCGCTTCTAAACCTAGAGCAACCCGGTGCTCTCATAGTCGGACGTAACGCAGGCCTCAAGGAGGCCAAATTGGTCAAGACGCTCGTCCAGCCCCAGAGCACCAGGGTCAGCAACCCACTGGAGAGCTTCTCGCACAATGGCGAGACCTGGAAGCAATTGTGGGAGGAAGTTGGGGAGAAGACGGGTACGAAGTGGGACATTCAGATCAATCAAATAGATCTGGATGGGTATGGAAAAGGAGCTGGATTCGTCCAGGTCTCGTTTGCCTGCAAATATCTGGGCCGGGCCTGATGGGCGCAAGCCCATGTCGCGGAGGTGTTGATGTATTTATAGATTCAATATCATGATTTGGCAAATGTGCACTATGATCAGGACCGGGGTTGTAAAATTATTCCTTAATTTCTTAGTCTTATCAAGGTAGCCCTTTAACCCTAATCTCAACACTATTCAGGACAAGTCGTTATCAACTCAAGTAGAATGTTTGCGACCCTCATGTACCTCGGACGTTCCACTGACCAACCACCAGACAAAGCTCAGCCACGCTGTGAAAGAGGTCCTCGAACGCGCCCGTCATGCCAAGCCTCCCAAATATCCCCCCTGCCATGGCAAGCAGCGGCGCGGAGGTCCTAAAGGTCTCGCTGAATTTCGAGAACCCGGACGGGGGATCCCTGAGTAGCTGCGCGACCAGGATACACAGGGCCAAGATCGGAACACGAGTGAAGGCCGCGTCGGTCCCGTAGTCTTCCAGGCCCACGTGCATGCCTACAGTCAATATTGCACGGACTGACTCAGCACATATAGCCTTTGCTTGGAGGTTCGCAGGACTAGTCTCGTCCCGGCCTTGCCGTGCATCGTGGGTAACACTGCCATACAAACACTGGCTGCCCAGAAGGAGCAGTGCTTCGTGGAAACAGTAACAGACCACGATGCTGACGCGTCTCGTTTCTGCGTCTAAGCGGGAGATCATCCTCGGGTCCATGTTTTCAATGTTGTGGGGCATCTCGTTCCGTAATGCCTTAAGCTCTTCGACTACTTCGTCGAACCTGTCTGATACGGGTGTATTCGGCTTCCCTTTTACCGTAGCACGCCGTCGGTTGATTCTGGAACAAATGGTGGCGTAGCGGTGTCTTAATATGAGCATGTCCTGGCCGTCGCCAAGACCATTGTTGCCTCGTTGTGGGATAACAAACTCTATGTGAGAGTGCCATGACAACTAGTTCTCTCCCCTGTCAGCCACTTGCGATTCAAAGCCCCCTCGGAAAAAACCTTGGTGTCCACTCACGTCAAATTTGCGGGTCCGCATCGCATTTCCTTTATCGACGCAGTCGAGCAACCAGCACGCTCTCTGTACCGTAGTGCGCTTTTTAAGCCCCGAACAGAGATGCTCTAGGGCTTCTATTGTGTGAAGACGGAGGGACCGGGCGACTGAGATGCAACTAGATAGGAGCTTATCCACGAATTCTGCCTCCTGTGTTTCGGCGACACAGAGCTACCGTTCGAAAGACGTCAGTCTACAACATAGGTGACACACCCTATCAGAATGTATCAACTCACCAGCGCGACGAGAGCCTACATCCATGTCAGTATGGCCCCAGAAGAAACTGCTGGTCCGGCACACCGAGAACAAGGGGAGGAGAACTTACTATGAACTTTTCAATTGAGTCTTTTCGCAGTATAACATGGTCTCTAAGCTCTAGAGATGCGTTCCAGAAGAAGCGCGCTGTGGTTTGGCCCACTTTCAACTTAGAGCCCAACGTCAGGCCCCTTGTGATGCACACATGTGCCACAAGCGCCGCTTCTGCTGTCAACGGCCCTCTGGTGTGATCGAGGAGCCGTTCTGTATCGTGTAATACCTCGTACCGGTCAAGGAATATGTTGACTCTACGCTAAGTCAGCCGCCTGAATCAAGTACTTCATTAAGCTTTTCTGAAAATTGGGCGGGGACATCATACCCGGCTGGCTCGTCAAAACAAGCTGTGGGAGAATACGATTAGCTTCAGGAATCTCAAGTATCTGCGTTGTCTACAGATCGGAATTACCGTCTATAATTTCATGAACCGGGAGCTCTGAGATATCAACCTCTTGTCGCTCCAGTTCACCGTGGCTTCCGTAACTGCAAGCCGTCACATGGCAGCACGCCTGCGACCTGGCCATCAATTTCTTCATGATCCCGGCAGCCTGATCCTGCAGGTGACGATCCTTCTTCCCGTGACTCATTGCACCCGCAAGGTCCTCCAGCAGTGGGTCATATGTGGTACCGGGGTCCGTTGCCTGTTCGTCGTCTCGGTCAATGCGCCAGTTCATCCGGGGACGCTCGTGGGGGACTCGTGCGAGCCCGGAACGAGCTGGGGCAGCCGCCACGTCGGAATCAAGGTTCACGGAAGCGACGTCGCTGGTTTGGTCCCTGGGGATCGTATCGCATTCGCGAATCTGGGGTGTGGGTCTCGTGGTGGGTTCAGGCCCCACCGTCCCACCAGTGATGAACGATGCCGAGTCAGAAGAGTGTGGGTCGAATCCCCATAGACTGAATCCTGTCTCATTGAGGATCGGCGTGGTGGTGATGTTGTTGTTGTCGCCGACACCGCCTCCGTCGCTGGTAGGTGGCATCATCGGCGGGATGTTGAAGTTGAAGGCCGACGAGTCACCTGTAAAGACAGATGCTGCCGAGTCGTCCAGAAAGAACTCTGTGTCGCTGAGGTCGTCTAGAGAACTGCTGAAATTGTAGGCTGGGAAATCATCCGGTGGGGTTATTACAGTCCCCTGTGTAAGATTGGGTGCCAAATTTCTGAAAGAAGTTGAAGTCGTAGAATAGCGGCATTCTACCCCTTGCTTCTGTATGCGCCCTTGAATTAGACAAGCCGGCATGCAGGTCGAGCTGCGACGTACCTTGCAATGCGCACATGGTTTTTCTCCGTTGCCTTTTTGTCGTTACCTGTATCAGCATAGAACTTGACGTAGAGAGTTGGCAGTAAATCTACCCATGATTCCATGAACAGCTGGGCATGGCTGAGGACTCACAACGTATTTTCTTCTGCCGACATAGACGGCATGCACCACGACGTCTCGTCAACTTCGGCCGAGTCGGTGTCATTCTTACCGCAGGAACTAAATCTTAAACACAAAAACGCGGCGTTGAATCCTCCAAAGTGTGTTGAAAGAGCTTGAGATGACTGCCGGCATTCAGCGACCATGGAACTGATGTTGGGTACGGGCGTAAGGTGCTCAGTAACGTTACTGCATGGGTGAAAAGCATATTCGGCTGATGGGAATGCCTTATCTATTTCGTAGTAACGAGCAGATCAGACGTTCGTTTTCGTTTATGGAATCCCAGCTTGATTCAAGTCATACCCGGGAGTCCCGTAGTATCAGCCTAGTATGGTGGAGTCCTGAAAGTCTAACAGTTGGTCTTCATCTACATGAATGCAAGCCGCAGCTGCCGTCCTTGAGCTAAACTGTTGAACAGTAGCATTTAGGGGCTGTCAACAGGTCCGCCACGGCTGGCGAAGTCTAATTTGCAGCCCCTCTTCCATGCGGAAAATTGATTGATCATGGAGCCCGTCTACTTGTTCCAGTCGTGAAAACGTGTTGATAGACATCTTGGTGGATGGTCTCACGTAGGTCACTTACCAAAGAAGAAAAAAAAAGAAATTAGGTGTGCCTGACTGGTGTGTGGACCTTGATACTTGGTGGATCCAACAAAAATAGGAGGTTTCTGGCCGATGTTCTCGATTACGATGTAGGGGATGTGGAGTCATGCAACGGTCGCCATGTGGAGATGAACCCAAACCATAATTCGAGTTCGACGGGGAACTACCCGCGAGCGCAGGAGTCAGCCTTATTCTCTCATTGTGTTTCTGGGTCACGACGTCTCACCACAAAGCATATGTAAGGCAATTTTCAGCGGCGGACCCTGCATTTAACCAGTAAGAATATGGACCAACAATCTTCCTCGATTACACCGCCATTTTCGTCATTGCCTTATCATTCTTTCGAATCGCACGGCCTCCAGACCAGAGGCACAGCCTCTGGCCTTAGCATTTCAAACACCAATTTTGTCCCACTGTTAGCCAAGCAATCCTTGGTCCTCTGCCGCGCGTGCGCCATGTCCTCGGCAGGAGACGCCCTCGCGGGCTCCACATAGTGCGTCCCGAGGAGGCTGACAATCAGGCCGACGTATTCGACCTGGGAGAATTTCCTTCCTGGGCACACATGGCTCGCATCGAGCCAAGACATGTAAACTGTGCGTAATGGCTTTAATAGAACTTCGCGATCAAGCAGCAGCAATTCAGGGCCCTCTTCTACGGTCGCTGTTGGTGAAATTTCTATCCACCGTGATGGCTTAAACTCCAAGTTATCATCACCCCAGTATCTAGGATCGACATGTGCGGCATGCATGTTGAAGAGTAGTAGGGTTTGTGGTGGGATCGAGTAAGTCTTGCCCCCAATCGAGAGGTCTGTCTGCCCTTGGGCGCGCCGGGGAACGATTCCAAGAACGTGATAAAGGCGTAGAACCTCGTGCTGTGGCACAAATTATTAGCTCCCGCAGATCCTCTTTTAATACGAGAATATTTCACATACCATAACGGCTAAGCATCGGTTGAGTCTCGGTATCAATTCGTAATTCGGGGTCGAAGTGGATCGGTCGCCAAGCACATGTTGTATCTCTTCGCGCATCCAGTCTTGGACCTCGGGGTAAGCTGCCAGCAAGTAGAAAGTGAAGTTCAGAGACCTGGCCGTAGTATCATGGCCAGAGAAATTGTACGCAAACATATTCCCAAACACCTCCTGCTCTGAGATGCTGAAGTTGCTCGACTCCTCTGCCTCAACATAGGCGCGCACAAGGTTCGCCATGAGCGTTCCCTCTGTGCTACCCTTCTCTCTTAGACTGGCTTTTGCCCTTTCAAAGTCGTATTTCATGTGAAGCTGGAATGACCTGAATGCCTTGCTAAGACGGGACACGAAGGCGGGCCAATGCAAGTTGACGCGACCGAGGGTCTTAGCTCCGATTAGGAAGACAACAAGAATATTCTCCAGAATGAGACGCAAGCTTGAATGGTACCCAAGTCGGTCGCTCTCACCTTCTTCACCCTCATTTTCACCACCAACGAAGGATGAGGACCTACCAAACCCAGCACCGATTAAAATATTCAGGGCCACCGTCTTGCAGTCTCGAGGTGTGGTTGTGACTCCGTTGAGCCCGGCAGACTTCCAATAACTCAGGAGCTGATCACCCTGTTTTAGGGCTTCCTCCCAGGCGAGTCTGCTTGTCTTGTCGGTAAATGCAGCAGCGGTAACCTTGCGGTGGCGCCGCCAGTCCTCCCCTGTTGCGGTGATGACATTTGGACCGAAACAGTTCAACATCGCCCATAGCTCTGTCGGTCTCTCAATACTGCCCTGGCGCTCGCCATAAAAGATGCCGTACAGGGTTTCGCCATCGCAGGTATAGAGCCAGTTGTGAACAGGTGTGACAATCACAAATCCTGGGCCGTATTCTTGGTGAATGCTGTGCTTTTGTGCCCATTCCCAGCCACTGAAGCCGACGCGGCTTACCGTCCTCCCTAGGCCAAATGGTAGATACTTAAACCATGGAGCGATGTGGCGCCCTAGCATCAACCATAGTGGGTTAGAGTAGCTGACGGGCTGAATCAGAATAGGTAGGCCGATTTTGCGTGCTGTTGAATAGTTGCGGTGTAATGCGGATATGGTGGACACCAACAGTAGAACGGGCCCTGCCAGGAGGAACGACAGCAACAAAGTGACGGCCATTTTTCCTGATCACGATATTGTCAACGATGATCTGAACAAAATTGTCAATCTCACTACTATTATGTCTGACAAGTCCTGCAGTAATTCTCGCCATCGGCTACACAAGTCGTGGGGGCCTAGTCGAGCAAATGAGCAGGGGTCAAAGTATATGCTCCACACCAGGACCGGCGGACCGGGCACACGGAGAAAAACCTCCACAGATTATTCAAAATGCTTCTGATTGGCGGTCATTCCGGGCAGAACATCTTCACCAAGCAAGTAAATGTCAATTCGAGCACATAGCTAATACACACATACTGGTCGACATGCAGTTCGTATCCTTAAATTTGAGGTTATCAGTTGTTGAAAAGTGCTGACTTCAGCCCAATTAGACCACATTCCCAGCTGGTACGGTTCTTGAGTTGCGGAAACATGAGTGAAACTTCAAACACATCAAATGCAGTGTCTTTGACATCCACAGCGTGGGAGTCACTTCTCAATGCCAAGACCAAGGGTCAACTACCCGAGCCATGGATCGTCGCGGCACTCCTCGTGGCGATAACCTGCGCGTCGTACTCAGCCCACCATCTCACTCAGCGGGGCGGTCGCAAGCTATCTGGAGGCGTCAACCTCAGCACGGGGTGGTGGTTCAAAGAACGGCTACGGTGGCTCTTCAATTCCTACGACGTGCTCGCGTCGGGGTATGACCACCTGAAAAACAAAGGCGCCCCATACATCCAACTCACGATCGAGGACGGCACACAAAACGTCGTGTTCAACCACCGCTACATCAAACAACTCGCCGCCCTGCCGGACGACCACCTGAGCTTCGACGAGGCCGCCAAGAGCCTCACCGCCGGGAAGTACACCAAGATCGCCAACGTGCCCCAGGGCATCGGCCAAGATGCCGTCCGTGGGGAGCTGACTGCCAACCTGCCCCGTGTCGTGGGATACATGGCTGCCGAGGTGGATGACGCGCTGCGGAAGGTGCTCCCGCAGACGGCAGAGTGGGAGCTGCGGACCGTGGCCGAGGTCGCGATGGAGCCCGTCGCGCAGGCATCCGCGCGTGTCTTTGTGGGGCCGAAGCTGTGCCGAGACGAGGCCTGGATGCGCATCATGAGGAACTTCACGCACATGGCGGCGGGTAGCCTGCAGGCCGTCAAGATGTGGCCTGCTTTCCTGCACCCCTGGGTTGCCCCGTTCTTGCCCGCGCTCAAGACTGTGGAGCGGACCTGGGCTGAGGGCAGGAGGGTCCTCCGGGAGGCCGCCGAGGCCGAGGCATCTGGCGAGACCAAGGGCGACTATATCAAGGAGTGGGTGGCGCAGAGACATCCCGAGTGGGCGGCAGATCTTGACCAGCAGGTTGACTTCACGTTCACCCTGTCCATGGCCGCGCTGCACACGTCCGAGATGACGACGACGCACATGCTCCTAGACCTCGCTGCGCACCCCGAGTTTGTCGAGGAGCTGCGTGCTGAGATGGTCGACGCTTTGGCACAGACGGGTGGGGAGATGAATAATGGTTATATCCACAAGCTTGAGAAGCTCGACAGCTTCATGTGCGAGTCTAAGCGGCTGAACCCGCTGACTTTATACTCATTCCAACGCCTGGCAATGCGCGACTTTGGGCTCGACGACGGAACATTTGTGCCGCGCGGCACGTTCCTTGCGCTCGATGCCTCGCAGGGCTATTTGGATGGGGAGCAGTGGGAACACCCAGAGGTCTTTGATCCTTTGCGATTCTACCGACTAAGACACGCGGAAGCAGCGCAGAATTCGCACCTGTTCGTGACGTCTAACCCGCAGCACATGTCTTGGGGTCAAGGCAAGCATGCTTGTCCGGGACGTAGGTTTACCCCTCTGTCATTGTATCTGGCACCATCCCAATGCCCACAAGTGCAGCAGTGCTCCAAAATTGGTATTGTAATGGTCACTAACATGAGCTCATCCCCCAACTTAGGCTTTTTTGCCGGCCATATGATCAAGGTGATACTCAGCCAGTTCTTGCTGCAATACGATGTAGCGCTGGAGGAGGGAAAGCCGAGGCCGAAGAATGTCGTCTTTGGAGCGGCTCCGCTCGCGGCGCCGGGGGCGCAGGTCCGGTTCAGGAAGAGGATAGTTTGAAACGAAGTTCGGTTGTATGAAGTCAACGGTCTATTGCCGTCTATCTACAGCCCATAATGCGTCTCACTAAATACCCTACCATACCGGGCTTTAGTAAAGGCGGAGGATGAGCTATAACCGTTATTAACCTACTGAACTGTCCCTAACGTAAGAAACTTGAAGTAAGTAGAAGTTATGCTATGTAGGATATTATTGAGCTGTGTAGTTTTTATAGGGAAGAAATAATGTTCTGGAGAGGAGGAGCTTATAATGGAGCATGGTAGTTCTAAAAAGGAAAAGTTAGAACAACGGCTTCTAACTACAGTCGACTCGGAGGTTGCAAAACCTCGTAGAGTCCTTCGTGGCAAAAGTGACTGCTTTTATCTTGAAGATATTAGACGATTCATGGTTCTTTAGAGACACCTACTATCTTTAATATAGAAACATATGAGAGATAAGTCGTCTGTAAATTATTAGATTCAGGAAAATAAAGACTATAGTCCTAGACTACTAAAATCAGCAATATGGAGAAGGTGTTATAATTGATAGTATTAGGGATCATGGTACCATCCTTTATAGTGTAACAAAGAACTAAATTGTAACTACCTACGTATCTAGGTACAGCCATTTCATAACGAGCCCTCAACAATTATGCTCCCTCCACTCCTCCTTCTCCCTAAACAACATATCCGCCTTGGCGTCAGGAATCCGCGAAAACGCGATAGGCACAACAGCAGGCCTCCTTCCATCAGCAGTCCCATACCGCATATCCCACCGCTGGAGCATATGCACAAGAATAAGCTTGATCTCGGCGCTCGCAAGCGCCCTCCCCGGGCAGGCGTGGGTGCCCGCGCCCATGGTGACGTACGTGTCCGAGATGTACGAGAACTGGAACCTGCTGTGGTCCGCCGGGCTCGCGCGGCGCATCTTGAGCCACCGCTCCGGGTCGAACGTCCCCGCGTCCGGGTAGAAGTCGTCGTCGTGGCAGATCTCGTGCGTGGGGAAGAGGACCTGCGTGTCGGGCGGGATGGAGAGCCCGTCCTTGAAGGTCACCGTCTGGCCCGTGGACCGGTGCACGGCGCCCATGCCCAGCGGGCGCAGGCGCTGGCTCTCCTTCATCAGGCTGTCGAGGTACTCGAGCGCGTCGAGGGACCCCTTGGTCCACCGCGGGCCGTGGGCCGCCTGCACGGTGCTGATCTCGTCCATGACGCGGCCAAGGAAGGGTGGGTTGTCCACGAGGTCGTACAGGATGTTCAGGATCGTGCTGGCTGTTGTCTCGACCGAGGCGATGGTCAGGAAGCCCAGGTCGTTGATCATCCCGTCGATGTCCTTGGGGCCCTGCTTCGCCGCTGCCATGAGCCAGTCGAGGCCGTCCGTCTCTCCTTTGCCGCGGCCCGCCTCTGCTAGGGCGAGCTTCTGTTCATATGTCGGCTGTAGCAGCTTCGCCCAGCTCTTTAGGATCTGCGCGACGGCCCGCACGTTAGGGTCCAGAAACGGCGCGAAGTACCCCAGCGGCCCAGGGAAGAAGATGTTGCTGCTCACGATGGCATCGTTTGTCTTTTGCAGGTACTGCCTGACGGTGTGGACCCAGTCCTCGCTGGTCCCCAGCTCGGCACCGGCAAGGGCGCGGTGTGCCATCCGGATGATGGCGACCGTAATAGCCTCAAAGGGCTTCACTTTCGTCCACCCCGCCGAACAGTCCGGAATAAGCCCCGAGTCATGGATGGCGATGGCCGAAGCGTCTTGGAGAGCCCCGATCATGGGCCCCAGGTTCTTGGGCAGCTCTGCTTTCATCGAGTTCTGTGCCTCCTCGGTGATGAGCGGCGCATGGTTTGTGTGCACTCGGAAGGACTCGCGCGAGAACTTGGGGAAACTGAACTTGTCCTGGGGAGCGGTTTTGACTTCATTTAGATACTTCAGGGGGAGAACAACGACTTGTTTAGTCGGGTCTATGGCGCTGCGGAGCTGGAACGGGCGTCCTTCTTTTGTGTGCTGCTATTCATCAGGGCATGTCCAACGAATAAAGTCCAGTGCCAGAATTTCTCACCTTGGTGTACCCCTCATGAAGCAGCTGGTCGGCCTCGAACAAATATCTCTTGATAGAATTGCTCCCCTTGAAACGGATATTCGGCACGTGTGCCAGAGCCTTGTTTTCCCCAAACACATATTTGAGGATGAGCAGGACCGTAATAATTCCTGCCGCCCCGGCGTACTGCCAAACACTTAAAATGGCCATCTTTTACCAGCCTAGGTTAACATATCAGGTGTGACATGGGGATACATACATACACAGTCTCTCATAGAATCCCAGATATTATGTTATACAAGAGTCAAGATAGCATTCGAGGTCTAAGCGCTGTCAACTATTGTCGTACATACTTCCCTGCAGGTACCCCGGAGCGCATAACCGAGCATTCGGATACATCCACGGACTGCCAAGCACGCTCTCGGAAAGCGAGTGGGTCACCACCGGCGCTGCGGCATGCTGGGTATCCGAAAGGTTATTGCTGTGACTGCACCCGGTGGGCCCGAGATGATATCAAGGTTGAAATGGTGACGCTGTAGTAAATATGCACGAGGAAACCATCGCGGAGGGCAGCGTTGGCAGCCCGTCCATCCCGTCGTGCTCAACCAATTCACAGCACAATGTCGCGAATGGACGACGACCATCTCACAGTCCAGGTCCCCCGTGAGTACGGGTAAGTCTCTAATCCCCCCATACCCCTGATCCAACGTGAGCTCCCCCCCCACCCCAAGTGGAAATTCCCACTGACCACCGAGCCATACCACCACCAGATATGTCATCCTCGCAGCATCCGCAACCCTCTTCAACCTGATGTGGCACGCCCACCGCGGCTCCCCCTTCCGGCAGGCCGCCGGCATGCCCTGGCCCTACCAGCACGCCAGCCGCGCCGAGGTCGACGGCGCCAGGACCCCGGAGCTCAAGAGGGCGCTGTACCTATTCGACTGTGCCCAGCGGGCTCACGTAGGTCGTCCCACCCTCGTCTGCCCTTCTCCTCCCCCCCCCTTGCCTTCATCCCTCTCCTCTACCGCACAAGAAAAAGGAGGGACAATCGAGCCACTCACTCACTAACCACAACCCCCCAAAAAAACAGGAAAACTTCCTAGAAAACCTCCCCTGCCTCCTCCTCCCCCTCCTGGTCTCAGGCCTCCGCTGGCCCGCCGAGGCCGCCGCCCTCGGGTTCCTATGGAACGTGGGCCGCGTCCTGTACGCGCTGGGGTACACGCGAAACGGGCGCGCCAACCGGCTCGGCGACGCCGTCGCGGGTGTCATGCGCCGCGTGGGTTACACCATGCCCGGCGCGCGCAACGGCATGGGCAGGCTGTGGGGCAGCTGGTTTAATATCGTCCAGGTCGTGCTCATGGGGATGGCCGTGAGGGTTGGGTGGGATATGGTGCGGGTTTGAAAACAGACACCCGCCTTTCTTTGTGTCGGTGACAACCGGACGGGAGCAGGTGTTGTTAGATGAACGACACAGCAGCAGGAAGGGGGGGGGGTCCGTTTCAATAGCTCTCATTATATTCTAAATGGCCCTGCCCGTCCGTCCGTCCGTCTATCTACGCAACAACCCTCCCAATATCCCTCCCACAAACCCTCTCACTATCCAAAACAAGCGGGCCCCCGCCGGCCCCACTAGCATCCAACGACACCGTGACCCTCCTCCGGTCCGCAACAACCCGCACCGTCTCCCCCAGGTTCCGGTAGTCCGTCTCGCAGTGGCCCGCCGCGGCGGCGGGGCTCTTGCGGCCCTGGCCCTGCCCGTGGCCGTGGCCGTGGTAGTCGCTGCTGCCGTTGTTGTTCTCCCCAGGCCCCCCGCCGCTCTCCCGGACCTCAACGCTCGGGTAGGGGAGGTGCCCTTCCCTGAGCGGGATCAGCACGAGCGGGATGTCGGCCTCGTTGACGGGCGAGGAGCTCATGAGGTCGCCTTCCTCGCCGGGCGAGGACGAGGAGGCGTTGCGGCCCGGGATCACGAAGTGGCCCTTCTTCCGGCCGCCGACGAGCCACGTGTCACTCGGCGCGGTGACGTCGTAACTGAACTCGTCGCCCGTGGCCTCCTCGGCCGCGCTCCCGGTGTCGAGCTTGCTCGTGTCCCAGACCCGCGTCCACTTGAGGTGCAACGTCGCTGGGAGGAGCTGGTTGACGCAGACAAGGGGTGTCTCGAACTCGTCGACTGGCTCCACGAGCGACGGGATGGGCCTCTGCAGCCGGATGTCGGCCGTGTGCACGACCGGTATCGACGGCACGTCTACTGGGATGAGGATGCACTGCTGCTGTGTGGGGTCTACTTGGCGCATTGCTGGGATTTTCTGGGTCTTCCGCGTCCAGTCGACTATGAACTGGGCCATGAGTACCGGCAGGCTTTCCCCAGTAGGCGTTGTCCCCAGACCGGTGAAGTGCTTCTGCCACTTGACCTCCGTCAGGAAACTGAGAGGCAATTCGCCCAGCGTCGCAGACCTTTCTAGGTCATAAGCGGTGAGGTCGCCCTTGACCCGGTCCAGCACACTCGCCACCAATGTCCTGCTGTATTTCCACAACTCAGTGTCTTTAAGCGCTTCAGTCAGAGAATCACGGATATTATCCCTGATCTCATCCTGGAGGACACTGTATGACAGCTTCAAGTACATGGTCTTATTGGTGTTGGGGCCGATCCTGGACCCCGGAATCCGATTGATTTTGTAGATCAGGCTCGCCGGCTGCTTGGGGAAGATGACGACCGGGTTCGCAGGTGGCACTCCAAATCGGGACTGAAAGACATCCGATTCGATGAGCTCTGATTTGAATAGGCGCAACGGGCTCTGGGTCGCTGTAGAAACTGTGAACCGTGAAAAGAGCGCTTTGTGTTTGAACACATCCTGCACATTGACACCCAGTTTCAGGGCCAGTGGGATTGAAGGCGTCTTGGACAGTGTGAACGTTCCCCGGGAGGTGGTGTATTTGACCTCGACTTTGATGGAGACACTGGGGGTGTCCTGCTCAGTGGTGAACGGTATGCGGGCCTTGACAGACGACCTGGCAGCCAGAGACTTGAACAGGAACAGACCTGGCTCGGACGATGCTGGGTCATCATGCTCCGTCGTGCCCAGTATTTGAGCCTCTGCGGTAAGAAGCCGGAGCCCTCCGGTCGCAGACCGAACGCGAATCTCGCACGACTCAACCTCATTCCACCCCGTCGTCAAGTCGAGGTCCATTGCGTAATTCCTGTCGAGTTGCGTTACTGTCGACGGCTCGACCCGCAGGTCAAGTGTGTCGGTACGCTGGTATAAGGATACGTATGGATTCCTCAAATTCACCGCATCGCGTTCGATGGGCTGGAATGCTTGCCTCTCAAAGCTGAGCTTCAAGGGGCCGCTGTGCAATTGAACTCTGTCGACTTCATACGCACCCGGACTCATGGACATACAGCGCAGCTGAATCTTGTTTCGACCGGGTTTTAGTTCCAGCTCTCTGTCACTCTCTAACCACATCTCGCGCCCACCAGTGGTGACAATCCGCAAGAAGGCCTTGTCGATGGGCAGTGGGTCAGCTAAGACACTCCGTAGTGCGAGAGTTAGTGTGAAGCTATCCTGGTCATCGTCGTACGCCGGTGTGCCCTCAATCTCAATATGAGTGAAGAAATTTTGGAGGGAGTGTTTCAACTCCTTGTCGAGGGACTTCGCGGCAGCTAAAAAGTCAGGGAGGAAGCCCTTGAACAGCTCGTTTTCTGCGTATTCTTTGGCTGGCTTCTGGCTGACTTTGACGGTGCCTCTTTCCTCGATTCTGTCCTTCTCGGAGTTCGCCGCTTTTGAGAGAAGTTTCAGCATGACCTTGACGTAACCCTCGTCTCGTTTCAGTTCCCGCAGACATTTGGAGTACATGACGAGCATGGAGAGCTCAAGCAAGGTCCACCCGCTCTCTCCATAGAACGGCGTCGTCTGCAGGAAACACTCCGCCGCGGCGGAGTAGTCCCCCAAATAATATTTCATGACGGCAAGGTCCGCTATATTCGCCAGGATGGAGTGTGTATGACCAGCAACAGTGTAGTGACGCTTAGATTTGTCAGTAAGCATCTCGTACAAGCGGTAGAAATCCTCCTTTGTGTCTAGAGCTGTACGAAGCAGCTTGTTGTCGATGCCCGCAAGGGTAAGCTCTGGCGATAGCATCGTGGCCTCAGGCGAAGGACTGGGTGGTAAGTCGTCGTCAAGATTGACGTCTTCCATTTCCTGCAATCCAGTCTCCCCTATGACCGGTGCAGAAGACCACCCATCACTCCATCCTCGTTTCTTGCCGCACTCCTCTAGTATGTTGCGCGACAGTGCGTAAAGCTCGGCCCTCCTGGCAGCCAAGTCTTCCTGCCCTGATTTGTGGTGCCGCTGATTTATCGTATCCTGCACGTCAGCTGTACTTGCCCTGCGAGTCCCCGGTCCTGGAAAGAAGTTCGGACTAGGCAGTGGCGGCATTCGGCTATCCCCTGCGGTCGATACCCTGAGAGAAGTTGTTCTCGCCGGGTGCATCATGGTCTTGGGCTCCGGTATTGACTCCTTCGACTTCTGCTCCGAACCTTTGTCACCAGTGGTAGTCGTCGCCGCTGGTGGGATGGGCAAGGCCTTTGTAGATGTCTGGGCGAGAATCTGCTGTGCAATGGAAAACGCAAAGGAGGCAACGATATTCTCCGCCACTTCTGACACGAGGCTCTCATAGGGCAGTGTCGTTGCGGGCGTCACACCGCCTGCCTCGAGCTTGCGCTGATCGGCCAGAGCGGCAACGACATCGCGGCGCATAACCTGAGAGACAGCCGGTATGAATTCGAGGGTGCGTTTGCATATTTCGGCCAGCATTGACAGGTTTTCGGACTCGTCCGTTGGCTGTGGCGGAGGTGCCCGTGGTGCAACCCCGTGCAGTATAGAGTCTTGTTGCTCTTTAACCTTGGCAAGCAGCTCTTCGCGCGTGGACCAGGCGTTGCCCAAACGGAGGAGCAGAGCGATCTGGCGTGCGAAGATGTAGCACCTGAAATCAAAGATCGACACGTTGTTGGATAGGATAAGGTCCCGGTAGGGCTTCTTCATGACGGAGATGGGGATGTCGTCGAACTTCTCCTGGGGCTCTTCTTCCTTGGAGGAGGACTGCAGATCGACTGTTTCCTCGTCATCAAACTCAAGAGTCCCTGTACTGGCAGCCACCATTGCGGCTTGGGCGATTTTCTTGATATCGGGGGTATGCGGAAGTAGTGAGCCACCGTGAACCTCAGCGAAGTCGGCCGCGGCTTGCTCCTGTATTATGGTGTCCAAGCCAACGCTCAGCTCGTCGTATCCAACGAGGGCATCATCCACAAGCCCCACGCTCTCGAAGCCCCTCGCCAACCCCTCCTTCAGAATGAAGAAGGTGCAGAAATTCCAGCCGGGCAGACTTCGCATGGCATCCTTCTCTTTGATATCCTCCTCGTACTGGGTGACCCTCATGTCGAAGCTAGCGAGGATCAACCTCTTGAACTTGTCGATGAGATCCGCCCAGGCGACCTTGGCATCCTCCTCGGTCTCCATATAACCGGTGGGCACGGCGGGCACGACTCTCGGCAGGAGATCGTAGGGCACATCGTTGATACCGATGCGAATCTGGGCTATCCTATCGACATTGGCCTTGGAGGAGCTCCCGAAATCACTCCTCATCCTCTCTAAAAGCGGTGTTGTGTTCTTTCCCCACCGGGACGTTGTCTTTGCCACGGGCGCGGCGTCGGAGCTGCCTGTCATCCTAGGCTGGGTAGCTGCGACGGTGTTGGGCACGACGACGTGTATGATCAGGAGCTCGCACGCATCGTGGTTCTCGGCGGGGGTCCGGCCGTCCTTCTTGGTGCTTGTGGTGGCGACCGGCGGAGAATGCTCCTTGAGCCAGTCACGCATCTCGGAGCGGACGGAGGACTTGTACTGGTCGTTGTCATCGCATCGGACCAGGAGTACCTTCAGGTAGGGTGTGCGGCGCAGGCCCGGGATCTGGTGGCGGCGGACGTTGGCGGCCGAGGGGCCATAGCCGGGCGAGTATGGCTTGTTGGGGAAGGTATCGTCGGGGTCGGCAGTGAGTCGGTTGCCCCCTGCAACCTGCTGTGTCTGGAAGCCATCGAAACCACCATCGCCCCCGCCCAGGGTGGGTGTTATGGACGGTTGCCTCTGCTTGGGCGCCTTGGCGGCGGCGAGGGCATCGACGAGCTCGACATGCAGCGTCTCGATAGACCGCAGAGGGCCGGCGTGGGACTGCCAGTGCAGGTTGTGGAGGGGGAGTCGGGGTAGCAGGCCTGGGGCAAGCAGCTTATAGACATCGTGAGGGTCGAAGTAGTCGACTGGGCGGCGGCACGTGTCAGCATCAGACACCGTTTGGGGACATGCGAGGACAGGCTGGCTGTCTTACCCGTCACCTTTGAGGTCGAGAAGGGCTGTTCCTGTTCCATGCTGAACAGCTGTCATGGGCACGGTGGCTGTCGCATTGCTGTCGCGCCAGGTATCCGTATGCAGGGCCAGCTCAGCAATGCATCGTCGACTTTTGGTTCAAATGTTGTTTTGGCCTTGGGTTGGGAGTTGCTGCCGTCGGGAGGTGGTTGCGCAGCCGCTAGCGCAAACGTACCTCCCTCAGGACCCCTGAGCCCGGCGGAGCCCCCACGTTAGGGAAGCTCCAGCAACGTCACCCCAGAAGGGAAGGCGGTCACAGCCCCACGGTGTCAAACGGTTGGCCGTGGTTTCTGGTCCCGTTTTATGGCCAAATGGCTGGCAAAATATCGCCTGCAGTCCATATTTCTGGCAGATGCCGTTCGGATTTGTAAAGTCGACTCTTTGATTTCCCAACACATTCCTAATGACACAATCCTTTGCCATTTAGCTTTTGCAACTATGACGTGAATCAGCTACAGCACATGAGGAACTATGAATGTACCAACGAACGTGTTACGTATGACAAGGTAGGTGAGACGAGCTTTGAACTGCCGCCTGTGGTGCGCGGTGGTAACACTATAAGTCGATGAAACGATGTGAACTGTCAGTGAATGTATCTTGGACAAGATACCTACCTAGGTAGCTAGTGGATATCGAGAACGTAAACAGTAAACATTGTCCATGTTGATAAATGTCGAGTTGTTATATAGACATTTGGCATCAAAGTTGAACAACCAGCGCTAGTACAGCAGGGGACCCCTGAAGATTGACGCAACAAGACGGAGGGGCAGAACTTTTCAGCAGCATGGAGGGGCAGCTTTCTGCCCGACTTACACAGCATACACCATCGTACAGCCAGTCAGTATATTTATGCCCTCTCAACGACCCGTATCACTTCACCACCCATCATCGCAGACTAATATTTTACCCCGAATCGCCAGTCATCCAGAAACTATCACTCAAGGCATATAAAAACCCCCAACAACAACAGACAGACAAGATGGCCAGCCTCCAAGCCATCAAGTACACGCGCGGCCGGCTGGACGTGCTGGACCAGCTGAGGCTGCCCCACGAGCACCACTACGACGAGGTGTCCAGCTGCGAGGAGGCCTTCGACTGCATCAAGGCCATGAGGGTGCGGGGCGCCCCGGCCATCGCCATCGTGGCCGCCCTGGCCCTGGCGGTCGAGCTTGACCGCGGCGCATGCAGTGAGTTCAGTCTTGCATGAATGCGAGCATACACATGCATTACATCCATTCCAGATTTGAGACTACATAAACAAGGCTAACATCCACCCAGCCGCCATGTCCGCGGACGACACGATCAAGTACATCGACGCCCGGCTGGACTACCTCAAGGAGTCCCGCCCCACGGCCGTCGACCTCACAAACGCCATCAACCACCTCAAGGCGGCCACCCGCGCCGCAGCCCCCTCGGAGCCCGCCGCCGTCGTCGCCGCCTTCGTCGAGACGGCAGAGGCCATCCTCGCCCGCGACCTAGACACCAACCTCGCCATCGGCGAGCACGGCGCCGCCTGGCTGGCGGGCGCGTGCGGCGCGGACGACACGCCAGAGAACCAGGTCTCGGTCCTGACGCACTGCAACACGGGGTCCCTGGCGACGTCGGGCCACGGCACCGCGCTGGGGATCATCCGCACGCTGCGGGCCAAGGGCCTGCTGCGGCACGCCTTCTGCACCGAGACGCGGCCCTACAACCAGGGCAGCAGGCTGACGTCGTTCGAGCTCGTGTACGAGGGGATCCCGGCCACGCTGGTGGCGGACTCGATGGCGGCGGCGCTGTTCCGGCTGCGCGGGGCCAAGGGCAGGGAGGGGGGCATGAACATCGGCGCCGTCATCGTCGGCGCGGACCGCGTCGTGCGCAACGGCGACACGGCCAACAAGATCGGGACGTACCAGCTCGCCGTGCTGGCGCGGCACCACGGGGTCAAGTTCGTCGTCGCGGCGCCCACGACGTCGGTCGACCTAGAGACGCTCACGGGCGACGGGATCAGGATCGAAGAGCGGAGGGCCGAGGAGCTCACGCAGATCAGCGGCGCTGTTGTCGGTGCTGACGGCGCCGTGGATGTTTCCCAGACGGCCAGGGTGGCTATTGCGGACCAGCGGATCGGGGTGTGGAACCCTGCGTTTGATGTCACGCCCGCGGAGCTGATCGACGCGATTGTGACGGAGAAGGGGGCGGTGGTGAAGAACGCCGAGGGTAAATTTGACTTCAGGGAGGTCATGCCGGAGAGGTGGGCGCAGGTTGTGGGCGGACAATGAGACAAAGGCTGGTGTAAGCCAGGCCCACGCAACCAGGGCATATAGGAAGGATCACGATAGGTCTTGTCGCCTCCCATGTCTATGTACAATTTGGCCTCCTCGCAGGCTGTGATACCCACTTAGTGCTTCAGAGAATGCAAGATGAGCTTCTGAAAGCCCTCCACCGCGTCCTCCAGGTCGCCCACTGTCAGCGCCTCGTTATCGCCGTGGGCGACTAGGATGCTGCCAGGTCCATACAGGTACCGGGTGTGGTTGCCCTCCAGGAACGGGATGTCGGTGCCATAGTTGGCGACAATAGTATCGAACCCTACCAGAATCATACCCATTAGTGCCTGTAATCACTCTATCGTGTTCTGAGCTTTTGAGCCAAGCAGGAGACCACTTACCGTCCACCTCACAGTCACAAGGCACCACGCCAACGCCCCCAGGGCAATCCACACTCAGCGCCTCATCATCCACAGACGCAAGCACGGCCTTCATCCGCTCCCGCACAATCTCATGCCCAGTCTCCTGCGGCCCGACAGCAACCCGGAACACCAGAGTCGCAGCGGCGTGGGCGGGGATGACATTCGGCGCCACCCCGCCCTGCATGGTCCCAATATTCACAGTGGTGTTCCCAAACCGCTCGCTGCTGCCCAGGTCCGCCGACACGACCGCCGCCAGGCCCCGGACCAGCACCTCGTTGGCGCTCTTGCCCAGCCACGGGTACCCGCTGTGGCCGGCCTTGCCCGCCGCCGCCACCTCGCACGTCATGGTGCCCTTGTGCCCGCACGCCAGCTTGTTCTCGGTCGGCTCGCCGAAGATGGCCGCCCGGAAGGCCAGCGAGGAGGACCTCGCGTGCGCCGAGAAGGCCTGCATCCCGTCGCCGTACCGCTCCTCGCCTACCACGTACGCCACCATCAAGTCCTCGGGCGCGACGGCGCCGCGCGCCAGCAGGGCCTGCACGGCTGTGAGCTGGGCCGCCACGCTGCCCTTTGCGTCGACGGAGCCCCGGCCCGCGATGGTGGTGGACCTCGTTACCTTGCCGTCGGATATGGAGTAGGGGATGTGCGGTGGGACCACGTCGATGTGGCTGGTGACAAGGATCTTGGGGTCGGGCTTCGTGGCGTGGTGTTTTGAGCTTTTTGATGGGGGCCACGCGACGACGTTGAGCCGGTCGCTGCCCTCGGGGGTGTTGTTCCTGGGGACTACCTTCTGCACCTCGTAGTGCCATGACCGCGAGATGAAGTAGTCGATCAGGAAGGCGCCGACTTCGTGTTCGGCCCCCGTCGTGGAGGAGATGTCGACGAGGTTCTTGTGGAGGGCGAGCAGGTCATTTCGGTATGCCGGCGCGTTGTCGGTCGTGGCGTCGAATGATGCGGCTTTGCCTTCGCCAACGCCCAATGGCTGCTGCTGCTGGCTGAGCAGGGAGCCCGTCGCCTGGCTCAAGCCCAGCGCGAGAAGAAGAAGTTCGTGGCACAACATCCTGGGGCAGATATCTTGGGTCGCGTCGATTGATGCCAGCAGCTCAATGGGTGGTGCAGGAGCTACGGCTGGAGCTCCAGGTAAGCTCTGGTGCTCTGCCATGACATTTTGGCTCGGCACCTGCTCGGCACCTGCTCGGCACCGACATCGGCATGGGTCCAATAAGTGTGAAGGAAGTGCCTAGGTACTTATTACCCTCCATGCCTTGTAGTAACTGTCAGCTGTGCCGAAGACCTGCAATGTTAAGCGGTCAGTACTCACATCTGGTAAATAGTCGCATCTCGCTCGCCTATCCTGCTTGCTCCTTAACACCTAGGCCTCCCGTTGGCGAACTCGAGAAATTCGGTAGGACTGATCAACCAGGTTTCATACGACAAGAAGGGCAACCTCGGGGCGGGATTTTCTTACTGCTGAGCCTTCAAATGTTCCCAGGGTTTCAAGTAAAGCGAGCAAGAAAGGAGGAGCAAAAAAGAGTACTCTACCATCCAACCATCAAATTCGCAAAGTCTAGATAGTCACCTCAATCTAACTTATCATATGCGACCAAGAGAGTTTGTTGCAGCTCATGCCATGCAAGTGCCAAATACTGTCATCCATACTGAAGTCAGGAGAGCGTGTTGTTCTCTGGGGAAACAACTGATATCTGTCTGCAGAGGGACTCCTCGTCTTCCCAGACTTCCTCTACTCACTTCACTTCTTCTCTCGACCCTCACACAACAACTCTGGATGCACACTTCAAGGTTTTGTTTACCCTTTGATTGGCACGACTGCATCCAATTGATGCTTCAACGACCTTCAACAGGAACTGTCTTATACAAACGTCCTGCTTCACCTCCTGCTTCACCTCCTCATCACCATGACTTCCATCTGGTGTCCCACCCCACTCTAGACACTTTGATCCTCATTGCTTTCAGCACATCCTGGGGAAACACGGTCTCAGCACACTCAGGCCGGCGGCGATGGCCGTATGGCCAAGCGCTCCCACCTGCATGCTCCAAGAGCATGTCATCATTGAGCGTGTTCTACCCCCAGGTATATATGATTTGACAAACTGCTGTATCTGACATGCGAAGTGAGGATGATCCCGCTCGCATGATTGATGACCTTGTCGCCAACCAGGCGCACCAGCAATCCTTGTTACAAACATGACGAACATACAAGACGTCAGCTTTTTAGCTGCCGCATAATCTTTTTTCAGAGCGACAGCCCAATACAGCCTCAGTCAGGATCTTGGCACACAAGCCTGAACGATTTGTATCGCACAGCAACTCAACAGTGCCTTCGATCGCATCATCATTGGATGCAGGGCAACGCTGGGGGTTTCCGTTGCTGTGACTTGGGGGTCTGTCTTCCATTTCTTCTTTTGTGAGAGGAGGGGTTGGGGGGGACGAGGAGAAGGCTGGCTCGGAGTCACTTGATTTAATCGAGTGGCCATATGACATTTTGTCAAATCGTTCGAGTAGCATGCTCAATACAATAATTTCCACTCATGGCCTCGCTGAAATTTACCCAGCATGCGTGCATCGTTGCTCATGCACACTGGCGCACGGCAGCATAGTGTCTCAGGCTGTAATTCCCCTCTGGGCACCGGAGGTGGCTGTTGATTCGACTTTGCAGCACGCCTGATGCTTGGTCTCACCGGCCGGTCCCCCAGCGGGGCTCTTGCCCAAGGCTTCATTCAGCTTCTGTGACAAATCCAGCGGGCTCCCTTGTGCGAGGCGGCGGACCGCTATTTTCGCCAAGGTTGCCGGGTCGCTGGGTGACTGTGGCCAGGTCGCCATGCTTGACCAACTTTCAAAGTTTTGATGTAGCTGTGCTCTGCAAGACTAATTGATCAATTGCAAAATCTTCATAGTTTTGGTGAGATCAATCTGTGGGGCCCCCACGGCTCAAGTATCTCAGGCCTGTACCATGCGACCCCACCATTTCGCACACCCCACCATCTCGCACAGCCAATTTCCCCACACCCTACTAAAACTTTCAACTTTTAAACCTATATAAAAGGCTATATACTTAGTTTAATTTTAAGGGGATTTTTATATAAGTATATAATCTAGTATATAGTATATATAAAATATTTTTAAAATTATATCTATTTTATTTTAAAAGTTATATTAGGTTCTTATTTCTATATATATTATGTATATATAAGTTAATAAATTATAATTAAATAGTTTTAAGAAATATAATTTTAATAATATTATTTTATACTATTTTTACTTATAAAGATTAAAATTAAAATTAAAATTTTATATTAAGAATTATTTTATTAAATAAAAATTTTAAAATCTAATTTCTATTATAAAACTTTTATTTTTAATAAAAAAATTAATCTTATTATTCTTAATTAATTTTAATATAAATTAAAAAAATTAAATACTTTATTAAAAATAACTTTATAATATATATAAAAAATATTAATAAAATTTTAATAACTTTAAATAAGAAAGAAATTAAAAAAATAGTTATTAGTAGATAGATATAAACTATATATAAATTTTAATATTTTAACTCTTTTTAATTAAAGATTTATTATTAATAATAGAGAATATATAGAATTATTTTAATATCTTTATAGTAAGTTTTAAAAAATTAGCTTTCTAACTATATATAGTATATAAATTTTAAGCTAATAATAGTGAAAAAATAGAAGGTTGAACTATTGACTTTTATATAGGGTCTTGAAATTTTAGCTGTGCGAGATGGTGGGGTGTGCGAAATGGTGGGGTCCCATGGTACTAGGAGTCACCTGCCAGAGCTAGATGCAGCTACAGGTGCAGGCGGTGTCCGGCCCAGGCAGGTTTGGCCCTGTGCTAGTCATGCTGGCGTTCATTTAGCGCTTCACATTTTGAGCCCTGGAGAATAGAGTATTGGCCTAAAAGAGCCTCTTGGCTTCCTTAGCGGTGCATGTAAAATGCGTCGCCATTTCTGCTCAGGGCCGAGCAGTTATTGCTAAATCTGATGACGACGTCGTGGGCTCCCACAAGAAATGTTCCCAAGTGCCCGCCATGCAGTCCAAAGGTAGCTTCGATCCTACATAGGTACGTTGTTTTTAGAGATTCCCGTCTAGACGGTGCCCCTCAGCCTTGTGTGTGTGTCATAAGGCTGAGGCCATATGTACCTATCGTGTTTTAACTATATTTATAAATATAATATTTTTGGATGATAGGACTTAAGTATTTACTTTTATATAATAGTAATATAATTTAATTGAAGCTTTATTAAATAAGGTAGATGAATTATTTTTTAAATATATAATTAAAGAGTATAAGACTTTGTAATTTTAAGATAATAGAGTGTTATAATAGTAAGTCCCTACTACTGTCGATAAATGGCCTAGTCTCTATATTAAGGACCGGTGTCATACAGCTTGGAGGGTTAAGTCGGGTTAAAGCCCCCGCGGGTTTGAGTATATGATATTTTGCTGAAAGAAGGTTTTCGGCTGGTAGTCTAACTTGGCCAAGTAGGGTGCAAGATTATATTCTAAATGTCTACACAAGGTCGTTCTTGATACTCTTTAAGGAACCCAAAGAATTAAACCAATCGATGGAAAGTGTAGCTCTGCGATAGGACCGCGTCCGTATAAGGCTGGGAAGGCGCCGTTATGGGAGCCATATCCTCAACATCAATGGACGCACTGAAATGACGAGTCTTACTGAATCTCGCGATTTGTGCAAAGCCAACAGTAGAAATCATCGATTGAATGGTTATACAGGATCGATTTGGCGAAAGATAGGTCTTTCTCACTCTGACAGCCGTGGTATCGGCTTTCCTGCCCTGCAGATCCAGCAACGTCCTATACATACAAATAAGGAAGGGGTGTGAGCCTCCTAGTACAACAACGAACATGCCGATTTGAGTGACAGATGTTGGTCGACGACGCCGATCTGCCTCCAAAACTACAGAGGGATTCCAAGGTTCTTAAGGGCGCCCTGGGCTGTAATCGAAATGTTAGGTCAAGATTTCTTCGGTGGAGAAGGGGATCTTTCTCTACTCACCAGCATCGACGCCACTGGCCACAGTACCCTCAAGACCATTCGCGCCGCCGGAAGCTGGGAGGAAGCTAGCCTAAGCATGGCCGTCAGTCTAGGTTCAGAATCTATAAATAATGATGGGGGAAGGAACCGCTTACCAAGGGATTGAGGGCACCGGGGAGTCCAGCTCCTGCTGCCGCAGTAGCGCCACCTTGTAGAAGACCGGTCTTGGTTTCCGAAGGTCAGTATGTGCTCAGGGCCTTTTGTTTGCAGGCAAGGCATTGTAAGAGATGCGATAACCTACCAGGGCATCAAGGCCACCGGCCCCACCAGCCCCGCCTGTGCCTCCCAGGAGGCCGCCGGTGAGGGCATCGAGCTGACGTTTCTTCTCTGGTACGAAGGCCTGGCCTGGCTGGACGGTACCCACGCGGCCTTGGATGCTCGTCGGGGCTGCCAGAGCCACGGCGATGAAGGCGGCGATGAGAGCGATGTTGCAGTGCATTTTGAATAGAGAGTAGTAATAAGAATGGAAAGTCGCAGACTTGTGTGGGCTGAGAAGTGGATCGAGTAGTAATAAGAACGGAAAGTCGCAGACTTTTCTAGGATGAGAAGTGGATGGCTTATAGAAGGAGAGAGTAATGCTGTGTGGGTGGATTGGGAGTATGGTGGACGAGGATGAGATGTCAAATTCGTCAAGGGAGGACATTCGCTCAGCGCCTTATATATAATATCGACTGATTCTATTTTATTTCCCTAGCCACGTTGTTGTTTCCTGTACACTTCTCAAAACAATCCTCATCGGGTGCAAGTTCTCGTTCCAAGGCCCGGTCCTGCCGAGGAACGGTGCCTCCGAGCGCCCGAGCTTGGCCTCCGTATGTAGACATCCATGGTGCATCATTGGCTGTTTGAAAAGCCACGGCCCGATAACCATCAGCCAAACGGGTCGGTTGAGTTGCCTGACTGGGCGTCCCGCTGCCAGCGCTGTCAAGAGCATCCCTTCGGACGTCTAGCATGAAGTTGCGCCGTGTCCATATCGAATGCGCCGGAATGCAGGCAACGATAGGTGAGAATTTGAGATTCGAATAACACTCTGATCGTGCAGGTTTTGTCTAGTATTCCCTGGGGTTTGATTTTAGCTCCCGGGAAGGTGTCGGGGTCGACGGGTTCCCTATAAACAAGATGTACGCGGGTTCGGGTTGCAGTTGCAATCAATGGTACACAAGCCTGCGCCGCGGGTTAAAAAAAGGTGAAAAGACTGCACTCCTTACTCAGCCGGGCTAAAGAATGTCGTCTGATCATGTCGGTTCGTTCAATAGAGGGGGGGAAACGTGGCCATAATAATCTAGCCCGAAACAAAGTCAGCCCTAGAGCTTCAGACTGTGGAAGGGGCTGCTCTTGACGCTTTGACCCGGGCTAATTGCTGCCAGTTGGTGGGATTGTCCCCATCCTCCAAGTAGAAATGAATTCCACATCATCGCTTCGCAGATATGCTGTGAGATCCTCAAGATGTTGATAAATGAGCTCGTGAACATGGTAGGGAAGCTTGAAATAGAGTAATGAGGAGGACCTTCACTGCTGCACTGGGAGGTAATTCATGCTTCACGTACAAGCCGTCCGTCCCATCAATGGCCTATGGTGAGGGATTGCTACGCTATATATAAGTCTATATTATTGAAACTATGAATTTAGAGTATGTTCTCCACTTAATATTCTCCACTACAGAGCAGTGCCAAACCCACCAGCTGTTTCTCGCATCACTTCTCCACGTGATGCTATAGCCTCGTTGCAGAATAAGTGGGTTCAAGAGGGTGGTTAGTGTTTTTTTTTTAAGCTTGAGTTGACTTCTTCAGGTCACGCCACTCTCAGCGAGCGTCCACCCTGAGTGTCTGCAGGCCCCGGGGGAAAGGAATCACATTTCTTCGCCCATCGGCCCGCACAGCGGTTGCCTTTTGTCTCCGCCGAGTCTCAAGGCTTGGATTCCTTCAGTTTACCTAGCTCACTAATACCCTAGGTTACGTAGTAGCCATGACTACAAATATGTGCGCATGATTGGGTGAAGGGTAGGTAGCGATACTCCAGTGGATTTTCTGTAACACTTTGAATGTATGCCCAACACGAGCACATTGCAGAGCCAAGCGTTGTTTTTTGCCTACAACCTATCATCAGCGGAGTGGACGTTGTTGAGCGGGGATCTGCGCAGGGGCAGTTTGAGCGTTATGCATGGTCAGCGCGCCAGGAGGGTAGGATACTCTTCCAGAAGCAGGTAACGAAAGCAGGAATGGCGATTTCACGGCTGAACAGCGGACACGATGTCACAGATTGCGAAGAAGCTCCCAGAGTGTCCATTTCAGGTCCTAGGATTCCAGTCAGGAGGTAGTAGCAAGACGAAAGGACAAGATCCTTCGTCCTGCCTGTAATTCAGTTGTTGCAGGAAATTGAAGAGGACCTACAGTACGTAAGACAGCGTCGTTGGAAGATGCTTATCACTGGTTGGGATCACTTGTGAAGGAATACTTCCGGGCCTTTATTGTTTTCTTTTCTTCTTTTTGCCTTCCAACGGCTGGCGTTTTGAGCGTTGACCACCGTATGAAGGCACCATGTATGTCCTCAGACATATACGAAATAGAAGCGAAACCACATAAACTTAACCCCTTAATAGATTTAACGTATAATAATATTTCACTAACATTTTACGAGTCGTTTAATATAGTATCTTGATTTTAATTAAAGGTTAAGTTTTAACATACATGCGTACCTATGTCAGGGACCCCCCTCCCCCTGGTAGGTACACAGCAACTAGGATTCTCACTATATTTTGGTGTGTGGTCTTTTCTTCCCATCCACAAACCTGATGAGCTGGCGAACGGTCTTCATGTTTCCAAGAATGATCGAAAACACATTCAAGATGATACCAGCGAGTTGGAGTTGAGAATCAGATAAGTTAAAAAAGACAGCTGCGACAACACCAATTGAAAGGTGAAGCCCAAAGAGAGCAATGGGCCATCCCAAAGTCATGTTATCCTCTGCGTTTTTAATCAAGTTGTAGCGGCTGAGCAGATTCTCCCTTAATGTTGCTAAGTCTCGGCTTTGGTTTAGGGCGGACAACTTTTTCATTTCCAATGGGAAATAACGGTCGAGGTCTTTGACGTCTTCTAAGCTCCTGCCATGCTCAAAAGCCTGCGCGTCAGAGAGATGTTGATCCACGTCCGTTCCCCGTGATGTCTCCGGGGTACCGGAGTGCGTGGGCTCCAGGCTGATGTGATCATCGGAATGGGTCGCTCGCTGTAGAGAAGCCGCGGCTTCCTCAAAGTACTGATTGGAACCCCGATGATCAGGTGTTTCTGCTATGCTGGCTGTTGCACCTGTCTGGGAGCATGCTTGCGTGGCTCGGTCAAGATATCCAGCGACTCCATTTTCGTCTTCCTCTGTTGCTTCACTTCCCAAAGGGTCTTTGCGTGTTGCGCGATATGCTGCAAAACCGTAAGCAACAAAGAATGGTGGAATTGAACGTGTTCTTGAATAACCCACAGGCATATGCCTCGCCGATCGCTAGGAAAGGAAGAAAGAGCAACAGCAATGCCGTTATCTGACCAAACCCCATCTCCGTAGACTCCTCAGAGAGCTCTGGCGAATCCCATCTATACACTACAACCTGCGCGATACCAAAGCAGAAACTGTATGTCATGTCTGGGAAGGTCTCCAGGAATGATCCGTCATAGAAGAACAGGCCGAGGCGACTTCGCGCATGTTCTCGAGGCTTGTCAATAAGATCCAGGATCTCCTTAGACCGACTCTCGTGCTTCGTTGCTGTGAGCTGTTTCATGCGTGAAGTGAATTTTTGATCGGTTGCAGAATCCGTGTGAACCTCGTCGCGGCGAGATTCCTTATCGCGGCTTGACCTGAGCTCGGCAACGTCCCAGAAGCTTGTAAGTGGGCCAAGGTAGATCTTGCGAACTGCGCTAAAGTAATCAATCCACAAGGGGAGGAGAGACGGTATAACGTAGAATTGCAGCGAGGGTTCATTCCCAGGACAGTCTATAGGAATTTCGAATATGGTTATGGATGTTGTCCTGATGAAAGCATAGGACAGGAGGCCCATGAGGCAGATCAGGCCTGCCACGCGAAAATGTCTGATTACTCGATGCCTTTGGAAATGGACACAGAGCACGTCGATGGTGGTCAGATGGGTCGTGCACGAGAACCATCCGAGGCAGGTGGCGACGGAGAAGTCATATCCTGTAAGTGTTTGCTGCCCAGAGACGGCTGCGACCAGGACGGCAAGTCCTGTGACCAGTTGCTGATCACTCAGGCTGATTAGGAAGTTTGAGACAGCGTCTTTGCGGGCTTTCCTGGAGGCATCATCGCTTTGATCTCGTCTGGTCGCAGCAGTTGTTTTGATACCCACTTCCGGATTCTGGTTCCTGGGCTTGGACCTGAATAGGAGCTTTCGAGTCATAGCAACCACTTTGGCATCAAACGGATTGATAAGATCTCTGTCCAGTGTGTCTGTGATGTAGGCGAATATTACAGTCAGATAAGTAATAGCAGCAGTTATGAAAAAAGCCGCCAGAGCCTGTAAGTCAGCAAGGGTAATTGGCACTTATCGAATTTGAAGACCTACTCCAGGACCAACAATATCGTTCTCGGCATCTAGCAGGCCGCTGGGACTGGTACAATTCGCCATGATTAATTCTACCCACGACCTCTGTCAAGTGACGGTGAAGAGGAAGACCAGATAATGACATGGGCGGGAAAAACACAGAAACAATGTGAGATCAGGCTCTCGGCATTCATGAAGAGGGGTGATTTATAGTCGCGGCGACAATATTGAATCAGAGCCTCATCACTTCCAAAGTTGTGCAACTTCCCCGCACCCAGCAACCTACAGCTGAAAACTAACCCAAGCGATGCATGCCAGCTGGCCAAAGGAAAACTCATCTACCATTTGGATGTTTGGGATCAGCTGCCAGGCCCCGCTTGGCTTGGATCTGCGTTGGGTGGCTGACACTTGCAGAGGTGCGACATTGGAACGGATGCTTCCGCATGTCTGCCAAGCCCTGGACTCATGCGCGGACTCAAAGTGCAGCCTTCTTCTTTTGGCACAAAGTGTTGTGGCGTCTCAGCCGCAGAACATTAGCACCGCCGGAGCTGGACGGGTCTGTTCCCTTGCACCTCCCGAGTCCTCGAATAGGATTTTCAAATGCTTCCAGACGAGTCTTTGGTATTAGCCGGGGATCTGCTCCCCCAGCCGTCTGTCAACAACGACCAATGATACCTACTCTCAGCGCCACTCATCTCGTTCAACGACTGGCTGACGGTGAAATATGAAATAACTCCAGATCCTCGGCCTGGGGTGGCAAGGGTTGGTCCTCGATGCCTTTGCATAGGCAGAGAAGGTTCCGACAAACACACTCTCATATATGCGGACATCAGGACCTTGAGAAGCCTAAAACGACCTTCCTTATGGCAGTCCGGCGATACCCTATACCAGGCCACAAAAAACAGGACACCCAAGGCATATTTGTAGCATCTAGCAAGATAGCCGAATTGGCACTGTTTTTCTGTGGAGCCAGATCAACCCTGGCGACCGCCATAACGACGGCAATGCCGGTGCCGCCCACAAACGAGGAGCGACTGCCAGTCGTTCCCGAATTGAACTGCAAACGACCCCAAAACCCCCTCTGCGCCAACAAACGCCTGAAGTCTACCTCGAGAAGTAATTCTCTAGTGGGTGGTGTGATTATGGTTGCAGTTATGTGGTCTTACACCCCGCAGAGTTCTTCAATGTTTCCCACCGTGTGAAGGCGCCATGTAAGTCCTCATATGTATGCAGAATAGAAGAGAAACCAGTATTGATAAGGTATGGTATGTACGAGATCACGACAGACTTCCTGGCTGTTTTGAAACGCGAGACCGTGTCGACTGGTCAACGGAGCCTGATCTGCCGCATCATCGGCGTGTTCGTTGAGCAGGTCTTACAGACCCTGCCGGTGATGAAGATCCCATTTCCAGCATACTTAGGTAGATAACATGCCCGGGGTTGTGGTCTCCAACGTGTGGATTAATTCTGATTGGTCTATGATGGGGCGCAAGACCCTTCGAATTTTGCGTTGACGGAACCTGACAGGGATATGTCATCCCGCATGATGGTTGCAACCCCATGCTTATGGCACCCCAGGCCCCTGTACCGGCTCCCGAACCAAGTTTTCGCGCGCCATTCTAGAGAATATATGGCTAAATCGCCAAGACTGGTCCCTGGTGATAATCACGTTCTATCGTCTCACCTGGTGTGGCGGCTCAACTACTGGATTCGTCTAGGTCGGTGGTGGAAGGCAGGGAAATCAGGGCGCGGAGCCAACCACAACGGATAAAGCTTTCGTGGTGATGTCAGCTTGTTGCTTCATTCAGCGTTGCCGGATATCTTGTTCTTGTGTATCAGCGGAGCAGGACTGTTAAGAGTTTCTGCTGTCCATGAACCCCACGCGCATACCTGGCTGCCTTCTATCTAGATCCTTCACCCCGGGCCATCAAACCGTCCCCAAGTGACTCTCCTTGTTATGTCAAACGCCTTGTGTTTACTAGAATACTTGGAGACCAGTGCAAGCAAACCAAAGAAATGCCTCAACGACAGCCTTCCACAAGCAAGCCCCCTACAGTGAGGCATCCCTCTATACGTTCAGAGAAGCCCGATCCTCAACGCCTGTCCTCTACTCGATCATCCACGACGCGAAACAACTCCGTCAGGACAGTCAATGGAAGTGCTCCACAGCGAAGACCCACCGCGGGGCTGGAGAGGCAAAACACCTTACAGACCCGCTACATGGAGATGCTCCTCCACCTTGACAAGATCCCCCGTCTTCACAACATCCTCGCAGCCCTCTTCGGCTGGCTCCTCCTCGCCGGCTTCATCGTCTTCCCGGGTACCTTCACCAGCATCCGCGACCTGGCCGAAGACCCGGACCTGGCCGCGAAATCCCCCACCGCCAGTGCTGTCCTCAGCCACGTCCAGAACATCCCCCTTCTCGTCGTCGCCGCCATATCCTGTGGGATAGGTGCCGCAGGCTTATTGTGGCTGTCGTTCCGGTGGCGATCAAATTACGTCTGGCTGCTCAACCGCATCTACCTCCCGGGTGCGACCAATGCCCTGGCTGGACTAATCTCGACTCTAGTCGTTGTCTACTCGCAGAAGGACGGGCAATGGAGCGTCACGGCTATGGTCACCGGCATTGTCGAGGCCGCCGACCTTGTCATCTGCGCCGCATTATTTGCATTCAATACGCTGCTGCTCAAGAGGGTGCAGCGGAAGCATGGAAAGGAGCTGGAGCAGCTGGAGCAGAGCGCAGACGAAGGGTTGTTTGAGAGGGCGGGCAGGAAGCTGCAGGAGCCTGCTCTGGAGCCACAGAGCGTCGTCTGAGTTTTGAGGGCGTGTGCGACACCGTGAAAGCTTGCAGGACAAGCTGTGTTGATATATCAATGTCTTGGATACCCTATCTTTTTGTAGCCCCGTGTGGTTTCGTTTTTAATCCCCATACATGTAAAATGTACGTGGCGCCTTCATACAGTGGTAAACGCTCAAGACCCAGCGTTTGAAGAAATCCAGTGCCAATAACAGTGGAAAGAGAATTTGTAGCCCCGTATTTGCAATTTCAAGATACCACACGTCAGGACGGGTGAGTAGAATGCCTTCGTGTCAGACTTCAACGGATCAATGGAATACACCTGCGCAGGTGATCTTTTTATCTTGCAGACCAGTCAAGTATAACTTTCTGTCTGGGTGCCAGAACTAATATCCAACATCTTTCTCCGCCATAATTGCTACAGCTGCCAGCCCCAAGAGCCGTATGTGCGGAGATATCGTCATTCTTAAAGGATATTTGGATTATTACAGTCGGCTTATTTGAAGAGAACTCGGAGCTGCAGTTTAGAATGGTGTTCTGATTTCGCGGATTCGTGACGAGGATAATGATAAATGAAGTTATGCCTGGGATGCCCAGGTAGATACGCAATCGCCCTAGAGACTATTATTAGGTGTTGATCCATTCGTCTTCGATCGCAGAGGAGATATCTCCTTATTGTTCTGAGTAGGCGGACTTGCCTGCGCTTAGCAGTTACGTCGCTGAGGAGCCTTGATGGAATTGCTATTTTCTATTTACCAGTCTTGCCTATGCCCCACCTTCAGACATGTTTGCCTGTAATTATTATACTGTTCATCGTTTTCATGTTATGAAGTTCCCGTGTCAGACCTCGGGACCTCTGTTGCGATCTCGTATTGACCCGCAGCTTGGACTGAGGTGTTATCCATCACGACACTTCCAACACGTTTCCAAATCGATAAAGGTGAAAGTCAATACCTATAAAAGTCAATAGCCATGCTTCTCAAGCCACTCTACGAGATCCGCTTCCGCTTGTTCCCGCATCTTGTCCCTGGTCTCATCGTCGAGTCCCTCGAGCGCAGAATCACTGCATAGCTGATAGGGACACAGGAGCATCTGGAACTGCATCAGATCATTTATCTCTTTGACGCCCTCGATCTGGCTTGGAGCGAGTGCGGCACTCTCCATCAACACGGTGTTCCATGTCTTTGCAATGGCCCACTCCTTGGCTGATTTCTCGTCAAGTTCTGGAGGTGCAGAAGTGAAGTCGCCCGAGAGAATTGCCCTGCTGATCGCGGTCCCCTCGTCGCCAAGGTTGCCGCCGGTGTGGGTGAACGACATAGAAATGAACTCCTCGAATGGGTGAGAGACAGACGCAAAGTCAAAGTCCAGAATTGCCGTAACTTGCTTAGTTTCTCTGTCAAAAAGCATGTTGTATATGGCTTATGGAGGTCAGTTTGACGCTGACAAGGCAGAAGAGAAAGAAGTCTTAAGTACATACTAAGGTCCCCGTGTATTATGCATTTTCTGTGCACATCAACCGTACTAAGCATTGTCTCGGGGCCGCCGCTGGCCAGGAAGCTTTCGATTCTGTGGGCAACACCGTTGCTTTGCCAGCCCCTGATCACGGGGCTTTCAGCAGCTCGTTTGAGTCGGGAAAGCAACTTTGCCACTCTCCATTCGGCATATGAGTCAGTAGGCCTCGCATCCTGGAACGTCGGCGACTCTCCGCTCACAACTCGGCCGCCCGAGTCAAATTTGAGCCCGCCGCCAAACTTAGTGACTCCATTCGGGAAATCTACTGCTTGTAGTGCCCCAAGAATAGCCGCCATCCGTTCCAAGACATGCTTCTGGCTCTCTACGTCGAGAGAAGCAAAATCCGGGCCCAAGTCTATGCCATTTCGAAACTCCGACATGATCCATCCAAACCCCCTCTCATCTACTTCGTCAATAGCTGTAGCTGGCGCCCAGGCGTAGACGTCCGGCACTAGTGTCGCGAGCCCAACCTTTGCCAAGGACTGCCGAACAAGGTGCTGTGCCGCCACGTCATTTTCCACGCGGTTGGCATTGTTCACATCATGCGCTGCGGGATTGCTGAGCTTGATAGCCAGCGTGGACAATCCCTCAGGAGGAGCTTTGCATGTGCCAGGCTGAGTGCCCGGAAATGATGAGGCGAATGCAGGCGCCGCCAGCTCGACTTTGAAAAGGAAGTTGTTGAAGGGATATTCATAGTCTTCGTCATAGGCCAGGGTTGATATATTGGAGGGCTGCCGGGAAGACGGGGTAGATCCTACGTTAGCTACAAAGGCACAGCTCCACCGCAACATCAATCACTAACCTCAAGCCTACGGTCGTGAAGAAGTTGTTGAACTACATTCAGCCGGCGGTCAAACCCCGCTTGGTTCACGTGAACAGGCATAATTTAGCCGGTGCAGCCACACTGGGGTGGGTTGAAAAGCAAGACTGGTAAACGTTTGAAGGATGAAAGAAGTCGGAAGGCAGTGAGATGATTTAGAAGAAAACGAGTTGGAATTGTTGGGGACCGCATGTCTTTTTTCTTTTCTTTTCGACCAACTTCTGGATCCTCGGAGCTGCTAACCCACGACCCCTGTGAGGTAAGTCCTGGTTTTCAGAACCAGCTTCATTGGAAGGAATGTTTAGAGCCAACTGATCTCAACCATGCATGAGGAAATTTGGCCCGAAAGAGTGAAGCAGGGCTCCCAATCAGGAAGGAGCTGATAGTGAAAGGAAACTTTTAGAACCAACATTTGAAACCCCCTCCACAACCGCATCCACCCCTGTAAATGTCAGAAGAAACCAAAGCGAAGAAAGAATAGACGAGTTCCGCATGGTCCTACGTTCTAAACTGGTCTCGCGATGAGCTAGTAGACCTCGATGATTATATATTGGGGGGGGGGGGCGGGGTGGGGGCCGTGTCATACTTCGCTTGTGAACCACTGGCACTTCAGAGCAGGGAAGCCAAAGATTGAGACTTCCAACTGAGCGAATCGCCATAACTATGTACCTTTGCAATCGACGGTATCAATGGGTCCTCTGTTAAGATCAGGGTGGGTTAGCTCCCCGGGGTCTCGTCAGCGGGTATGGTCCTGTTCGTGTGCGCAGAAGTCAGTTTCGATACAAGTGAATGTTTGGAGCAGAGTCAACTGGCATGATTTGGCTCATCTTCAAGTTGTCCTCGTTTCACCAGTAGTGAACTGAATTGCTGCCCGGCCAAAAGACCATAAAAACCAATCTGCCATTGATTATCTTACTGACACATAAGACCCGTACCCCAAAACCCGCCTCTAAGGCCATCATAGCTCTAGAAACTTGAAACGAAAGGTGGTATTATGGTCATCATAGTGCCATTCTGCAAAATCTTTTATCTATTTTCCTCGTATTTTTGGCGGCAAACAATGAGGAGATGCTTCTTCTCTCGAGTACTCCACTTGGGTTTGCCCCTCCCTGCGGCGCACCAGGCAGCAACATGCAGTGCGAGCTCCACCCCTAGTGTCATGCAGTAAATCGAAAGATTTAAATTGCAGCTCGCGGAAGACTCATGGCCTCGATATGTGATTTCCCATCTAGTCATCTCTTCTGATCCCAAACCTTAGTGGTAAGTCGTTATCGTATTATCAAACAGCATTATGCCGTCTCATCCTATCCTACCCCCCGAGGTACGTCTCACAATTTACGAAATCTGCCTCGATGAGCACTTTGATAACACAAAACCCGGGGTCTGGATTTTGCCTGCACGGCTTTCATCCAGTCCAAATGGCAGGCTGACCTGGGCTGGTGTCCATGGTGCAACAATCAAGAATCCCGTCCCTGCCATTCTACAGGTCGAAATGGGCGACATGCGTGCACGTCTGCTGGCTTGGCTCGCCAGGCAGAGAGGGTTGATTGCGGTAGGGAATTCGCCGGTACTTGAATTTCCAGACCGACAATATGAGTCTAGAAGAGACATCCTTTACCTCCAAAATAGCGCCGAAGTCGCTTTGTTTTGCCGATTCCTCAGGGCACCAAAAACCGAGCTCGCAAACTACTCCATGATCCGACGAGTGGCGGTGGCTGCATCTGTTAACCACAAAGCGGAAATTCCCCGCTTCATGGACGATTTGAAGGACCTTCTCTCCGCCTCGCGGGGTGTACTTCGGCTTTATGAGATACTGGTTGTCTTCGTCATTGTGGACCACGGAGAGCTCGTGGACGTCGCCTCGGCTTGGAAAGGAAATCACTCTGCCTACTTTATCGAACCATTGAATACGAATGACCTGGAAGACCGACAGGACGAACTTCAGCGAGCTGTTATGGGGCTTGATAAGCTTGTGAGGCCGATGCTGTCGCCCGACGAAAGGACTCTGAGGATCACCGCATGCAAGATGATCCCACGAACTTGAGAGTCTACGTCGAATCAAATTCCTACCAGTGAAGTATCATGTTTCAATACTTTCTAAAATTTGGTTCGTTCTTCTTGCAAGAGGTTTGTGTATTTTTAGAAGCCGAGGAAACAGCTCAACCGTGGGCTTGCGCGGCGTCAGAGTTTTTGTGGCAATCCAGGGCTACATTATACGCACTATTAGGTGATTTCGCTTCTATTCCGTATACTTCCGAGGACATAAATGGCGACTTCATACGGTGGTAAGCGCTCCCTTTGTTGTAAACGCTGCGTAAAAGCAAATGCCTTTCAAGGTCCGTGGCATTAGTGGATTCCGCCCAAGTGGTTGGTTTGCTCCAACGATCCTCTATATACACATTGATTCACTTCGAGATACCGGCGCTTCGAGGCCTACATCATCGTGTTCTGCCATCGAACCACGAGGTCTGGCCTTCATCCCAATTTCCGTATCAACAGTCACTCTACAGACAGACCTTTCTATTCACCGCTGGTGTCGTTGGTTCGCCCGAACGACAAGTCACCCAGCCATTATAAAATCATAGCCAGACTTCCATTCCCCACATTGATTCCGATTTCTCTTCTCAACCTCAACGCAAGCCTCGATACCTTCTGCAATCCCATCAACCAGAACCACCCGCGCCGCTTCCCATTCCTTCTCAACAGCTCGCTCTGTCGCCATGGCCATTCGCACGGCATGGTATGGCTGCATTAGCCTTGCCATCATGGCCCTCTCTGTCTTGGTTGCCTCTACTGCAGGTCCTGGTATGTCCGATCAAAATGGTTTGACTAGCGTTGGTCCGCGCGCTGATGATACATCAATTACAGATGTTCTCTCCATTGACCAGCACCTCCACAATGAGGTGCTGCGGCTCGTGCTTTCTTTTGATGCGAAGTGCAGTTGCAACGAGACCGTCACCGTCACCTGTACCCCTGTGGCTGTCGCGAGCTCGATTGCTGCTACAAACATTTCCGGCTTTCACATGGTCGAGGCTAATAAAGAACCTCCACGAACAACGACGAGTCATGCGGAGACAGTTACGGAACCTCTGACGACGGTATTGGCCTATGACTGCAATGGTACAATCACGGAATTTGCGGACACCGCGCCAACGACCACGGCATTGGTTCCAGCACCACCCCAGTCTTTCCCTTACCTGTGACACCACCACGTCTTTCACGCAGACTGTGCCCGAGTATTCGGCCCCAGCAGTGGATCCTTCAAGAAACTCTCTTCCATGCCCAAATATCCGTGGAGCGTCGTCGACAACGTCATTCTCGAATCCTGGTTGTGCAGCAGTAACACCATTAGCCAACGACAGCGCTGTTCACTTGTCGACAGAGAGCGACGTAAGCAGCCCCTCTGTTTACACGGCCAGCGTCCGTACCAATATAACAACTATCCCACGTCCATCGATATCTTTAACTTCAAAATCAACCATCGAAAGCCCTTCACTGCCTTGGGGTAAAAGCAACATCACCACCAGCTTATCTACAGTGAAATCAATCCCTACAAATAGCACCGTCACAATTTCCTCACCCATGACTTCATCGCAAGGGGATCATGGATCCGCCAGTACAGGCTTTCCATATTCTCAGAATTCATCGCCTCAAACCCTTACTAGTAGTTCCACCCGACGCAAGCAAACTCCAATTCCTTTTCCAACGATATTTTCCTAGACTTAATCAATCTCAACGTCAACGTCAGCCATCGACTCTACCATCAAATCAACTTCTCTAGTATCAGCTTACAATAGCCCGGCATTCACATACTATAATACTACACTGTCAATGTCATTGACTACCTTTTCTTCAAAGCATACAAGCACATCGGAGTGGTGCGGGCCAGTCGATTCTACCTTGAGCGCAGTGGCTTCATCTTCGACTTCTTCATCGCCAACAGGGCAACCATGGGCCAAGCCCTCTCCTATAGGCAGGCCGACTTGCATCCCTCAGCCCTTGCATACGAGTACCAACGCACCCATCTTACCCGACGCGGTCGCAAGGATTGCTGGTGCACTTTGCGACTCGGAGTCATACGTTCCCGGGTCTATGTTCACATGTCAATCCTCTCCACTGGTGTACTCCCATCCCGAGCACGGAGTAACTAGCACATGCGAGCCCCACGTGAAATTTGACCTTGATGCAGCTGCAAGAAAAACAACTTGAAACTAGCATCGGTGTGAACAGATCGAATACCGGTTTAATGTCTCATGGACACCAGACACGAGGGACCGGTGCATGCAGAGACCCGAAGGCCAGGCTCTCCCCAGCACTGACGACTGTAAAGAGTTGCTTATACGTGATTACAAGGAGTGCAATAACGGCGGATTCGGTGGTTGGATCGAGGCTGGGTGCTTGCGCTTTGATTTCACGCCCTCACTGATTTTTGCGCGGAGGTGATGGAACGGAGCGAGGTTTTGTCAACGCCATTGACCGCACTGTGTTTTGGACCCACATATGAGTTGTTCCCGGGGAACTCGGTCACGGCGTCTGTTTTGATCCACCGCTGTCGGCATCTTACAATGATACCGATGTTCTGACCTGCCTTGAGGGCCTACAAGCCTTTGACATGCGGCCTGGGTGAATCCTGATAACATGATTCGGGATGCAGGTAAGAAGGGAGACCCATGTCAGATTACTTTAACTCTTCAATTGGATTGATCGTCAAAGCTGCGGAAACAAGTCGATGTTATCGGGGCCGGGCTACAGCTCATCTCTTTGCAGTGTGCATTGTCTCAACCAAAATTTACGCACGTCAATCACGCTTGCTTCGGCTCACTGCTCGCTTGGCCGATCAATTCTGGCTAGATCTTGAAAGGTGCAAGTGCTCTTAGCATCCGAAATAATACCCACAATTACTTAGGTACCACCGACATTAGACGTATCATTGGCGGCCCCGGCCCGCTCATCCGATCACCGTTTATCTCATACGAGATGACTTGAAGAGGGGTCCACGTGGAAGGACCGCGCGTGATGATCGTATTGTTCGTGCGCAGATTGAAATATGTGAGCCAATGTGTCGAGGCGAGCATGGTGACGCTGATGCACAACAGCACATCCTCAGTCGTGAAAGGTTTCGGGTCGGTTTTAGCCCCTATTTGTACACCTTTCGTGGGGCCGGTTCTATTGGATAAGCGGGATGTGGGTATGCGGCCGTCGGTTTCATCGGCTGGGCGGCGGCCTTCCCGACTTGCATCATGAAGATCCATATGACAGATGAAATACCAACACCATGCCGTTCCGGTGTGGGCGCACTGCCACCTCACTTCAGAAATCTTTCCTCTCTCCCGAACAGCTTTCAATAATTGTCCAACAATTGACTGTGATACACTGCATTCTCTAACACGCAGTATATCCGGTTTCTGTCTTCCATTCAGCCCTACGATCCTGCCACTGTAACCGAGTAATTAGCAAGTCCAAGCAAAATGTTCAAAAGGTTCAGAAGAAGCATCAGAATTGGCAGACCTGGTTCACGGAACCTTGAAGTACCAGCACCAGTCTGTCACGAATGTGGGCAGAGCGTCAGGGATACAATCAGCTCTTCCAGTGCAGACGGCGCCACTACCGGACAATACGACTCAGATCGCGCCGGAATGCGTGATTCATGGCACACCTCTACCAGCTCAGACAGCGGCTACGGTGGTAGTGGTAGCTCTCGGCATTCAGAGCTCGACGCGCAGCTGAACTCGAGCGACGACCACCCGGCCCTCGACCACCCCGGCCTAACGATGCCACTGCCGCTGCCGTTGCCACTCAGGCGACCCACCTACGACTCCAGCATTTACTCAGAAACCAGCGCGTACGACCAACCAGCTGAACAGGAAATAATAGTCCACGAGCCAGCAGATGCCGGGCCGCCGGTCTACGATCACCTCTTCGACCTCCCACCCCGCACATTCACAAACTACTCGGAAAAGTGGAAGCCCAAGTCGCGCTATTCCAGGCTGAATGAGCTACCCGCTGCCAGCCCGACGGCGATGGCGTTCCCGGACGATGTCATGGACGTGGAGAGTGCTGCTGAAAAGGAGCCCAGTTCGCCGCCGGCGGAAAAGAACTTGAAAAGGAGGTCAATGGTACTGCGGCCAGCATCGCTCAAAAGGCTCACTTCACTCCGGATCAAAACCCATTGAGACCAATTCGAGACTATGTGTCTGAGTTGAATCATTTCTGTTGCAACATATCAAGAGAGTGAGATGTGGATCGCACACGGGAACTCGGGACCGGTGACGCTTGGTGGACTTTTACTCCTTGGCGGTGGCCAGGGCAACACATGCTGGTCCAAACCGAGTTATATGGTGGCCTGCGCCTAGGACTGAGGTGTGTGAGAGATCTAGCGTTGATGCAAGCCGTAATACTATCCTAGTGGGTTGCTGGATTTCTTGTGAGGGGGCCCCCTTGTTGCAGTTCGTTGTGGACGACTGTTAGGTGGTGATAGGCCAAGATTGGGTGCGAAGGCCGTGAGGATGAAGACGTAAGGTCACAAGGCGGTACGAGACGTGATTTGACCGTCTGATACCAAAAGACTGGCCCGAAATCGATTGTTGCGAGGCTTCGCCTGAATAACTGATGATGCCCAGGCCGAGTGCAAGGCTTGTGTGAGGTTCTTGGGCGGATCTTGGACGGTTTGATAGACAATCAATCGGATCATTGTGCCAGGCGTGGAATGCCTCTCGACCAAGCTCTCGAAGAAAACTGTGTCGAGCGTATTCGTCTGCAGCTGTCGTTCACCGTCAGCGGTGAGAAGCTCGCTCCGGCAACATGACACGAGCGAGACAACCCTCCTGTCGCTCTCGCGTGTTTGAGCCGGGTGGTTGGCACGGAACTTGGCACCGCCAAGCACAATCTGGTGTGGAGGCGCCAACGTTCGTCTGAAAGATTGTCGCTGTCAGAATTGAGATGCCAAACAAATCTGCTCGATTAGCTCCTTGTGCCAGGCGCGACAAGCATTATAACCCCTGCGTAGACACGCCTGTGGTGGTGGTGGTGCTGATCAGTCCACCGCGGATATTGTTCAACCCCTGTGCTCTTGGCGCTTACCACTTGACTTGTCCTCTTGAGGGCCAAGCGGTTGAGGCTACTATCTGATGCGGCAGGCTCCGTCTCATCGCGCACAAGCTCCAACCTGATGAATTTCGGACGATTTCTTTGTACTACCACCTCCTGCAGTAGTACGTGCACCTGTCCGCTATGTTTAGGTGATCTTGGTTTCAATGCCCCAGATTCACACTGACAGGCGATTCCATCAGACGTTTAATACCAGCCTTTCATGTTCAGACTAATTGCCGTTTATTTTTATCGCGTTGCTGAGTGGCCGGAAGTCCCCGTCTGTAAACGATGGTCTGGGGTATCGCCAGGCGCACAGCATCATGAATCTTACCAAGTCTCGTGAAGCACTGACAAGGAGCCAAGTTAGCTGGGCCGCTCAGGTACATTGCATGGCAGGTTCCGCTTGGCTATGCCATTGCTTTCTGCGAGTCGACGCTCTCGCTGAAAGTTCATAAAGTTGTTCCAACCCACGAGGTAGTGAGCACGAGATAGATTGTCCAAGCGGCCTGGATGCCCTTTGTGTAAAACGCCATCCAATTTGTCTAAGTTCATCCTCATTTCTTGCTCAGGATAAATAAAGTTATTCGGTCGCCAAGCATGGCTATAAGACCAAGCAATGGGGCCTTTCTGCCCCTTTGCCTAATCATACTCCTCCTTTCCATCAAGACCGTTGCCCAAGATGACGACGAACCAACTTCATCAGCTGCTCAAGTATCGACCGCATTCACAGAGGCGGCGACGGGCCTCACCATGGAGCGTTTCTTCGGTGCTCGCACAACGTTCGGCTTCGCCATGACCATGCCGGAGACACCCGTCGACTCCTTCATCGGACAAATGTCTTTCCCACTGGTCGACGGGGCAGGGTGGGGAGCCATAGGGCTCACTGGCGACATGGAGAACAATTTCTTTCTTGCGACATGGGCTGACGGCGCCGGTGGTGTGATGGCCTCGTTCAGGCAAGGCACCAATGAAGATGACCCGCCAGAGGTGGTAGGCAACTTTGCTGTTCGCCCCATTGCCGAGGCCACGGCCGTCAACAACTCGTTCCTTACCTTTACGTTCCTGTGCGAAGGCTGCATGGACACCGCTCTTGGCCTTGGGGCAGAGGCTACCGGAGCCGATGGGGTGATGGGGTGGGCATTGTCTGAACAAGCAGTGGGGAACCCAGACTCGCCAGACGGACAGCTTGGCTTCCATGAGCGAGGCTTCGGACCCTTCACAATGAGATTGGGGCAAGCTCGGAGCACATCCTTCGAGGCGGTTGCGGCCCAGGCTGGAGCTCCCATACAAGCTTCAAACAACGCGAGTCCAGTCGCACTCAATGTTGCTGGTGGAGAGGGAGGAGACGACGATGATGATGATGACGAAAACGAAGGAGGCGGAGGAGGAGGCAACTCGGCGGCTGGGTCTTCAGACGACGACGAAGAAGAAGACGACGATTAAAAAGGCCTTTGACGCAGGAGCGAATTTCCTTGAGCGATGAGCGAGATGCAGAGCACTTTGCTATTTTATGTATCATATTACTATTAGGGACGTATAAAACTCAACAATATTTATTTTCCAGAATATTGGTTACCCCGGTGAGAAACAAATAATTCCTAGCTTGCCCAGGTGGTGCGTTGACCTAGAGACCTCTCAATTATTTTACCTGGTTTCGCTTCTATTCCATGTACGTCCGAACACATATATGGCACCTTCGCATAGTGGTCAACACTCGAGACCAAGTCTTTCAAAAACATACAGTGTCAATAACGGTGGTGAGAATGTGATATAGCATGCCGTTGGTGCCAATGCCGCATCAATCCGTACACAGTCCAGATATCCGAAACACCATGTTGCTGATTTCGGCTTGAACTTCTTCACCTTTGTATGAGAAAGTCCCTATTCACCTTCTCTAGGCACACAAAGATCGACCATCCCAATCGATAGGCCTGGATCAGCTGCAAAAGCTTCGATCAGGCATTTGTAGCTCTCAGCCAGTCTGTCCGCCGCCGCCTGGTCAAACAAGTCCTTGCGCACAAATAAACATTGCGCACAGTCGCCATCCGGAATGTCGACCGTGTCAAGGTACACGTCGTATGGCACGTTCAGGTCGAACCCCATGAAGGACAACTCGTTCTCCTTGCCGAAAGCTACTGTCTCACGCTGGCCAGTTCTGTAATCTACGAAGACTTGGAAGAACGGAGTATGTTTTGCGCTATTTTGAAGGCCAAGCCTATCCAGGGGTGTCAGCGGGGTGTCCCGGACGTTCAAACCATCATTTTCATCTTGCAAAGGGATGAAAGGGGGAAAGGAGGAGAGGAGGAGGGGAGGAGGGGAGGAGGAAAGGAGGAAAGGAGGAAAGGAGGAAAGGAGGAAAGGAGGAAAGGAGGAAAGGAGGAAAGGAGGAAAGGAGGCGGGGGCGCAGGTTGGAACATACTCTTCTACGACTTTGATGAAAGGCATATTGCCATTAGCCAAGCCGGCGTACGTCTTATCGCGCGTCACCTCTAGCAGATTATTGAACTTGGTCGATAGATCAGCCAGAAGGCGCACAAGCACAAGATTGTAGAGGGGCCCGATGACGTCCATCTCTTCGGCGTCTCGGCCCCTGCCATTCTCAGCCACTGCAGTGGTGACATCGTCACCCCCGACGCAGTACCGGACAAGTAAAGCGCGAAGGGCCGCGAAATAGAAATGGAAAGGTGTAGTTCGAAACTGCCGGCAGACCCTGGCGATCTGGGCCTTGGTAGCCGTCCCGATCCTGCAGTGTGCTGTGATATTCTCATAGGCTTCCAGGCGTGGCCGCTCCTGGACTTTCGACAACGTCAGGAGCGGGAGTGCCGGAGGAGGCTCGGGGAATTCCTTTCGCCAATACTCCAGCTCCGGCTTGAACTTTCCTGCAGAATAGTCCCTGCGCCGCTGCTCGGATGACGTGGCAAACTGCTTCAGGCGTGGTTGAGAGTGAGGGTTGGTGTAGTGGGTTGCAAGCCAGCGAAGGAAAACCTGGATACCTGTTGCGTCCATGACGAGGGGGTGTACGCCAAGCACGAGGTAATTGCCTCCTTTCGAACAATCCAGCAAAATGAGTCGCATCGTTTCTCCACGTGCGACGTTATATACGTGGCTTTTTTGGATAGACATCGCGATTCTTATCACCTCCTCTTCATCCTCTATCTGTTGATGCTCCAGATAGAGACAACTGGTATTCAATATGTGCTGCATCTGTTGGCCGTCTTTGTCAAAGAAGGCTGTTCTCAGAATTTCATGCTGTCTGCCCAGTGAAAGCACCGCTTGCCGCAGCTTTCTCAAATCTATGGTCCCTGTGATCCTGATCCAAGCGGTATGGTTGAGACCGACTAGGTCTTCAAGGAATATTCCAGATGGGTAGAATCTTGCCTGTGTGAATGAGACGGGTACTGATTTGACCATAATTAAGCCGGGACGAGCGTGATTGTGGGGAAAGTTCCGTTCCGAGGTCGAGTCGTCATCAGTATCACCACTAATATCAGCGTTGCTGCTTGCGCTCTCAAGGGGCTCCTGGCTGGTCGCAGAAGCCTCAGAGCCCTCATGAAGGGTCTGAGTGCGCCGTTCCAGCAAATTTTCGTTCGCGTTGGTGACGAGTTCGCCGATAGAGCTGCCGTTAAGTATCTTCAGGACGGGCACATTGACCTCGAGAGTCTTCATGAACCAACCACGGATTTCCATGGCCGATAGCGAGTCGATACCCATCTGATCGAGACGCATACTGGCTAGCTCCTCTTTACTGGCATCCTTGGTGTCGAGCTGAAAGTAGGATCCGAGCTGTTTAATGAAAGCATCGAAGATGATTTTGTATACTTCACCGTCCGAAGCCTTCGAGATTCGATCCTTGACAGAAAGTTTCGCGTTTTGACTACCCTCTGATGGATCAATGGGTGACCCACCACCCATAACCATATGACTCATGCGCGGCCAAGCGTGCCAAACAGGATGGTCTTCTTCTCCCTGACGAGCTCTTCGCAGACCTGAGCCGATCTCGATCGGGCCTGTCGAACCAGGGCGTCCTGCGAGTACCGCCTCTCCAAAGAGCTCATGGAAATCCCTCTCGGAAGTTTTCGCCCAGCCCGATGTCCGCATAGTCATCCTGTCGAGCATACCATCGCCAAAAGCCCGGCTGATGTACCCGATTCCAGCGATAGGACCGATGTCGATTACAGACGCTGCGAGCCCCCGTTCTCTACGCTGCGCAGCGAGACTGGTCATGAACGCGTTGGCTGCCGCGTAATTCGCCTGCCCGTGATTTCCAACGACGGTCGACACAGATGAGAAGAAGATGAAAAAGTCCAGCACATTGTCCGAGAAGATTTGATCAAGGTGAATGCTGCCCTCCACTTTGGGCCTCGTTACTGCCAATAGCTGGGAAATCGTCATGTCTTCGAGAGACGTGTCCTCTAGTATCATCACTCCCTGTGCAACGCCCGCAATGGGTGGCATGGTATGGGAAATCTCGTCGTAAAGGGCTTGGACCTGAGATTCAATTGTGATGTCGCTACACAGTGTCAGTAACTAACCACGGTTGAAGAAATATCAGTGCAAACATCAAGAACTCACCATTCAGAGACTTTGACTACAACCCCCTTTGCAAGCATCTCGTCCAGCCAAGTTGCCTCGATATTCGGACTACGGCTGCTTATGACGAAAGAACGAGCCCCACGCTGCATCATCCATTCACAAAGTGACAGCCCTACGTCTCCGGTGAGACCCACAAGCCAGTAGGTTTTGTTGGCAGGGAACGATATGAGTGAGTCGACGGAGCATGCTCTTGCAGATACAACAGAATTGGAAGCCCATTCCACGATTTTCAGTGGCTCTGTAAGGCTATTGTCCGCAGGAATGGTTCCCAGAGCCACGGTACGAATGAGATCACGCGTCCTTGCTGTCTGAGCAGGCTCTTCCAATATGTTAGAAGCCCATTTCACAGCTTCGTTCAAGCGTATGTGAATGTCGTCCATGCGGTTTGTTCTCGGGTTACAGGCACTATCTGCAAACAGAGACTCTTGGGTCTCTTTCTTGCAGCGCGTGGACAGCGCTGAAGCGATTCGGTTACCGAGCATTCGAGGTTCACCGGGGCTCGTCACGTCGATGAATTTCGAAAAGTCATTTCGTGTGAGTAGTTTGAGGCTTGACGCGGGGGGATCTGAATATAACAAGACCCAGTCAACACCGTCAGTATCCGAGCAATCGGGATCTGTTGTCGTGAAATTGGCCTTCACGTTCAGTGCTCTCGCCCGCTCGGCCAGGACCCAGGCAGTCTCTTTTTTCCATCCGTGGACTAGGATTTCGTCGCCCACGACTAGATCACTCAAGATTACACTCGCAAGTAAGCGGTGTGCAGTGAGCCACAAGAGTCGAGCTTCAGATCCTGGAGACTGCTGAACCGAGACTGACAATCTCGGATGAACAGTCACGCATGATGCATTAGTTCGGGACAACGTGATCACGTCCCGGAAGGATGAGTCATCTCTTCCAAATACCAGGAACATACTGCAAAGCTCAGCAACGCGGATGGGCGAAAGGACAGAGTGGGTCGTCTGGAGTCTGTTGACACGCTCGCAAGGACCAGAACAGAATGAGTCCAAGCTGAGATCCCACTTGGAATTTTGCATGGAGATGCTTATTTCTTGCGTGTCAGCACGCACCGAGGTTCGGACCATCCGGCCATTAGAATTGTGTCGGTCGTTCATCTCTTGGCTCGGCATCAGACGGGGTACAAGCAGTCGCTGTGACTTGTCAACGACCAGCTCATTCTCAGTTGTGAAGTGAAGGTCGTCTTGATGACGCCACCTGGATGCTGCCTTGTGCCTGAGAAGAGTCTCTGCTATGATGCGGTGGCTCAGAGCAGAATCGTCTTCGAAATCCAGCAGGACGTAGTCGAGAGCAGGATTCTCTCGCGCGGCAGCACGCATCAAACCCACAGCCATATTTGCGAGAGGATTCTTCGCACATCGCCCTTGAGTGACCCAGATAATGGTACCCGTGTGGAGTGTCATCTTCTTCATGGCATGCCATGTCTTGTCATCTAGATGCTTGAAGATACTGCCATCTAAACCCTGCAAGTTCACTATGACTGTGCCGGGCGAGATGTTCAGCTTCACAAACTCGTCGAAAGATTCGGCAGTCTGAATCTTGCTGCAGAATGTTTTGAGCGCCGATGAAATTTGTCTCGTGAGCAGCGTTATCGTGGAGCTATGCCCGCCGAGGATCACAAGATCCTGTACCAGTTTCTCCGAAATTGGAACCACCTGGGTTAGAGGACTGCGAAGGAATGCAACCTTGTCGTCCATAGCCTGGGAGACGATTACAACAGACTGAATGACGCCTTTTGTATCTTCGCTGCTAGAATCGATCCCAGAGAAACCAGTTTCTCGCAGCACATGGTCCCACTCTTCGCAACTTGAAGGCAGGGCGGGAGGCTTCTCTGTAGGGCGGCGCCAGAGTTCTGGAACTATGTCCATCAAATCGCCGAAAGGGCTATCGACACGCGGTATGGTACTCAATATGACAAAGTGGCCGCCAGATTTGAGCAGCCGCCGCACTCTGCGCACAGCCTGCTTGAGGTCCAGTGCGTCGCGGAAAGCATGAGATACCACAACTAGGTCGTAGGAGGACTCCATAAATCCTTGACTCTCCAAATCACTTGAAAGATCGAGATTCTTGAAAATCAATCCATGGTCATGAAGGCAAGTTGCATCCAATTCTGGGACACTCAAGTGAGACGCGTGAGAGGCGACAGTGTATGACGAGAAACTTGAGCCAATCTCGTCCAGTATGGCATTTGTTGGGGCCCTCGTCCCTGAGGAAAGCTGGAGAATATGCATACGAGGGTATCTGTGCACAATCTGTCTTATGGTCTGAGAAAGATGTGTCGTCAAGGTTGCCGCTGAGAAGAGTGTGGCGTGCTTGTCCAAAAGGTTGGACTCACTTGCGAGTTCTAATGCTGACTGATCGCCTTTGACAATATCAACCAGGTTCTCCCCTAGGATAGAGAAAAACTTGAACTCGTTCAGAGCTGGAAAAGGCTGGTGTACCCCTGAAACGCTCTCGAGTGTGTCTTCCGTTAACTGGGGGATGCTTCCTGTTGTTAATGCAGATGCGTGTTGGAAGAGAATCTTGTAGCGCTCATCAACCCTGGCTGGATGATCAGAGGGTATCTCGTGCCCAAGCCGGCGCAAATAGTGCTCGGCGATCCTCTCGAGAACAAATATCTGGTCACTCTCCGAGCTGAAATTGTGCTCCGCGACGAGTTCGACACTCGGCTCGGCAACGCCCCATGCGAGGTGGTAATATGGTGACTGATCATCATCGGCTGTTTTGGGTGAAAATGGTACGCACTCCAACTCTTCGATTTGGACCATTGCATGATCAAGATTTCCTGGGTAAACATTGATATCGCAAGTAATATTAGTGTGAGGCAGTGCGAAGGTGTGGGCGGCTTCGAAGGCCAAACGACCTTCACTCTCCTTCATGCAGAGGCTGTGGTTTATGACAAGCCGGCGAATCCTTCTTGGAATATGCATGGAACTTAGCGCTCCATCACCCGGAGAAGCGTAGGTTAGGAAGGCGGAGTGCTGTAATTGAATTAGTAAGGTACATATGTGGGCTAGCGATCACAAAGAATCAGTGTGGACATACAAACGCAGCATCCAGGACCGCCGGATGGATAACGAGACTCGAGGGGTCAGGTGTTAAGATGAAGCCAGTGGCTGCTCCTAATTTCCTCTCTATCCTCTCAAGTGCTCTGAAGGGGCCACTATAATGGTACCCGATCTCGGACATTGATTCATAGAATCTGTCTTTTGGCACAGGCAGCATCCTGGAGAGTTTGGGGAGTCGTGTAGGAAACGCAACCTCATCCGGCTCGCCCAAATGAACATGCAAGTGTCCGCTGGCTTTGAGTCTAAGTTCGTCGAAGCCCATTGCCGGTGCAGCGTGATATTTGAACTCGGCCTCGATTATTCCCTTGTTTGGTCTCAAGATATTCGTGAGGGACATGATTATCTCATTGGTCGAATGTTCATGCTCAAATACGAGCGCTGAGACGATGTCAAGTTCCAATATTTCAATAGTCTTGACAGGAGACTTATTGCAGAGTATTCGAACAGCTTCCAACACACTGACGACGTAACCCGCAGCTGGAAAGACAATGCCACCTTGTAGCTTATGGCCCGAAAGCCACGGAATCTCCGATGGCCGGAGCATATGCCGCCATCGCATGTCATGCTCCGTACTGTCGGGTGTCAAATGCCCCAGTAACTGATTGACTGGGTCTGCGCGGAGGCGAATAGACCTGGCATACCTCGATTCGTGCCAGTACTCGCCTTGATGATCCCACGCGTAGGTCGGAAGGCCTTTTACTGGCGTAGATCTTTCCCTGCCAGAGACAAATTTCTCATAGCTCTGCAAATCGACATTACCCTTGCCAAGATGCACCCAGGCATAGCCAAGGCTATCAGCAAAGGACACAATGCTGGATACACCACGACAGAATACCCCGGTATATGGAACTGTGCTTGATAGTCGATCCTGAATGGTGTCGAGGGCGGGTCCTTTCAGTGCAGGATGAGGGCCCAACTCAACGACCAGGTCTAACGTGTCCATAGCGATGCAGGCCTGATTTATGGCTTGCATGAAAAGCACGGGCTTTGTCATGTTGTGTTCCCAGTAGTGGTCTCTTAGCAGTTCAGCCTTGCCTGATTCTGACCCCGAAACACTTGAAAACCAGCGAACTTGATTGCCAGCGCCCACCTGGACTCCTATTGATTGGAGGGAGTGGAGGTACTTGGCAGAGGAAGCTCTCATGTGTGGAGAGTGGTAGGCCCTGTCGACTTTGAGGATCCTCGCAAACTTTCCCTCATCCCCAAAGACGATCTCCATTTCATGAAGAGCATCTAAGTCTCCAGAGATCGTGACGCTGTCTTTGGAGTTGATAGCGGCTATCCAGACCCTTCCCGTGAATTCAGGGAACCCCAGCAGGTCTTCAGCATCATCTGCGGACGTGCCAACAGCCATCATACCAAGCTTCTGACCCAGAGTGCCCTGAGGCGAGCCCGAGTGTAGACCACGGTAATACGCGATAGAGAATGCATCTTCCGCAGACAGCAAACCGGCCGCATAGGCTGCTGCCATTTCCCCAGATGAGTGACCAACAACTGCAGAGAAGTCGATGCCAGCAGCGCGTAGGAAATCGACCTGTAGTATCTGAACAGCGGTGCAGACCGGCTGAGATATGGCAGCCGACATGATGGAGGTCGAGGAGGCGTCCTTCTGTATCTCTTCCAAAAGTGACCATGTCGGACGATCGGCGACTGGAAGTTTCTCGAGGCGCTTTTGTAGCACGTCTATGATATTTCTGGCCGCTGGGAATGTGGCAATTATTTCCAGTCCCATTTGAGGCCACTGTGCTCCCTGCCCTGTGAACACCCCTAGAATCCGTGGTTGGCTTGCGCGTGTGGCTGTGTCTCGACGCGTTGACCTGATGCCAACGCGCTGCTCCGGTTCGGTCCTCGAGGTCTCGAGCCTTTTCTGTATTTTCCCCCTAAGCTCATCCTGAGTCGACGCGCTGATGGCTACAGCCACTGGAAGTCGCCCACGTCTTGAGGCCATAGATGAAGCAATATCATGGAGGCCAGATGCCGTGATACTCCCTTTGCTAAGATAGCGACAGAGATTTTCGAGGTATTCCTTCAACGACGACTCGGAGGCTGCGGAGAAGACAAACGGAATGCACGGCGGCACGTTGACTTGGTCAACTCGCGTGGACCCTATCGGTGGTGTGTAGCTCTCTAGTATGGCGTGCGCATTTGTACCGCCGAAGCCAAAGCTGTTGAGATATATGCGTCAGTATGTCCCTAGCTTATATCATGTTCGCATACACTCAAACTAACCTGTTCACGCTTGCACGGCGGGCGCCTGTGTGAGCAATGGCTGGCCATGGCTTCTTTACGCCCGTCGGAATACAGAGATTGTCGTAAAAGGGTCGTACGTCTGGATTCAGACGCTTGAAGTGGAGGTTCGGTGGAACAGTAGCGTTCTGAAGCGCCAGTGATGCTTTCATAATTCCGGCTATTCCTGCTGTCCCCTCCGTGTGGCCGATGACGGTCTTGCAACTTCCAACAAAAAGTGGCCCAAGGGACCCAGCGTCCTGTCCATTGGGAAATAACGCCGAGCTGACGGCTTCAGCCTCAATAGGGTCACCAGCCGGTGTGCCTGTACCGTGAGCCTCGAAAAGCTGCGGGCGATCCGCGGGATTGTTTAAATCCAGTCCTGCACGCGCATAACAGTCCCTGATGAGTTGTGCTTGAGCAGATGCACTTGGCCTGTCGAGAAATCGAAACCGTTAGTTTTTTTTTGTACGATGGAAAAGGTGTCAGATCTCTGCGGTCTGTGGCTTCTCACTCACATTGTCTGACCTCTGGTCCTGCCATCTTGATTAACTGCAGTCTCTCGAATAATACAGTCAATATGATCACCATCGGCCTCAGCTGCCTGCCGTGTCTTAAGAACTATTGCCGCAACACCTTCTCCACGAGCGTAACCGTCCGCATCAGCATCCCACATGCGAGATCGACCTTCAGGCGACAACATCTGAAGATTTGATTCAGCAATAAAAGTACCCGCGTCGTAAATCAAATTCGACCCTGCCACAATAGCCACCCGCGAGTAACCAGATCGCAGCTGCTGAACAGCATGATGGAGGGCGACTAGGCTGGAACTACATGCTGTGTCGATAGTCATTGATGGGCCGTGCCAGTCGAAGAAATAGGAGATTCTGTTAGATAGCATTGCCCTTGACGCGCCCGTTGCGTGGTATTTGCCGTAATTCTCGTGATCCCGGTACATCAGGAGCTCGTAGTCATTGACCATCTGACCAGCATACACAGCCGTATCGGATCCCCGCAGTTGATCGATGACCTGGCCACCATCCTCGAGTGCCTCGTACACCACCTCGAGGAGCAAACGAGTTTGTGGGTCCAAATTGTTAGCCTCGGTGGGACTGATGCCAAAGAACGCGGCATCAAACCGTCGATGTACTCCTTCTCCCTCCAGGAGATATGCTTCACGGACGTTTGCGTGGCCATGATACTGAGAGTTCTTGTGGTGGAATCCTTTCAACGACGGCACCTCACTAGCAACATGCCTTGGCTCGCTCAAAAGTGCCCAAAGCTCGTCCGGGGAGGTAGATCCACCAGGGAAACGGCATCCCGAGCCAATGATGGCGATTTCCCCTCCCTCGATGGCCATGTTGGAAGACTGGTTGCGGCCCGAGTCACATAGGCACAACGAAGCCATGGAAGTAGTATGATTGCGTTGCCGAGATGGTGAGCTTTGAGCACAGTCGATCATTGAAGGACATAACGATATATTGAGTGGCTACTAGTAAGTTGGAAGGGCGACCGATTCCCATGTTCCTAACTTATGAGGCCTTTGAAAATCAACGGGTATCATTAACGAATTAAGCACCAATCTCAACAGCAATTGAATTAAATCACGATATGCAAACCCTTCACCAGCCCTGGACTAGATGGCGGACGGCTCTAGACCTTTCAGATGCCTGTTTTGGCATGCAGCTTGTCCGTACAGTAGTGCATCGGAGAAGTCGCTAGGGGCTTTTTTTCGCAGTAAACACTTAGGGTAATAATGCATATCGGATTGTCCCTTGCAAATAGGTGCCTTGCGAGTAAGAAGCGCGATGTGACATCCGATGCGGGTTTCATTGTCGTGTTAACCAGGCCCTAGAGCCATATCCTTGAACGTCCGAGCAACGGTGGATGTTCATTTGGTGGCTTTTCCCTCCCAGTGATGACACCTTCATCCCGGGCGATCATCCGCTAACGAGTTTCTTTCACAAGCTATCGTCGAGGAATGGCGGGTGGCGCGGACCGTTCCAAATCCTGCCGCAGCCCCCACGTTCCTTAGTGCTGACTGGTAATCTGCTGTTGACTGCAGAGCAAGTGCGTGTTGGTCACAAGGAAAACCTTGTCTGCGTATATTGAGTCTGAGCCAGGCAACAAATGGCTGGAGCAGGGAAGTAAAGTATGCACAAGGCTCAATCGTGTGAACCTCAGAGCCGTAGCTGAAATTAGATCACCTGATAATTCGGTGAAGGATCTCTATGTTACTTTCAAGATCCGCGAGGGTATACTAGCGATTGCTTATCACGAGGCGTTTTCGGCACTTGTCGGCGGCAGGATCTTGTTGAGATCAACAAAGAGACCTATGCAATATTCAACGTGCGATGTAGAGGCTCCACGCAATGCAATAACAAATGATATGCATTGAACGAGAAGTCCTAATCATCACCCACCCTCAGTCGAAATCCCACAGTACCTAGGTAACCTACACAATAGAACCTTGGAAAGTCTACAAATAATGGTCCATCACTATGACGAAGAGGACCTCGAATTGAACCGAGAGAGGCGGGCTCTGCCCAAGACCACAAGTCACTGACATAATAAATGCTGGAGTTGGTGAGCGATTCTCAAAAAATACCAGAAGACATCAACTTTTGCAGTTGCTATTAAATGGAACCAAGGCCCAAGGAAGATTCTGGACATGATACAATGTATACACTATTGTTTCACAAAGCTTAAAATCATAGAATGTAGCCCCCCGACTTTGTACTGGTCGCAGTAAAAATCAGTGCAAAGACTAAGCTACGTCTCTCTTAGGCACAGGCACGAACTTCACTCGGACCTCTGGCTTTTCATACATAGCCCATCCCCTCAAAACATGATCCATGCTCTGATCACTGTTCGGCCCGGGCACATCCTCCAAATCAAACATCCACAAGACCTTGGCAAGGAATACCCTCATCTGCCACCAGGCGATCTCTTTGCCCGCACACATCCTCGGGCCCTGGCTGAAAGGCTTAAATCCTTCTCTATTGTCGTTTTTGAATTGCTGGTCAAAAAGAGGGTTATTGTCGTCAGCAGCTATCCAACGTTCTGGCCGAAACTGTAGAGGTTCATGGAAGTTCCGCGGGCTGCGAGCCAAGGTGAGAAGACTGGCTTGACAGACGACCTATAGAACATTAATATGGGGAATCGCGGAATGTTGAGATATTGTTTGGTCAACCTATGATAAAATCTTGGTAACATACCCCTCTTGGAATATAAGTCCCGTCAACTGTTGCCCCTGGACTTATTACTGGCATGCCAGTAAGGAGAGGTGGGGTGAATCGGAGGGATTCCTTCAGACAGCACGTGAGGTACGGCAGGCTCGCAGCTGCACCAGCGGTTATCTCTGTATATGTCTTGAAAGTATTTCTGACCTCCTTAGTCAGAATATCGAGAACATCCCGATTCCGGACTAGATGATAAATGGTAAAATAGAACCAGAGTGATGGAGGTTCGTATCCTGCGATGAGCAGCTGTCCTGCAACTTGCTCGAGATGGCGAAGCTCCTTGCCGGTGGGAATTTGGCAATCCGTGGGCATCAGTTGGTCAATAAAGTCAAGATGCTCGACAGCCCCCTGGCGCCGAATCCGTCGCTCCAGCTGCATACGACTGTGCTCTCTTATGTGGGAGTGTCCCATCATCATAGGCACTAGATAGAGATACTTGAGGGGGCTTATAAGGGGAAAGCGCCAAGACACCTGAATGAGTACAATAGCTCGGTGCAGCCGCATAAGAAGAGACAGATACGGAGGGTCTTTCACTATGATGAATTTAGTGGAGATCTTCGCTGGGACGGGTCCCATGCCAGAGTGGTATTTGGGTACTTGCTGTCTTTCAAGGCATCCATCTCTCGATTATATGCCATGTCAGCGGAGATATCAACGCACTGTGATACAATCGGTCAGCTACTCAATCTCAGGAGGAAGTCTTGCGACAGGCAACGGCGGCCGGGGAAAACATAGTCGATAGAAGGGACTTACTATCCAGTTGATCCAAGTGGGTAAGCTGACTCCTTGGCCCTCCGGACCTAGGCCAAGAGTTTCCATGCGCTCAACAAAGAGGTCAACATATTTATGTATGGTTGGCTCCTTCTCTCTTAGTGCTCGACCACCAAAGGCCGGAGACATTTGTTTGGAAACCCGATGGTGTCTTACGGGGTCCCATTCCCAGATAATCCCCCCATGCTCGTCGTTCCCGTGGTTGTTGATCTGAGTCTTGGGGAAGCGCTCAAGAAATCTTTCATGAGAGCCATAGATATCTGCATGGTTCTGTCAACCATTTCTGCAGGACCAGGATAGAAGTCATTGTACTGACCTGTCACCGCCTGAGGGCTAGAAAACACAAGCTCGTTTGGTGCAACCCGGACAACGTCGCCTGCACAGTCCGTGAGCATGTATGGCAAAGCCAGTGACTGCCAGCTTATCGTAGTGAGATCATACCGTATTTCTTGATGGCGTCCTCAACTGCCCATGGCCATCGCCCGATTAGGCTACAGATTCGGTCAGTCAAGGTCGCATCTATCAACTTAAATCAACTTTGTGTTTAACTCACGAATAATATGAAAGCCAGACATCGGAAACTGCGGCTATTCTAGGCCCGGGAAACCTAGACAGGGGATGAAAATGGTATCTCCAGATCGATCGAATAGTCCAGTAGAACACGATCTGGACAATGGCATGCGTAAGCTCCTGGACTACACATAGGTGTCATATGGGAAGCAGGGTACACCAACACTCCCAACGACAAATGTCAGCAGCTCCTGGAATGCCCACTTGTTCTGGAGCTCCATGAGGGTGACTGCGAAAGGCATGCCGAGACCGCCTTACCGAAAGGATGGTACGAATATAATATCCCCGTCCAAGGGACAAAGAAATGGTGGAGGCGACTCGGATAGCAAAGTTGCCCGGCAGTAGGCCCTATTCCGTCAATAGTTGCAGTCTAAGCAGAGGGACCAGCTGGGTAGAAGCTCAGTAAAGCTGGAAAGGTGGAGAGCATGATTCCCGGTGACGAACCGTCGCACCATAAATACCTAGCTATGCAATTAGACGGGTTTGGCTTGGTCCAGATTTCCGTTGTGGAGTGGACCACAAGCCCTGTCCACGGTCACCACGGATGGAACTAAAACAAATGCTACAGTACCTGGCAGACGATCCTCCCGCGCCGTACTTTAACAGGCATCATTCAATGTCTCATTCATTCCCTAGTCCGTGAAGTCACGAAGTCTCGGCGTCAAGCACAACTGGCACAGTGAAGCGGAGAACCTCGCGCGCCGATATACGAGTGGTCAGGCATAAAAGCCTCCCAAGGGTTGCAATCGGGCTATAGTGCATGTTTGCGGCGTAGCCTAGGCCTGGGGGATGGATTTAACCTACAGTCCTGGCCAGCTATCTAGGCAGCCGGGCAGCCAGGTGAGTCCCTCCCTGTAGCAGTAGCACCCAATGCGACGTCACAACGCGCCAATCCAGCCACCTGGGCACCTAGTGCCAGCGGTTATGGTGGTCCCTTGCACAATCGGAAGACCACGACGATGGTCATGACACCAGATTTGATTGCAGTTGATCTGTACCTGTGATAATGTATCGGCTCGGTTGCATGTGGTCACAAATTCGGGTTTAGTCTCGCCGTTGCACGATAGAGAAGGAGACTAAGCAACGTGCACAGAACAACCTTGGCCGCCAAAGGCACTTCAACAGCGAGAGTGAGGAATCCATGGCCGGTGAGAGGATTTGTGAACTTTCACCAGCTTCAGTAGGCCACAAATTGACTATCACGTATCGGAATGTCATTCCGTCCCGAACCATAAAGTTTGGAAGAGTATCTTGTCATCGTACAGTCGTAGCCCCGTCTTGTAGCAAGGCCCGGAGGCTTGCCTCAGACACGACAGCTTCGATAACAAGCTCCACCGCTGAACAAAAGCATCTACCCGAACGTCAGACATCAAAATCGGACGAGAATATCATTCAGCCGGGAGCTGTATCATCTTCACCATCGCTTCAGTTTTCTCCACGTGGCAATGAATCTGACTCCTGCAGCTACATGAAGTGGAGTAGGATCTTTGTGCTCTACTATAAATACCAACACGCCGCCACCGCAGTCCAGCCACGTCACTGGGCATAACACACCCCAAAGCAGTAGCCAAATTCGGGGGAACCACGATAGAGGTTCTTATAGGGCGAGCATCAAGCGAAAAACAGTTTATATTTGGATCTGTTGCTGCTGTGGGCACTCAGGACAGAATGCTTAAACTGCATCTCCGTGCGTGAATTGTGGGGTTACAACTCCAGTTTAACTTTCATGCGCCCATAAACTCAACCCAATTCTACTCCGCCTTTTCACGAGCACACAATTGTGTCAAACACAGGTGGTTTTCCTTCTCCGGATTTACCATTCGCATCACCAATATCGAACATTGGGGGGACAATCTTGGAACGGCTTGCCCTCGAGCCCGCATCGATCTCCATCAAGGTGCGCCCGTGCCAGACGCACGGCTTCCCATGTATCAACATCGAGATCAATTCTGCCATTACTTTCAGCATGAGCCATCACGTCGTCCGCCCAGCTTCCCGCCTCCCGCAGCATATCTGCGTCGAGAACATTCTTCCGGGCTGTGAGACGCGGTGAGGCGTTGATCTCGCGCCTCTCAAGATCCATGATAAAGCGCACCGCCTTGCGCAGCCGTACCCGAACGACCTGCTGCATACCCACTGGATCGCTCAGCCCTGCTTCGCTCCGACTAAGTGGTAGGGTCAGCCCGGCAGCGGTCAGTGTCGATAAGTCAACGGGAGCGCTCAGGTGGCCTTCATCCCCGGTACGGACGAGCAGAGCGCTGCATCTTTCGAAGAGGATATCAGATAGTTCGGCTTCATCTTTGCCTCGTTTCAACTCCAGCTGCCTGTCGAGAACGATAATTACGGCTCGGTATATTGGCCCCATCTCGAAACCGTGCTCGGCCCACGTGTAAGGATCTTCGGAGCAGACCTGATTATTCTGCCTGGTCTCCAGCTCTTCGCAAATGACCTTGTGCGTGCGTATGGCATCCTCCAGAGCACCACGTGGTCCAGGTCGTCCTTCCAGTGCGACTGCGTTTGCGAGCCAGCGGTACTGTTGGTTATTCGCAAGCTCTCCATTGTAGTGGTGAACCTCCCGCCACGCTGCCAGCATAGCTCTTGCTATGTAAGCACAGCCATTGCCATAATGCGAGTCCGGCTTGTCGTCCTCGTCGTCGTTCCAACAATGGCCGGCAATACACCGCATGAAACCTGGCTCGAAATAGACGGCAGTGATTTTACTCAGTATGTCGATGCCAAGAAATTGCTTTCTGAATAGCTTGGGGGGGAAGCCATCGCCATGATTCAAATAGGGGACAACGACCGGGGTATCGATGCCGGTTTTGCGATTCCACACCGCGAGCCAACGGCTCCTGACGTGTTGCCGGATATAAGCTTCCATTGTCGAGTTAAAAGAATGAATCAGTTCCTGTCGTATCCTCGCTTTGAGTTCCGCACTCAATGGCTCAGGTGTTGGCCCGACATAGCGCGGAGAGCAATCTTCGACACGATATGCGTATTTAATGCGATTTTTCACATCCTCCGGCGAAAGTTTCAATACGACCGGCTTGTTAACCAATCCCCAGAGTGGGTCAAATGTGAACCAGGGGTTTCTGTCCGAGTCATCTCTGAAGGAGGGTATTATGACCCTTCGGGCGAAGCGCTGCTGGTAAGTCTTCTCCCAATACTCGATTTCCTGAGAGACTTTTGTGCTCTCCGTGTCCAGTTTTGTCGCATCTACGTGGCAGCTGGCCTGAGGCTGGGCATTCCTGACATTCGATAGGGTTAGACCCATCTTGCTGTGCCAAATGTTCTCCTCGAGTATTTATTTCAAGTTGACCGAATGTGGGAGCGTCGGCGTGGTTCGGATGGCAATGTTGCAGATGAAGTTCCGTAGAGCAAAGTCTTTTCTGGACCACCCATTTCAGTGTAGGAAGTAGGAGCATTCCATTCGCGGCATAGGATTTTATATGTGTTTGTGGCCAATTTAGGTGTGGTCCAGCCAAAGCTCATGGTGCGCTCCAGCCGACTTAGGCGCTAGACAAGAGGTTTGGGCTGGCTTCGAGTGACTACCTCTAAAGACCACTTAGCTAGGGAGATACTAGTTGGGTTAACCTCTGATTTGGCGGATACTTAAGTGGTCCCGCTTCTATTCCGTATACGTCCGAGCACATACGTGGCACCTTCATACAGTGGTAAGCACTCAAGACCTAGCGCTTAAAAAGAACACGGTATCGATGACGATAGTTATAATACAATAGGTACTTGTGGCCTCAGCCTTACGACGCACAGACAAGGCTAAGGGGTACCATCTTGACAAGGCGGACGCTTAAATTTGGTGATTCTTGTGAGTCATCCAAACCGGCCTGCCTTCACTTGCCAGCATGGCTCCCGACGTGCTCCTCCTTTTCCTTCTCCAGACCAAAGTCGGTCTCAAGGGTTTTGCGTAACTCAACCTCTTCCTCAAAGAGCGACAACAAGAATGCCAGGCCACTAAAAACAATGGCAATTTGAAAGACGCGCTGCAAGGCCTGCCTGTAAACGGCGCGAATCTCAACCTGCACCGCCGGTGGGAACCGCTCCACAAAGGCAGCAGATGCGGCTTGATACGCGCCGCCTGCCGATATGATGCCTGCTACGTCGGGATCGGAGATTGCGCCGCCGGTCAGCAGCTCGTCAATCCGGTTGTTGAAGATCACGGCAGGTATCGTAACCCCCCAGATGTGACCAAAAAGGCGGATGAAATACCAGGCCGCCGTACAGGCAGCAATGTCACGCTCTCGCACAAAGGCCTGAAAGGCGGGCAGCATGGTTGTAAAGATCATACCGGCGCCGAAGGCAGCTATACACTGAAATATAGCCCATTCTGCTGCTGTTGTAGTCTCACGCTGGAGTGTGAACAGGCCCAGGCCAAGTGTCTGGATCGCGAAGGCTGCGATGTGGATGGGCTTGTAGCGGCCCCAGCGGGTGAGGGCAAAAGCGCCGACCATGGAGCCGGGGATGCCGAGGAGGGAGATGGGTAGCAGGGCCACGCCTGCTCGCCTCGGGGAGTAGAGTTTCACACTCTGGAAAAAGACTGGTAGGAAGAATATGCACCAGTAGAGCAAGGCTGAAGACAGGAAGGTGGAAATGGCCAAGATGACAGAAGTGCGAGTCTGGAAGAAACGAGGTGGCATAAGGGGCTCGGATGAGAGACCAGCGGCTTGTACCAACGCGAAGACGAACAGGCCAAAGAAGCCCAGCAGGAGCGGCACCAGTGTATGCCACGAGCCCCAGAGGTATCTCGTGCCAGCATAACTCAAGGCGTAGAGGATGGAAACAGTACTCGCCACTAGCATGCCGTTTCCAACGAAGTCGATCCGCTTCAGCTTCTGCAGGAATGACATCTCCTTGTCAAAGTTGACTCGGAGAAATATAAACAGGACGGCGACAGCGGCTACCCCGATGGGAAGATTTAGGTAAAATACCCATCTCCAATTCGTCGAAGAGACAATAGCGCCACCGATGAAGGGTCCCAGGGCAGAACCAATGCCAAAGACTGACATCAGCATAGCCGAATAGTTGCCGCGCTGGCGAAGCGGCACCAGGTCGCTGAGGATGATGCTCGAGACCATGATGATGCCACCCGATCCCGCGCCCTGGACGGCGCGCCCGGCGACGAGCATGCCAGCCGTCGTGGCACCTCCGCAAATGCCACTGCCGAGCACGAATACCGCGATAACAGCGAATGCGACATGCCGTCTCCCAAACACGTTACAGAACTGGCCGAAGAGAGGCAATAGTGCGGTACTGAGTCGCAGGTAATACAAGGCTCAGTGATTCGCCCCAAATCATGAAATAAATAACGAGGATTGGGCCCACTGGGCCCAATGAACTTACCTGCTGAGAAAGAAAGCGTTTGTGATCCAGATGAAGTCGTCCCCAAAACCCAGATCCGTCAGGATAACGGGGGCGGCGATGGTGAGGACAGTGTTCTCCAAGGCTGCCAGCAGGTTCGCGATGCCCAGCCCGACGATGATTGCATAAAGACGGAAAGTGGGCTTGAAGGCTGGTGCAGGAGGCGCAGCCCCCCCTGGCCCGTATGGCGATGGCGAGGAGCTTGGAATTCCTACAGCGGGTCCCGCATCCTTCCCGTCATTCTGTGCAGCGGCATGGGGATTAGACGGGTTTGAACTGTCCGCCATGCTTCTGGCTTCCATGTCGGATGTGGATACTCCGTACTTATCGAGCACATGGAGCGCTCGCTCATTGACAGTTTGAGGTATGGTTGGGGTCGAGCCTTCGTAGTAGTTTTCGTGCAGAAGATGATGAATGTATAAACCAGTGACAATATGGTGACGGTTTACAATTCAAAGCGTATGGTGGCAACTGACAGCATGACTTGATGATCCGATATTTTGCCCTTAACTCCAGATGTTTACTGACTGCTGGGGCAGTGGGTGCATCCTCTCATACCGTCTCCCATATCGAAGCCTTCTACACTGGTTGTTTCCACAAATCAGAGAAACAGAAAACGGCCGGACGAGTAGAGAAGAAACCGCGTGTCCCGTAAAGTGGTGATGTGACTTCGGGACGGCCTGCACTCCGGGCCTTTTGCACAGCAGCAATACAACCTCGTGATACACAGTAGTCGTTTTCAGGCCCGCACCCCTTGCAATGTTGAGGCTCTAGCTACAGAAGCTGAAAGCACGATGTGACTCTGGACGGAGGTAACATAGTAGTGCTGCCCTGTTGTACCACAGTAGTGTACTTGAGTGCAAGGGCCCGGGGCCCAGACTGACAGGCCCCTGTCGATAAATCTTATGAGAGTCCACCGTCACATTGCATAGAGTACATTTCCACCCCTAGTCGATAATGCTAACCAACTTCTTCCCAGAGATTCCCTTCGCCGCCAACACATCCAGGCCTCCGATGACCCCCTGGAGCCCGCCCTCCAGCAGCTCGATGGGATGGGCCTTCAGCTTCCCCGAGTCCAGCAGCCGCTGCAGCATCGCCAGGCTCTGCACCGCCAGCTCGTGCTTCTCCGCGGACGCGGGCCGGTCGTACCCGTCGTGGCCTAGCTCGATGTCCTCGCCGAACGCCTCCGCCGCCAGGACGAACCCGGCCCGGACGGCCCTGCGCCTGGTCAACAGCTCGGCGGGGACCCGCTCGAGCGAAGCGTAGCGCCCGCCCGGACGCTGGATCGCCCCGTAGCACGCCGTAGCGCTCTCGGCGTCGCTAATGCAGTCCAGCACGTACCTGAGCCGCCCGGCGGTGGCGGTCTTGATCTGGGCGGCGACGTCCGGGGCGGAGTAGTCGAACACGGCGGAGGCGCCGCGGCCGCGGACCAGGTCGAAGTTCCGGGGCGAGCAAGTGGCGATCGGGTCGTAGCCCGACAGCCTGAGCAGCTGCACCGCGATCGTGCCCGTGGCCGTGCTGCCGCCGTAGACGAGCACGGGGGTGGGCTTCTCGTGCTCGAGTGGCGCCTCCGGCGTGCCTTCTAGGTCGAGCGCGTCCTGGGACCAGAAGGCCAGGCTGCACGTTGACAGGGCTGTCATCAAAGTCGCTGCTCCTAGGAGACCTATCCCCTCGAGGTCTCCGTCGTGAGGGGTGGTCGGTATGCGTAGGAGGAGGTCTGTACGCACGCGCACGTACTCGGCAAAGGCTCCGCTTGCCAGCCTGTGCGACGGCGAGAAACCGAAGGCGGCGCCGCAGACTCGACCCCCGAGTGGGCAGGCTGCCGTGTCAACATCCTCGGCCACCTGTACCACAGTCCCGGAGAAGTCGGAGCCAGAGTAGGCACCCGGGATCGGGAAGCCGGTCGTAATCTTATGGTCGGAAGGATTCAGCGCCACTGCATGTGTCTTGACAAGTACATAACCCGGCAATAGTGATGGGATGGCTGCGTCGGTGACGAGACGAAGTCGCCCATCCTCGCCTTGCTGGAGTGCCCGCTGTGAGCTTGGAATATTGGTTGGCATATTGGTCCTCAAGATCGTATGCAGAACTTCTGACCAGGGCCCTTGAATAGCGCACGCGAGTCCTCTCATATGATTTCCACCCCAAAATATCACTTGCCGGTTTCGACGAGACACCTGTAGTCGATATCCGTACTCTCGATGCACCCAGATATCCCGTCCAAGTGTATATGCAACTAACAGATTGACGATTTGCTATCTGCATTTGGAAAGAATGTATAAACGCTGTCACATAATTGCTGCGCATGATTTGACCCCCAAAATAGTGTAGAAGCGGGGTAACTATTTCACCCACTGGAAATCACGCTACAGCATGGTCAACTGGTGCACATGTGAAAATGCTACCGTTACAATTAATAGTTGCAGTCCGCGCCCCGTGAACCCAGGGCCTGCACCCCAGTGGCGCAATCAAATCCTTCGGTTTCCAACATCCAATGGACGAATACGCAACATGGGCTGAAATGTCTGTCAGCAATTGAACCCTGAAAAGCGGGAGGCTACCAACAGCAACAGGGCGATGGTGAGTCTAGCGGTGCCACAGAACTGACCTCGACCATGCTCCCAGGTTCCCCAGTCCATCGCACCCTTCCTTGCCCATGATACAATGCCTTTATCTGCGCTGCTTAGTTCTGCGCTCTCTCGCGTCACAATGCATTCTAAGCGCCAAATATTACAAGGGTGAAATAATGCTCTTATCAATTCGGAGTTTACAGCCAGTTGTGGGAGAGTTTGGACGATCCGGGCACCTGGGCATGCATCTACCCCCGCGGTGAACGGAAGGCCTTCAACTGTCTGGGCCGACGTCTCCAAGTTGTGGTGCTACCCTGTTTGCCGCAGCAACTAGCAGCAGCAACGTGTAAGCGGTGAATAGATAGGAGTCATTTTGCGGATGAGCAAAACTGATACAAGCCCGTACATCCGCTCTAGCACCACAGCGTGAGCGGCAGAACCAAGCTTCACCAACTCGCAGCTGTGTAAGTCGGACATCTGGAGGAACAATGGCTTTCAGGATATACAACAACTCCACTCAGTTCGCCCAGCTTATCGTTCTCGTCATATTCACTCCCCTGGGGGTTGCGGTGACAGTCCTTCGCTTTGTCGCAACGCGCCATGGGGCGCGCAAACCGGGACTAGAGGACTGGATGGCCGCACTGGCCACTATTTTCTTCGTATTGGTCAACCTCTGTGGCTTGCTGGGTGAGTGTGACGCCCGCAAGAGATTTTCTACCTGCCCCGATGCTGAACATTTGGGTGTTCCCAAGCAGCTATCAGCATCCTTAATGGGCGCACAATTGAACAGGAAATTGCCGATAGCCCAGCCGATTATCGTCACATGCGTGTAGTACGTATCCTTCAACCATCCTCGCAACGGAGCGTGATTTCTTCCGGCCATACTATTTATCACAATTTACCGGGTCCTATGCTCAGCTTCTTTGACCCTGATGCTCACATCGGTGCTAGTGGGACATGACTGGTGTCTACCTCTATCTTGGCCACATCCTGACCGTGAAGCTGAGTGTCCTCGCGCTCTTTCATCGAATCTTCGGCATCAACCGTACCTACCGGGTATGGATATACGCTATTGGTGCATTTCAAACAATGCTATGCATCATCTTCTGTGTCTTCCAGGGACTGCAGTGCAGGCCGTTCGACAGATACTTCGACAAGTCGATAGAAGGAACTTGCAAAGACGACGGCTTGATTGTCATCGGTGGGGAGACACCAAATTCACTCGTCGACTTTGCCATGGTCATTCTCGCAATGGTCATGATCCGCCCTCGTCAGCTTCCATCGGCCACGAAATGGAGGCTCAGGGTTCTGTTTGGTTTTGGTATCATGTGAGAAACCCATTCTATCAATCGCCTCGCTGCGTAATACCGGCGTCAAGTCGCATACTGAACATTAGCCTTCTTTCAGTGCTGGAATATTGGGATTCGTCAAGATTGCCGTTACATTCTCGCTGAGTGAAATCTGTAAGTACTGTTCCGCGACCGCGACGCCACAGATTGGTTCCAAGAAGTGCTCTGACCGAAGAACCTATCCGCTGTTCCAGATGCTTTCAGCATGGTTTCACTCTGGACATGTGTCCAGATGTTTGTGTCCCTACTCTGCTGCTGCCTGCCTGTCTTCCAGCCGCTTCTCGCCGGTTCGACTTTTTGGAGCCAGCTCACATCGCGCCTCAGCAGCTTTACACCGCTTGCCTGGGTGTCATGGGTCCGATCTACGGGGCAGTCGACAGACATGTCTGCAAAGAATGGCAACGCTACTTTGTCGATGGAACAGTCGACAGAGCAGTCGACGGGGCAGCGATGGAGCTTCGATGACCTGGAGCAACCAGGTTCAAGCGCGGAAGACCTTCCTTTGCCGCCGGTAACATACCAGAACCAAAACTATTCTTTAAAGGACCTTCCAATCCAAGGGGTACCACATCAAGGCATGGATGGAATACACGTACAGACGGAATTCGTCATGGTCCGGTCGGATGTCTTCCGCCATTCATGTCCAGGTTGACTGTGTCGATGGCAAGAGTGCCACATGAGCTGAGATCGTTAATGATACGCTTACGTACATGTTTCAATATGAAATCATGAATTTCCGACCGCACAACTTGAAGTCAATGATTGACCAAGGCACAACAGGCTTTGATTAATTTACATCAATTCCAATAATCTCACTCTGGTGTGCAGACCTTTCCTAGTGTCAGGTCCTTGTCCAAGTGCGATGTGGGTGTAAACAATTGCCTCGTCACTGCTACGCGTCGAAGGATGACTGCATGCGGTCACGACTGTTCGAATCATCACTATGCCGTATCAATATTCGCGAGACGTATGATATGCTCTCTAAAAGGCGAGATCTTACACGAGGCGCAGATAAATCGAGTACAATGTAAGCAAGAATGAAGTCCACAGATATGTTAGTAATGGACGTGTAAATGAATTCTTTCACGGTGGCCTCATAGCCTTGTATGACCATTGGCATCTAGCCCGTTGCAAACTACAATGAAGACCGTGACTTCCTCGTGTTTCTCTCAATGCTTAAAATCATCGCGACATGATGACTTAGTACCAGTAGCTCACCATGGACATCCCTCACCGAGATGTCGAGGTCGAACTTCCCCTCCTTAATCTGTTTCGATGTCACACGCACAGCCAACCACTCTACTCCGTCCTCAGGCAGAGCCGTCTTCATCTCGAGATTCATAACCACCGTGGGGAACCACATGCCAGCGCGCTGCTCGTCCTTGGCCTTGATATCTTTTCCCTCGGGGCTATCACCGGCCGCCTCACCCTTCCGGCCTGCTTGAAGCAGCTCGCGCAGCTCGGGCGCCGCTAAGAATTCGTGAAGGTTATACTGCAGTGTGCAGAGTCAGGAATCAAGCCGCACTAGAACCATTCACCCCAGAAAAGTGTGGACCGTTTCTTGGTCTCGGAACGCACGCGCTTTGATGGGGTTGAACTCGATGCTGGGTGTGTACTAACCGGGAACGAATCCACGACGTACGGCAGCGCACCTTGCGTGATACGCTCTCCACTCGACAGGCGTGTCCACATATCCAACACGCCGGGGGCCAGCGGTCCTTGACGGGGCACGTAGAAATTCCAGTTCTGCAGCGAGCGCGCAACACTCAGCGCGGCCCTGGGCGGTCTCGACTCCTCCCACGTGTCATCCACGCCGCGGCTCTTCAGGGCCTCGAAATCAGGCAGGGGAGGGTTCTCCGCGGCCGCGGTGCCCTCAAAGCCCGTCGGCAGCGAGATCCCCGTGAACGCGGCCAGGTTAGTATGCGTCGTGTAGGCGAGGATGGCGCGTCGCGAGGCGGCCGTCGTCCACGGGGCGTGCGGGACGAGCCCGCCCTGCCAGAGCGCGAGGTGCAGCGTGGACAGCTGGCCGCTGATCTTGACGTCCTCGATCTTGACGATCGCGGGCCCGGGGCTGGTGCGGCTTGGATACTCAAAGTGGGCGGTTAGCGTGTCGCGCTGGTCGCGCGACGAGAGGTGCTCGCTCGCGGCCGCGAGCATACATGACGAAGCATATCCACCATTGGGGACTGTGAGGGGTTGTTATTCAACGGTTCTCGAGCCAGCCACACGATCGCATGACTTACCGTTGCCAATACAAAAGGCCTCATCGAGCTCGACTCTGTAGGTGTGCGAGTCTAGCTTTGTGACCCGAGTTGCAGCAGCGAGGGAAGCACTGCCTGCCTGTTCTTGGTTCGAAACCATGATGAGACCAACTACGATAGTTGTGTTGCCTACAAAGGAGTCAAATGTTTTCTTTTGATGAGAACTACAACTCGACTGTAGTTCTTGGGATACGTGCGTGAGGAAATAACAAGCGTGTTGGTCGAAGGCAACCCAGAATATGTGGGTGGTGTTGTTCATCACTTCACGGGGTCTCGGGGGTCTTGGCGGAGAAAGTGATACCAACCAGTTTAGGACATGCATGAAACGTGAAAATCGGCTTGGGTTAAATTGCATCGGGACGTTTTGCATGGAGCTTACATGTGATTTGCTGCGATTCTAAAGCACATTATGCATCATACGCGATATGCAATTAAGTGATGCCGATTCCCTATCAAGACCTGTGTAATGTTGGTAGCATCAGCTTTAGAGGAGGTTACTTACTTCATGGCATTAACAGCCTGAGGAGTGAACGCCACCGTGCTTTGAGGGCTAACATAAGAGCGAGTATTAGTAAGATGAAAAACATCTTTTGGGAATTTCATGAAAGTGAGGACATGGTGAAAGTCATGAGTTCCATGCTGTAGTGTCTTTACACTGTTAGAATGGAAAAGTTCCAACGGGCAGATTGATTTCGTGTTGATACCCTGTTCGGCCCGGTGATGATGGCCAAGGGTGATTGAACGGAAAGAGCCATATTGCAGTGTTTCGCTCGTACTGAGTCTAGGCTTGCTCAGGCTCTGTATGGCATGCAGAAGGCCAGCGGTGCTATATATATTCCGAACTCCTCGTTAAGATGCTCACCGCCCCCACCCCATTGAGAACGATACGTGTGATACGTGTAGATGTCCCGTTATGTAACCTTGTCGGAGGCACATCCCGTCGCGGTGGAAACTAATCTAGAATTGCCTGTACCCTTGGTCAATATAAACAACAGGAAAAGAAGTGAGTACTCTATACCAGGCCTGTTTCCGGTCTGCGTACCGTGAAGACGATGGATTGCATAGAATGGCGTGTCTGCGGGTAAAATGGTTGTAGTTCTAGTGTTTCCTTAAAATTAGCAAACTCATTTCATTACGTTTTTATTCGTGCTGCACCGACTTCTGCGACTTGGTCTGCAGGCAGCAAGAGATGACGGAACCAACATGGGAGTGGTTATCCTGCGTTGGGACGACCCACATCGGCGAGGTTTCTGTCATATGTGATAGGAATTGTTCACGAGAAGGTTCAGAACCCTGGACCAATATCAGCTCAACCAGCAGTCAGGCAGTAGCAGTGTGACGACAGCAGGCTGACGTTGCACAACCCACAACCAGAAAAACCTTTTTATACCAAAAGGCCAGCCTCTTCCAGCCTCTAACAGGATTGACCAGAGGCTGGCTTGTAAACATCAGTCGGCGGTACTTTCTTTCTGTTCCTCTCTTCGCACAACATAGGCCACAATGCGCGACCACGAACCGGCACATACGCCATCCCAGCCCTCGACCGACTCGCCATCACTGGTGGACTCGACAGAATCAAACCGTTGGCACAAGACAGTGCAGTTTATTCGCCTTGCGATCATGTCAGTTGTGCAACATGCATTGGAGACACCATCGGCCCCTAGCTTACGGATAAGACCAGATGCGTGACCTTCTTCGTCGACATTGGCAGCTTGGGAATGTGCACCATTGCGCTGCCCACTATCAAGCACGAGCTTGGGTTTGATGAAGGCTCGCTGCAGTGGGTCATGACGGCCTATGCACTGACAGTAAGGAGTGATTGGATTCTCTCCATCTTTATGGCAGACTCCCCTCTGACGGTGGTGGAATTCAATAGTACGGTGGCTTCCTTATGGTCGGCGGGCGCCTCGGTGACACCCTGGGCCAGGGGCTTCTACTCAAGGTATCCATGGTTGCCTTCAACATCTTCTCCCTGGTCTGCGCCCTGGTATCGAATAAAATCGGCTTCCTCGTGAGCCGTGCCTTGCAAGGTGTGTCCTATCCTACTACTTGGTCTCTGGCTTGACCACGCTGATATCATACCACGAAGGCCTGGCCGCCGCCTTCACTGTGCCCTCTGCCCAAGCCATGATTGGCCACATATTCCCCGACCCTAAGGCGCACGCCCTTGCTCTTAGCTGGTGGGGAGCCACGGGCTCAACAGGTTTCGTGTATGTTGCTATCCTCCGTATATCGTCCGCGACTCCGCATGAGCTCACGCCGATTCAGACTGGGGCCTATCATCGGTGGCTTGTTTACATCCTTGGTTTCCTGGCGATGGGTACGTATCGCTCTTGTCTTTTCTGTCCATGAATTTTCCTTGTCATTGATATGTGTCCGCAGATATTCTGGTTTCCCCTAATCCTCGAGGGCTTCCTGGCTATCCTGACCATACTGCTGTTTCCAAATAAAGAGAGTTCAAGTCGGAAGGTCCTCAGCCTTGGCGAGATCATAGAGCGGTCCAACCCCGTCGGCACCGGGCTCTCGATTCCGGGTTTGATCCTTCTTGTATATGCGCTCACCGCGGGCAACCAAAGCGGCTGGTCCGATGCAAGTGTCGTTGGGACATTGGTGGCTGCTGTCGTCCTGCTGGCTGCCTTCTTTTTCGTTGAAAAGAAATTGGCCCGGTTCCCTTTTGTCCCACGGCATTTGTGGAACTCCAGCAGCCTTGCGATTGGATGTGGACTTGCGGCCATCACGTATGCAGTCTGGCAGGGTGCCAACTATTTCCTCACCCTTCAACTACAGGGTCAGTCTTCACTTGGCCATGCCTGTTGTGACGGTCAAAATGGCCTAATGTGCGATACAGACCTCGGATTTACCGCCCTGGAGACATCTGTCCGCTTCCTACCCCTTGGTATAACTGCTTTCATGGTAAATATGATCATACCACACCTTCTAGCCCCTGTTGGGCCACAAATCCTCCTCCTTGTCAGCTGGCCATTCGCCATAGCCGGTGTCACCCTGCTCACCTTTGTTGAGTCGACTGGTGACTACTGGCGGTTGTGCGTACCAGGCATGATCTTATACATTCTCGGGGTTGGAACCGTCTACTACGTGTCGATGGTTATCGTGGTCACGTCGGCCTCTCCAGAAGACCAGGGCTCTGTTGCCGGCGTTTTCAATGTATGTCCCCTACCCGGAATGAATATAATCTGTGGCACTACTGATTTATTGTGACCGTCCGACTAGATGTCGCTCAACGTTGGCGGTGCTGTCTTCGGTGTGGCTGTTTTAACCGTCGTCGCCAACAGTGTTACAGACAACACTGGCGGCCAAGGCTTGCTTGCTGCCCGCCTACGCGGATACCAGGCGTCATACTATGGGGCCATCGCATGGGCCGTCCTGGCAACTGTTATCTCATCCTACATGGCCTTCAGTCATTACAACAAGAAGTCCGAGCGGAGCGATGCCACTGTTGCCACTGCTCCCTCGACTGCCCCGACTCCCGTTCAAGTTGCTACAGACGACGAAAAGAAACAAACCGGGGCGGAAACTTTGAACAGGTAGAATCGAGAGCCTTCCACCTTTGTGACTCACATGGGTTGGCTATCCAAAGATGGGGATATCTTTGTGGCAACTTTCACACACAGGCTTGGGATTTCAACGGTCCTGATACATAGGTACGCACTTTGAAGTCTGCACCATTATTCCTGCTGCCTTCAAGCACTTTTATGGTATAGGGTAGTTATTACATGCATTATAGCATAACTGGATCTAGTATTGTCCTAGCAGTATCACCGGTAATAAGTCTAAAGAGGTATATTGGTTACCAAGAGTACTATACACGATTAAAATACGATGTACAGGTACAATCCTGTGGTCTGTCTGCCGTGGAATGGTCTAGCCGTTGACCCCAAGACTTGAGCGTCTTCCGAAGACTGAGACAGGTATTCTTCTCCAGAAGGGGTATGTTCACAAACACGACTATCTGGATCGTGATGTGTCACTTATGAGGTCCATTCTGGCGGTACTTTTACTAAAACTGGAATAACTCAACGACCTCTTGAGAATCACGCTTTTGTGGGTTTTAAACATCACAAGGCCCAGTACTTGATCAATACCTAGGTAGTCAAGGCTGGTGGTATAAGAGGGATGGCAACAACTTCTGAGACACTTTAAGCTAGGGCGCCGGGGTTTGGCCGTTGACTCTCCAGATGATGAAAACCAGGTCCCAGCCCTGGAATCGGGTGCCACGCCTCTGAAGATCTGGTGGCCCATCGTCGTCCGTAGACAATATACCGGTACACTATTTCCTACTGGTCTTGATTCCATGGGGCTAGACGCGCCCAAACCACGGCATGGCGCTCCGAAAGGTTGCACAGGGTCTCGAGCGTCAGCAGTAGTAGTAGTCTCCGTCGTTGTTTGATTCAGGGATGTAACCTACTGGGCGTGGCGGTGGACGGTTCGAAGCCACGGCTCACGGAGATGGTGAACTTTATTAGGGGCTGAATTACCCTCATTTCCGGGCGCTTACCGGCGCCCCAACGTGCCCCAACCCGCCCAAACTGGCTGGTCACTTGCCCCAGAAGTCTGTGGGTTCCGAGATTTAGCGCGCATTTAACGAATCCACCTCATCCCAATTGGTCATCGCATTACAACCTGAATGTCAAATCGGGATTCGGCTCCCGCCCAGATTGGGGCACAGCGACCTGAAGGACAAGGGTGCCTGATCCTGAAATGAGGCAAGCCGAGAAAATTGAGAGCCCGGCCTACGCGTCCCCTGGCATACATAAGAACATGTGCGCTTCCAGTAGACCCTGCCATGCACAAGATGCTCGTCAGGTCGAAGTTGTCATCAAGTTGTTCCCAATATGAATCTGAAGAGCCAGCCACCACACCAGAACAAGATGAGGAACACCCTGAAGAAGATGTTCGGCAGCCGGCCAAAGTCAGACATGCCAGTGGCGACGTACTCTCGGACCAAACACCCACTGGCAAACCCGAACAGATCATCAGCCCCTCCTGCTTTCACCCGGTCTCACAGCATGCGCGAGGCGAACACATATGTCATCCCCGACTCCTACTTCAACGAACCACGATGTCAGACGTCCACACAACAACTACGAATGCCAGGGCAAGACGACCCGGACTCATTCCGCCTGGCTTCCCGCACCTATCAATTCCGAGCAGCACACCAGTCGCTTATGGCCAATTTCCCACAGGCCAGGGTCGTGGACGCCGGACAGTTCCCCGGAAATATGGAATTACTAGATGGAGTGCGCAAAGAAGACACTCACTTCTTCGTGGCAATGGATTCGGAGGACTCGTCGCAGTATATCGCAGTCAACCTGGTCATATTCAGCGCCGCAGTACCTCCACCACCCGCATCCACCTGTCCCGAACTGCAGCCAATAGTGGTTGCACAAGATGCCTTGGCTCATCTCTTGAGACAATGGCAGCGGGGTGGAGTCTCTGATGGCTTCCTAGCGATCGTGTCCATGGGCACAGAATCGTCTGTACACGTGTTCCGAGCGAAGGAGGGCTTCGTGGAACTGCCCGCATAAAAGAGATCTCTTGCTGGGATCAGAATCTTTTCGATGAACGCTGCATTCGCAGTGGGCGAGCATAGAATGCTGAGCACGGAGTTTTGGAGTTTTGATTTTGGAGAGTGATGATTTTAGATATAATTACTACTGGGCGGCAGTCTAGTAGAGAATAATGTTGGAGAAGTAAAGAGACGCGCCTTCTCAGGCGCCTAATTCCAAAGCCAATGGTTCATGCTCTGGACAAAGCAGAACCACCTGATGGCCATGATATCAGTCCTCAACCAATTAAAGCAGTAAGACACAATTCGGTAGCTACCAGACGTGTGACAGTTGCCGACGGTCAGCACGGATCGAAGTGCCTTGACGTTCACAGCAAATCTCCGTCCTAAAATAGAACATTTATGCATAAGTGACCCCTGCTCGGCAGAGCGCCCGCATCTAGGTTGTCATCCGGAGGGGGGTGGTTTCGTTTCTAATCCCCATACATGTAAAACATATGCGGCGGCTTCATACAGTGGCAAACGCTCAAGACCTGTCACCCGGAACACTTCAGTTTTCCGTTCAGATCAGATAGCATCACGATCTCGCTTCTCCTGAAATGTGAGCGGCCTACAGCGGAAAAGGCTCAAACGCTCCTCGTTAAAGCGAGAATACAATACCTAGTAGAGCAGTGGCATTCAAGTCAACTGTCTGTAACAAGTTGCCCAAGCCTTGTGACCGGTGTATTTATGGAGTTAATCGAATTTGCACGCGAGTGTTCTTACTGATTATCACGGAAGCTTGCAGTCCTCATGAAGAGAAATTTCTCCATTCTCTCTGGGATAACCTTCTATGGAAGAACTGGGCTACGAGCCCTTTCCCCCCAACCCCTCATTGAGCACCCCTACTCTACCTAGGTAGTACTACCTAGATAAGGGTGTGTAATTCACAACACTGGCCCTTGAATCCGAACCCTGGTTTGGTCTGCGTCTTCATGCCTCTCAATCCCTCAAGAGTCTACGCAGGAGCAGGAATGACAGGTTTGTCGAACATGCTCCAAAAGACCTCTTTCTTATCATTGATCCACAAGCGAGCTCCTAGTTGCGCGTTCCACTCGTATTTCGGGTCTCGGTACATGACAGTTTCGATTCCCTTCCAGTGCTCGTGGACTTTCTGTACGACGTAATTATTGAAAACATCCTGCCCCGGCTTATTGTTGTCGCGATTGAGGAGCACAAAGACCTGTCGGTTCGGTATGTTGGTGGTATCGTCAAGTTTGAATAGGTTCTTCAGCTGGTCGTCCAGCAGCGGGTTCTCGCCCCCTGTGCACATGGTCGAGGCGACGTGGGCGAGGATCTTGTCGTGTTTGCCCTTAGGTACCGCGTCCGCGCTCCGCACCACGATTGCTATGCAGGTGGATAGACCATCGGTGAACAGCGTCTCTCCTGACATCTCTCGCTTGGCCTCCCCCAAGTCGACATAGGTCTTTCTGGACGGAGGGTACAACGCGCGTGCGTCAAGACCATTGGCTGGGCTTAGCCCCGACTCGGACATCCTTAGTTGTTGGCCTACAGCTTCGTAAGTACTATGGCATGTTTTTGAGAGACAAAAAGGGTTTTGCTGTCACCTCTTGCTTCCTAGAATCGGGTTTCCAAACGCCCCGATGACCATGAGGCCGTAAAGAAGGATTGCCTTGATAATCTGCATATTTGATATCGTGGTCGTGGTGTTTTGTGTTCTTGATAGATACGATACAGACGAGACGTTGTTGTTGTCCTTTTTCAAAATCCAAATTGCCACTACAAGGGCACATATTTATATCCTTAACTTTGCAGTCTTTCCATTGCTTGATTCCAAGACGTCAATGACAAGTTGTGAGAACTTGCGGATTATTCGTAGTTGTTCTAACGATCAACGTGACTTGTGACTGACATACATGCCAAGTCATAGTGTCCCATGTACAGTTGAGCAGATTATTTGAGAGCCTCATCTGAAAGACTGTTGTGCCGTTTGTGCGGCTCTCCAACTCATAGGTTTTACTCTGAAAAGGAGTCTTCCAGGCATCTGTGGTGAATCAGTTTATCTATTTTAATCTCAGCTTCTTTAGTATGGCGTAGGCATCTTGAGTGATACCAGAGGCTACTGGGTGAGCTTCACCCCGGTGCCGTGTATGCGCACTCATACCCAAACCCTACTGCCCAGGTGTGGCTATCACGCCAGCCCTTTCGGATATGAAAAAGAAGATTTAATTGAATACTTTCGCATGGACACTGTCATTCAATAAACTGCGAATATAAGATCATTAAGGACTTCGATTAGCTCATACCATTTTGATGGCTCCTACGCCTGGTTGGACATGTCTACTACCCTGCCGTCTGCAAACACCCACATCCCTTCTTTAATCAACTTCTGTGCAGGCCGCTGCCATTCAATCACCTCGAAATTCTCGAGATGTGCACTTGGCCTCGTTATCTGCCAGCATGGATAGGTTTCCGCCGTATTGCATGAATAGGGCAATCTGCGTGTTGGCTCCGGTACATCCCTCCAGTCGATATATGCCGGAGCATTGGTGTAAGATTTGAGACTGCCCCTCTCTTTTCTTCTTGAAATCCACGTATCAAGTTCAGCCCTGTAATTAGCCACAGGCTCATCAAGTCGGACGTCTGGATGTTTCATCCAATCCGTCATATCCAACACGCTAGAGGGATGCTGGTCCCGATGTGGCACGATGCGAAAGCTCTCATCGCGAGTGATGATCTCATAAAGCGTAAAGATCACGCCTTTTACATCGTCACGCTCCTCGTAAAAGCTTGCTCCCTTGCCAAACTCTGTGTCCCCGATTCGAGCTGAGAAATTGAAGTCGAACAGCATGATGTTATCTGTAGCTTCATCCACGAGGAGGTTTCTTGGGGCGATGTCTTGGTGTTGAATACCATACTTGTAGTTGAGGTCGTCAACGAAGCTCATCAGTTGTAAGAGCCATTTGAGTTTGAATATGCGCGAGTCCTGTGGGTTCTCGTAGATCGCATCAAGGGTGCCGCCAGCGATGTACAGGCTGGTGAAGCCCACTATGCGAGCTTGTGAGCCCTCAAGCTTCTCGATCACTACCTTGTCAAAAGGGACAATGTTTGGGTGTCCTGAAAGACGCATAAATATGTTCAGCTCATTCCAGCGCTGATGCAGATGTTGTAGGATGATATAGTATTTGAACACCACTTTCCGGTTCTGATATGACACCAGGTCGACATTGGGGCCAAGACGGTCTAGCTCACGTAGCTCTGAGCGCATGATGGTTTCCACGCTGTCTATTAGTTGTGAGTCCTGCAGGGGTGGGTAGTAAGGGAAAAGTGTCTGGTCGTCATTAGGATCAGAAGAGACAGACACAAGCTCGCCGCTGCCCTTGGATACTTCAATCGAGCAGACATCAGTTCCAAGGTCGTCGATGTGCCGCTTCAGATATTCTGTATAACTTTGTATTTAGCATTAGCATTGTATGACCAGTGTAGGAGGAAAATGCGTGTAAGTGGGGTTCGAGTGACGCATTCCCATGAGGCGGACGTACCGATAGCCAGGTCCTCGTCTTCTACGTCGCACTCGAAGGTGACTGAGATCGTTCGCCTTTGGTCCCAGTCAACGACTTGCCAACACCCCGGTTCGAGTCCGTTTGGCTCAAGCATTCCTCCCATCACCCAAAAACGCCACTCGTCTTCAATCATTGTCGCGTTCGCGGTGTCTCGCCGATGGGGTAGCTGAGGCTGGAAGCGAGGTCACGTATTAACAGTGCAAGGGGGACAAAACAAGAGGAAAACGCTTTCAGTGACCAACTCAACGTGGACACTCGAATGATGGCGTTTGGATTGACTCACAGGTGCAAAGAAGGGATGAAAAAAAAAAAGCTTTGCTTGTGGACGTCGTCGTGAAAGGTGTACTCTTTTTTCAAGAAGGCGGGGAAGCTGCGCCACCCAACTGTCCAAACCCTAGCGCACTCCGGCCATAAAAGATCAATTATACACCATCATATAACTACCATGGGACCCCACCATTTCATACACCCCACCATCTCACACAGCTAAAATTAGAGATTACCTATAAAATAACTAAACTTAATGAAGCTATTAATAATTTAATTCTATTTATATAAATAAACTAATAATATAGTTTTAAAGCTTTAAATCTCCTCTTTTATTAAATATATTATAAAGGTATTTTTATAACCTTATTAGACTATATTTATACTTCTAAAGGTAGTATATTATTATTATTATCCTCCTCTTCTTCCTCTATAGATTCAACCTTAATTTCTTTATCTTATATTTTAATTTTAACTTTAATCTTTTAATTAAAAGTATTTCTAACTAATATCTTAAACTCTATAATATCTTTAAATTATATAAACTTTTTATTAAAGTTAGGGATTACTTTATATTTTTTAACCTTTATATACTTAATTTAAGCTTTTAACTTTTAAATCCTTATATTAATAAGAGTTAACTTAAACTATTTAGTATTATATATAAACCCTATCTTTCTAAATATAGTTTAATTTATTATATTAGTATTAAAGTTAATAAGGTCTATAATATCTTACCCTAACTTAAGTAAATTTAACTTTAAAATAGGATTTTATTTAATTTATTATTTAGTTTTATTCTCTTAAATTTCTAAGTATAATAGAGCTTTAATATAGTTAATTAGTTAATTTTTAGTTATTTTAAAAGTAGACTTAATATTCTTTTTTATAAATCCCTTCCTTTAAATCTCTATAAATACCTTAATAAAAGTAATTTTATTTATAAATATTAAATCTATAAGGGATTATTATTACCTAAAAGGTTATAATAATATACTTTAATAATATTAAATACTCTATTATTAAGTAGTTAGAGCTTATAGGAATAATATATTAATAGGTAATAAAGAAAATATTATTCTAAAAGTAGATAGTTATAAACTTATTTTATAACTATAATTAATATTTATAATTTTAATTTTATAACAACCTAGCTTTATACCTATTAAAGTATAGTTAAAATAGTTATTTAAAATTAATAGAATAACTTTAAAATTATCTTTCTAATAAGTATTTATTTAAAATAGAAATACCTACTTAAACTATATTATATTTATTTAGTTATTTATTTAGCCATTTAAAGATATAATTTAATATTAATTAGGTATAGATTTATAAAATTCCTTAATAAACTACTATTATTAAAGTTTTTACCTTTAAATATAATATTTAGGTTAAAAGTTTTATTAATTATAGTAATAGATTTAATTATAATAGACTATTATTTAAATTAGTTATATTTAATTATTACCTTTTATTTAAAGTCTTAATTATTAAGGAATTAAAGTTTATATATAATTAATTAATATATTTATTTATAGCTTTAGAGAAGCTAATTTAAATATTATAACCTATTATTATATTAACTTTATTAATATTAATAATAAGCTCTAACTTTATTTAATTAAATTTACCTTCTAAATATTAAAATATTAACTAACTATCTTTAAAATAAACTTATTAAAATATAATACCTTTTAAATATATTTAATTTTAATATAGATTTTAAAGTAATACTTAATTAGGTATTCTATTTAATAATAATTAATTAAATTATTATTATTAGAATCTTTAAAAGGGAATTAATTATATTTTTAATTATAAAGTAATTTATTATAACTTTAAGTTTCTTTTAATAAAATATCTATTTAATTATTTTATCCTTTTAAGTAGTTAATAACTAACTATTATTCTAAACTTTAAAATTACTTTTAAATTATATAAGTTATTCTTTTAGTTAGAGAGTATAGATAAAGGTATATTATACTTTAAGGTAACTTTATTAAAAAAGATTATTATTAATAATATTAAATAGTATATTCTATATATTCTCCTTAATATAGTTTTTAAAAGGTATTATAATAAATTTAATAAGCTTTATTTAATAAGTTTAATAATTAAAAAAAAGAAGGGGATTATCTTTAATTTAATATTTAAGGTTATTTATATACTTAAAATAAATAATTTAAAAAGGGTATTAATTTATTTTTAAAATATATTAAATTATTTATTACTAAATTCTTTATTTAACTATATTTTTTGATTATAAATAACCTTAATAGTAGTTGATTAATATATAAATAAAGATTGTAAGTTTATATAGGTGTAGAGGATTTTAGCTATGCGAGATGGTAGGGTGTGTGAAATGGTGGGGTCCCATGGTATGTGGTTCTTACTTCTGGTATTTCCTGTTACTCCTTCTGTTTTGCGAGGCTTCTCATATGCTCTAGATGTTTTCCAATTACATTGCTAAGTCTATTCACGCATCCTCGTCAATCAGTCCCGAGTCCCGGGCGGCCCCTCCTATGAAACAGCTGCAAGATCTTTTTGGGAGACTCTTAAATTCCAGCTGCCAACCAAGCAGCTCCTAGGCTCGCTAGTCCCCAGATCCTAATCACGAATCCGACTGCCTCAGTCTCGTCGAATTCCCACCACCTGAAGACCCCGAAGATGACGCTACTTCCCACGGCAGCTACAATTTGTGGGGCGGCAATGGCGATGTTGAAGACACCCATCACAGCACCAGCACGCAAGTCCTCTGAGACCACCGGTACCTTTTCTTCTCCCCTCTCAATCTCGTCGTCCGAAATTGTTGCTGGAGGATCAATGCTATAGTTGTGAAAAGACCTTTGTGGAGGAACAGGTCGGTGCCGCTGTTGGGTTTCGATGAAAACGCTGGTGAGTGCTAGCGGGGCCCATTGCGTCAACGCCCACGAGATTCCGAGTAGGGATACAAGGAATGTTGAGTAGGTCGGGGAACGCGTTAGAGATGTGGAGAGTAGAATTGTGAAAGTCAGTAGGTGCGATGCCATCCATGCTCGAGGAATTGTGAGCCATTTGATTTTGAAACACGACTCCATTGTCGAGAATGGAGACGTTGTGAGTGGTCCTGAGCGTTGGATGGTACCCGTAGAAGGGCTTTGCTTGGGGAAAGAGACGATAAGTGGAAGTAAAAGGTTGCTGAGCAGCGCCACGATGGAAAATAAAACCATTGCGAAGGCTCCATATCGAATGGACGTATCGTGAAGATGCGGCTGAGATGGGTTGACTACGCCATTTTCAGGCTGCGCCGGGATATCATTTTCGTCTATTAATTGTCAGTCATACCTATAATTTATTGATTTTCTGGTGAAGGCTGGGGTAATTACCAATACCAGCTAGATAACTATCGGAGACGAATTAGATTGACGATCTTGTCTTCACAGCTTGGAACATTGAAGTGTCCAGAAGCTCAGCCTTTTGCTTGAAGATACACTTACCTGGTGATATAGAACAGAAACGGGAACCACCCCGACCAAGCGAAAAGCTGTACTTGGCAAATTCTCTTCATGTCCTTCGGCAAATACATCACCGTTCTATAAATTTGCCTTAAAACTCCAAGAAAATTGACTTCCTCCTTCCTGTGACAGTTTATCACCTGCTGTTCATCGATGGTGAATAATGTCACAGCTACCGTTGAGCCCAACGCCAAAGATGCTATAACACATAGACATTTAAACTGAGTGTCTCCAAACCAAGGTAGAATGTGAGGTAGGTTGAAGAGTCCAGAGGCGTAGCCGAGAACACTTCCAATGCCTGTGATAACGCTGGCAAAGGCAGTGGCTTGAACCTTCTGGCGTGATGGACAGGCCTCGCATATCAATGCTCTTAGTCCCATTTGTACTGGTTGAATTGCAACATTCAGCATCCATATCAAAGATGCGGCCACAAATCCCTTGACCAACAGGACCGCCGTGCCTCGGGAACTTTTGACAAATGTTCCGTGGAGACGATCAATGAAGTCCCCAGTCCATGGTAGAAGGATCATAAATAAGATGGTGAGAATTGTCCCCCACAGGATGTAAGGTTTGCGTTGTCCCCATGGATGGCTGGATCGATCGCTGAGAACGCTGATATATGGCTGGACAACAGCACCAGAAAGTGGTCCTGCGAGCCAAATGAAGGATATAAAATATGAGGGTAGTCCTAAAGAGAACAGGTATATCTTTTAAATCAGGAGAAGTTAGTCCTCTGCGTTGAGAACTTGAGGAAAGAAGGAATTTGATCTCTTACTGAACCGTATCCCATGATGGCGGTCCATATTACTTGGAGGCTGAAATGATATGGAAATCAGCACATCGTTTGCAATTGGAGGTGGTAGAGACAAGCCATCCTCACCCTCCTGTTCCAATTGTGAGGCAGATAAGATAGCACGGTCCTACCATCCACTCTCTCTCCTCTGTCTTCTCCTCATCGATGCCAGTGGTTAAGTCGTGTGCACCAAGACGGCCACCTTGTTCCTCCATGAGACTGCTCGAACCAGAAGAAGAATCTTGATACTCATGCTCATCAACCTCAGAGTTCTTCATCAGGTGGGCAAAGACCTTGACGTTTTCCATCTGGAAGCAGCATCAAGCCAAACACAAGAGCATGCAAAAAGATTGGGAAGAGATGCTTGTAGCAGTTGCCATGGATGCATGAGCTTGTAACCAATAATTTCCACTCCTCTCGTCATGCACCTGAGCAGTGAGAATATCAATGATTTACCACGCCCCTCCCCCTTTTCGATTCATTGCCGATCTCCTACATCTGACCCTACAGAAGGGCTTGAGTGGGTAAATGTATCTACTGGGACAAACGTGAAGGTGTCGTTATGGCTTACGGGGATTGTGATGCGGACATGATCACCTTGCCTGATTTGCAAGACGTTACATTTTGTGTGAAAGATCAGTGAGTCATGTCCGACGTCCACCTGCCTAGCTCCACGTTACATCTAGGCGAGGCTCGCCGAAGCCACCTAGGTCGCAGCTAGGTGGTAGTTGTATCGCTGTTGTATCCGGAGGGAAACAGTACTTTGCGCAAAAGTGCCAGTGGCTTTGAATTGGATCGCATCGCTGGTAGGTATGGGAATCCACACCCTCAGGACCGCTAATAACATATGCACATGCATTCCTGCGAGACTATGTGCAAAGATAAGTGGACTGCAAGTATTGCACAGGATCTTCGTAGGATTGTTAATGTGACCTTTGTTTCCGCCCTTAGCGCTTGGAGCTTCGGACCTCTCGATGCACTTCTGCGGCGCGAGAGGTAACATTCGCAGACAAACGGAGTTGCAGTAGTTAAAGCCCGGCCACTTTCTATTGGCCATTCGCTGTTACATTGTAGGAGCTGAGGAGTCGGGCAACCCTGTGCTCAGATAGAAGAGGAAGGCCGTATTCATGCATGCGGTTCTGTTTTCGTGATGTGAACGCAAGGACTTCAAGTTTTGTGACAACCTCCGAGTGGCCACTTGTGGTCTTGACAGGGGCAACTACTCGTCGAATCGTAAAGTGTGCTATCTATTAAGGTGGTATTAGGCTTGCAGAGTACAGTCATTTCACCGCCATTGCGTAGTCAGATTTTGGTTTGAACTAATCCAGTGACATCTCTGCGGGTAAGCACTGGATGATCGCGAGGCTGGAGACACCTGGCAGGCAATTCGGCTCTCTCTATGCCCACACCCAGTGTGGAGCTCTCACCCCCAGCCCGATTTTGATCACAGCGCATGCTCTAGGGGGAGCACTGACCGCAAAATCCATGATCACGAGGTCGTAAAGCTGCTTACACATGCCCGGAGGTTCTCTAGACAGGAAGCTGACTACGAGGTCAGCAACAGGATGATGCACCAGGAACGCGGAAGAAGTCCTACAAGTCGTGAAAGTACTGAACGCAGAAAAAACTGTAGCCGATATTGCGGTAGACGTCACACTCAGACTTGAATTGCATTGAATAAAGAGTGAATACTCGTAATACGCATCTAAATAAGGCAGAAAAACACTGCAAAGTCGCAACTGCCATGTAATTAACGTGCTTGTCCTAATGTCCCAGTGCCTTGATCAACAACCAATCTGGCTGAAAGCCTTCTGCCCTCGCAAGTGTTACAGCAGAGGTATACTACCTACTCCTCGTCCGGCTCATACAAATTCTTGTGCCCGTGAATCTCGAAATACTTGCGCGAGACCTCGTCGTACTGCGAGCCCGGAGGACAAACAGCATGGCGTTCGAGGTTGTGTGCTATATGCTTGTAATCTGAGGCCTGTTGGAAACACGAGTCGCGCACTGGATCTTTGGCCCAGCGCTGCAGCGCATCCCAGTCTCGACATTGCAGTACCTGCTTGTCTCCCAACCGGTGCTCATACAGTCCCGGCATCAGAGTATCATCGGCTGTGCACATGATGTCTTGGCGTAGGTTGTCCAGACAGTGACCCATGTGCTCTACCACATGAGGGGCTAGGGGCTTGCCCGAGCGGCCACTCTGGACGATATAATGACGCAGGTATTTCTAGAGTTGGCTGTCAGTGTCATTGCAGATGAATTCCAGCGGCAGTGCGCTCTCTTTTCCTAGGTTGATCGGGGGGATCAGAACTGATGAGGATTGAACATACCAGGCAATGCATTCCGTGAATGCCTTTGATATGATAAAGGGCTTTGTCTTTATCCCAATAGAAAGTGTTCGACTCTGGTAAGCCATGCTCGGCTGCCCAGGTCTTGGGAACGGCTATCGTGATGGGAGAAATGTCGATACCGTCCCACAATGCATCGGCGATTGTTTCATTCTCGCTCTGCCAGTCGGTCTTTGCCTGGAATGTGACGAGCTTGTTGTATTCCAACCCGGCTGGAATGCATGTGATAATCAGTAAAATGTACTCAGGTCCACAAGAAAGACGAATTTCTTTTCAATGACGTCTTAAGGGTCACAACTCACTATAGCTGGGTGCCGCGACAACGTGTGGCTTTAGCTGGGTGTTGATCACGCAAACCTGACGGTGGTTTCTGTATCCATTGTACAGATTGAAGCCGATAGACAGAAGAAGAGCAAACGTTATTGCAAGAGAGGATTTGCGACCAAGCTGAAAGTAGGCCTTGCGTCGACGGACAGGCAAGTCCAGGAATTCCTCGTCATCCTCATGCTTCTTCAGTAAATCCTTTTCCTCATCCAAAGATGTAGAGCTTCGTGCGATGCTCGATGTCGACATTGTTCTTGCTCTTGGAAGAGAAATCAATCTGTGAATTTGGGGGAAATGATTGTTGCAGTGAAGGGAGAGTCTGGCTTTGGCGCGGACTCTTGAAATATGGCGCACGGGCGAAACGAAATATGACTATATATTTCGGGTACTTTTGAAAGCCGGTTGGAGGGGTGTGGCTATATGAAAGAGGGGTCTCGTTCCAATCCAACCACGACAGTGTTCTCATCCTTGCCTCTTAATGAGGAAAACTTGATGAAGATCGGTTCACGTCTTGCAGGAACACATGATAATGGCATGCGTGGCTGCTTAGTTGCATCCAGAGCACAGTGGTACCGTAGACACTGAGATAAGACCTCGGGGCCGGTTCGTGCAAAAGAATATGGAAAAGACCCATAGCATACCTAGGTACTGAACACGGTACTCCGAGTGGTGGAGCCCTCCCAATGGTCCACCCAACATGGTGAGAGTAGTCTGAAAATCCCCAGGTTGACCTCACGATGTGATAGGAATGATCTGCATGCAGAACACGGAGTGCAACAGCGACAACCTTGGCCACTCGTCAAGCAAGCCCATCGAGCGCAGCTAAAGTAGCCCCCATCCTTCAAAGGTACCGTATTGCCCTGATAGGTACCCTACAGGTGGCTCGTGGGCCTGCAGCTTGCAGGCAGAAAGCGTCGCGACCTGCAGGTCGGGCTCGCGCTGCGGGGGAATAAGGTTATAGGAAGCTCCGATCATCACAAAGAAAATAAACTCGGTAGGATGAAGGTGGTGAGCCCTAAAGTATAATGAAGGGCTATAGGTAGAGCTGGAAAGTATGATAAGAGCTCAGAGGACTAACCTACATCCTTCTATGTTCCTTCAAAATATGAAGAAGTTGGTGCCTCTCTAGGACCTGATTGGCTGGGGAGCTTTGCGCAGTCAGAAATAAGTGTGCAGCCTCTGGAAATGGGTGTGCGAATCTCTGGTCTCAATGCAAGTCTGGTCTTACTCCTTGCGGACTGCAGACATGCCGGATGCCAACAGCACGAATTATCACTGAAAGTGGGTCAAGTAAGCGTAGTAGCGACGTGTTCCAACACCTGATTGTACCAGCTTCTTCAACTTAACTTGTTACTTGTGGCTTGTGTCTAGCGCTGACCTCGAGAGTGCGAGGACGCTTGACTTGAGTCCCGGGGTCACTTGACAAGATCTACGCTACTCATTTCCCGTTCCAGAAGCCGAATCGGATGTGTTGTATGTATCTTGTAGAGTTCTTTCTATGAACGATCAATAGACCGAGACTGGTACTCTGTTGCCGAGTCGTCGTTTCGTCAGAATGCAAAGTAAGAAGTCCAGCTGGCAAATGCCGAGGGAGACATCGCTCAGCCTCGCCCCGTTTTCTCTGCAGCTCTCTCCCTAGCTGTCAACGTCTCTTGAGCTTGTAGGATTGTGGGAATGCCCGTACCTTCGCAAGAGGGGACTTGTATATAATACCCCAGAGTGAAAGGCAACTACCTGGGCACAAGTGAACAACATCTCATATCTCTTCTGCCCTACATCACCACAGACCTACAATTTCAAACCTTACCTTGCCCTTGAAACCATAGACCATCATGCGTTTCTTCGCCATCATCAAATTTGCCCTTGGCACCACCGCCTTGGTCTTGCCAGCTCGGGACACCCTCGTTGACCCCGCCGTTGAGCTTCAGGACGCCTATGGCATCAAGGCTCGCGACAATCTCGTCGACCCGGCCGTCGAGCTTCAGGATGCCTATGGTATTTGAGTAACAGGAACACCTGGAGACGGTGGTAAGAGTGATGGATGGGTAGGGGACAGAAGAGAGAGGCATAGATAGCTAGCCATATCTGCAACAGGATGAGACCTCAAAATGCACTTGTATTTGGGGGACTTGTATCTGTCATTCGGTTGAGAGGCTACTTAGGTATGCAGGTATTCATCCATCTTCTGTTGGACCTGATCTTCTATCGAAACTGTGATATGCATGATGAATTGGTGAGCTTGAATGTGCTGGTACAAACATCATGGTAAATTACGGCGACGGCGTAGTCGTTGGCGAACTCAACATCATGAATCGCGAAGGTAAACTCACTGTGCAATGTGTAAGCACTTCGATGATCATCTCTCTTCTATGGTGACATCTGTCTTATACACAAACCCGGCTGATTTTGCTTCTATTAAGTATACGTTCGAACACATACATGGCGCCTTCATACAGTGGTGAACGCTCAAGATCCAGCGTTGAAAAAAAACATTCTCTGTTGTCCATTATGCATTTGTAAAGGGTGGGACTACAAGTGTTGGCTCTACTAATTTTGGGAGAAGCAGAAAAGTATTCAAGCGTTTGATCAGGATTATAATAAGCATCAGAAGTACCTTTAATCACTTAAATATGTAAACTAGTAATATCAGCTCACCAGTTCGGAACACCAGGCTCAGGAAACTGCCAACCGCTCGGCAGGTCAAAATAAGCCTTGACCTGGTCGAGGTATTTCTTTCGATTCTCCTCAGTCTTACAATACGTGAACTTTTCAATCGGCTCCATGACATCTGCGAGGTCATGCTGCTGACGAAAGCACGCATCGCGCTCTCTAGCCCAGTCGTTGAGCTTTCCGAAATCGCGACAGAAGCGCACTTGGCTTTCTCCAGAGTGAGAGCCGTTGTTGGTAAGATATCTGGGGGAGTCGTCGGCAGCGCAGATGATATCTTGTCGCAGGTTGTCTAGGCAGTGCAGTATGTGCGGGAAAGGGGTCTTCTGAGGTGTTGAGGCGCGGTAGGAAGATATGCTGGTGTAGATGAGGCGCTACAGATGTCGAGATATTAGTAAATTGGCTTAGCATCCACTGGGAGAGGAAGGGTGGAGAGTACTTACTAGGCAGTGTAGGCCATGATGCCCGTTCAAGTGGTACAAACTTTTATTTTCTGGATCCCATGGGAAGCTCTGCTCCGACGGTAGTAGAGACATTGAGTCAATCTCGGTATCCGTCAACGCGATCATGCCGTAATCAAACATCCCATCGAATTGCCAAAGCTCATCCAGCTGGGGATTATTGACATCGCTATACTCGGAATTCCATTTGAACTGCACTGGTACATCGTTGAGAAGACCCGCTGAAGAGTTGTTAGTTTGGGATGAACTTAGAATCAGGAAGCAAAGTTCGGCTCACCATATGACGACCGGCTTAGGTGTGGGAGATCAGTCTCTTCCAATCTCGGCACGAGCCATTTCACGACTAGGAGGAGATTCAAGAGGCTCGATACTGCCAAAGCAGCGTAGAGGATTCGCTTTGTTCTTCGGTCCTCCTGGTTCTGGGCCGCCATAGCATGGCCTTCGAGAAGGTCATACTTGTAGAATGGGCTGTGGGCGGCCATAATATTGTTCAAGGCGGATTATTCAAAGTGATGAGCAGCAAGAGAGGGAACAGAGATGTTTCGAAGTGATTATTTCGGCACCTTGTGTCCTACTGGAAACAATAGCTGCGACCTTGGCGTGAGGAGTTTAGAAGGAGGGAGGAACTGACTGCGACCTTTGGCGCGGGAATAGCAAGAGCGGAATAATTGCAGTGCGGATAGATACTCAGCATTCAGGTGGTACTTCCAACTTGGCACAGCCAACAAGTTAGAACCACTTGGGCCTGAGGATCTCCTCTTGACTGGAAAAAAAACAGCAGCTGCACTAACCCTTCCCAGTCAAGCGATACAGGGGATATTCTACTGTGGAAAATTTAGTTCAGATAACAGGGTCGTGGCGAAGGAGCGTACAGTAGTAGCATGCGCACACAGGCTTACTTTTACAGCACTTGAGGGTTTGGTTTGGGGAAGACCAGATTCGTTCCAAACTTTCACAGCGCATTCTCAACGAGGTTTTCCTGCCAGTTGGTCGATCTTTTGCTCCTTTTGCTTCCCGCGTCAGCCGCGGACGGAATCACAAGACTGATGTCCGGAGAAAGGGTTGGAAGCTCTGTCTCGTCTCCTTGATTCTTAGCGGAGCGAGAAGAGGAGAAGGAGGTCATGCTTTCAGGATGGCTGAGACCTCTGCATGTAACCCTGCGCTCCCCGGATGGTGTCAATGGTGCATGCATTTGGTCATACTCCGGCCAAAACCAACGGGCAAAACAATGACGGCGGGTAACACCAACAGATTCCTTCCGGCACACAAACACACACACATCCGCACTCAGTTCACTCGGTCAGCCGTACTAAGGTATCCACCCTGCAGGTATTCATGCGCGGCTAGGTATAGCTGCTTGTTCTCGTAAAGCACGTATTATGCACGGTTAATCAAAAGGTGGGGGTGTCTCTACGAACGACCTCACGTCAGCAACAGTCTATTGGCGACCCAAAGGCAAAGAGAACTAGTATAATTCAGGTGTAAGGGATTTTTCACACAGAAGACCAAAAGAAAGGAAGGCCTGTCAATGCTGTACGTTTTCTCTTTCTTCTCGCAACCCAACGAAGTCATCATGATCTTGCCTCAAATGGTCTTCCCTCAAATGGTTTTCCCCAAAGTCTTTACCCACAAGTACTCGCCAGTCAACGATGACGAAGAAGAGGTTGAACAAAAGCAGACGGTAGATCGCCGCCTTTTTCCAAGGCGACAAGTAATTCCAAATGTATTGTTACTGGTATTTACCTTTGTGCTGGGCGGCATTATTGGATTTTCTCTTAGGGAACTAGGGTCGTCTCATGAGGACGTTGAATCAGCACTCAAACGTAAGTGAGATACAATTCCAACTTCTATGCTTAAGTAGCTGAAGCTCATGGGAACTTGCCTTTTTAGTCGAGAAAGTTACGTACAGCTTTCACTACAACAAAAGCTTCACCGAAGAGCCTTCTCCGCACAGCGACCAACTGTGGGACGATACGTTTCCCATGGACGGGGGATTTTTTGTACATCCAACCATTGCTCCCACACGAAGTACCTTCTCTGCATTTCACCAACTCCATTGTCTGGTAAGAAGATTCTATAGGCTTGGCTTGGAACAGTTACTGATGCGGGTGTAGAATGGAATTCGGGAAGCTTATTGGCAATCTCACAAAGCAGCCGTCAACGGTGAAAAGATCAATGAAACAGAATCGCCAATGGCCCTGCAACCACATCACATTCAGCACTGCATCGATCTTCTAAGACAGACTCTTATGTGCCACGCTGATACTACGTTGGAGGTTGCGGATATAGCGACAGGTGGAGTGGACGGGTTTCAAACGGAACACCAGTGTAGAAGTTGGGAGCAGCTGTTGCAGTGGACGACGGCACAGCAAATCAAGTACCCGGGGATGAATTCCACAACAGGTATCTAAGACTGCTTGAAACAGTTTCTTTCCATCAAGACGCACGCATGGGACATATGGTCTACGTATTGATGGGGCGTCCTCCGTATTCAATAAGAGAGCCAAGAGCCAGTTTCGCAAGATGCGAAAAATATACTGCCTTGCTATCCTGACCCAAATTGTGATAATTCCAACTCTTCTCCAAACGATTTACCTGCAGCATGTATAGATAGTTCTCCGCATAGCACAAGGTGACGCGGAGGTCACACGGTCAAAGACATCCCGCACTGGACCATCAGTTGACGAGAGCTGAGCTCTAGACGCCGGGTACAGGCTGATGGGTCATAATAGGATAGCCTTCGAACCCCCCAGGAAACGCTTCCTGCACGAATGAGACGCTGGATCTCGTCGACCTCGGTGTCAATGAGATAACTCGTCGCTTCGTGAGTGTGACACGTTCGACTGCCTGGCTACCAAAGCACGAGAATGTAAGAAGCGTCCTTGCCTGCCTCAATGGAAGGATTGGATCCATGAGTGTGCAGAGATCCTCGAGAGCAACGCTGACAACTTGCACACTATACCGACTTTGAATAGGACTGCATTCAGCTGGGTCAGATGAAGCGGTCCAGGCGATCCGCGATGCTTCGGGGAGATCTCGCTCTCTTGACGACAGGGGCAACTTGTGTTATTTGCAAGTGCAGAAAATTAATTATCCGGAACGCGGCCTACTTTGAGGCCATCATAGCAAAAGCTTGAGGAAGCGGCTCATCCTGGCCGCAGACTAGGCCCCCGGGAGCGTTGACGCGTCAGAACGGCGTCTGGACGCTAGTCTTTCGCGAATTAAGTCCCAAGCAGGCCAGTCACGGAGAAACAAAGAGCGACATGCAAGTAAGTATTGACTATAGCTTATCATGTAACGTTACAGATCGACCGTCGGCTGCAGGTGGTTACGAGATGGCAACGGGAAGGCTGAGGCTGGTGCAGGTGTTGGTAACAAGAAACCAAACACAACCAAATAGTATCCCGCCCTGACTGTCGTATTTGCGGCGTATGGCAGGATGGAGGAATGGTGATAGTTATGCGCGCGTCAGCCAACCGTTCCATCTGGTGCGGATCTGTGCCAGAACATCAGCACTACTGCGCTCTGTATGCGGGAATAAGAGGTCATGACCACCTCTGCATGATACATGTCGAAGCTTTGTATCAAGCTTTCGGGGATACAGCGGCACTACAACTCCCCTTCTTGGCTGCCACTAGTACCACTGACACATTGCAGCCACAGCCTTGTACGTGGAGCGAAGTGACGGGACAAACCCCCTGCTGCAGGGACCCACTGTCACCCACACAAGCACAAGCGGCGCCGGCTTTTGACAGGGCGCCTGTCCTATCTGGGAATAACCTCCTAGGTAGCGTAACGGTCAGCCGGGGGCTGACATCGACTAGAATGACCCACACCGGCGGGCTACAATCAGTCGCTTGGCAACATCCGAGTCGTCAAATCAAAATCAGACAGACTACCCAGGTATCGCGGTCAGCACATGTGCAGGGACGATCTCTGCTCCACAGCCTGCTGCAGCAAATAGACTATGCCGAGCGGATCAGGCGACTGCCCGCCCGACAAAGTTCAAACATGGGGTCTTCCGCCAGCTGAACTCGCCAAAGTTGTACCGTCCCCGAGTTGAGACAGTACGCGGTAGAATACCACGGACTTGGACATACTGTATCCACGCCCAAAGATATTGTTCAGAGACAGCCGACCGTGGAAAATCTTTCAGACAAAGAAACATCCAGTTCCTTTGCAATGAGCAAAATGCCCTCCTCGAAGGGCGTCAATGTTTGGTCAATCTTCCAGTCTCGCTTCTATCAACCTATTGCGGAACAGACTGAACACTCGCCTCTCTGCTCGACTTGTGAGAAACCAGCCTCTTCTCATCCTGCACGACTGCTCTTGCTGGCGGTGGCCTTGGGGTTCATCGGTCTCCTTCTCGGTGGATATGCGCTCTTCGGACTCGACTCTTGCCGTCTCGGCTCGAGACCTCAAGTTCAGTTCATACCCAGTAAGCAGACATTGATCTCAGATAAACGAGCAGCAGCAGCTCAATAATTCATGGCCATTCAGCTCCTACTTTCAGTCGAATGTTTTTGCAAGACCCCCGATTTGTGGACTCCGATCCCCACGATGGGTTTTGGAATTTCGAGGGCAACTCTGCAGAGCCGGCCACACCATGGGACGAGATATTCGCCGGTATAACGTACCTCCACTCCCCAGACTCGCTCGCTAGCAGTATAAGAACTGATGATCGTTGTTTGAAGGTGCCTGGATTGAGATTGCACACCCTACCAAGTATGGTCTAAAGGGGGGCCTACCCATGAACAAATTCTATTACGACAACGTGTCACCGGAAAGTGAAGCTTATGTACCCTCCGTTTTTCACCAAATTCACTGTGTTGTAAGTGTTTTCTCTGCCCTGGGGTACGGTCGCCCGGGTGGATTCTAGTTTAGTGGGATCGGCTATGAGGCTGACCCAGCACATTCTTCCAGGGCGAGATCAAGCATGCAATCATCGAACTCCAGAACGGCAGACAACTGCCAGCCAGTGAGCATGTAAACCACTGTATAGAATACTTGCGTCAGGTATGTCCGAATCTCTTTTGTAAACTGATCAACTCGTGGGATCATTCGTTGACTCTTTTCCACTGATAGGCAGTTATGTGCTCTGGTGATCTAACTCTTGAAACACCATCATATGTTGGAGATGTCGCATGGACGCGTCCAAACGGATGGGGCGTCGTACATCAATGTCGAGATCTGTCAGAGCTCTATGCATTCCCACAAGCTAACTTCTCCTCTGCTATTTCAACATCTACAGGGTGATGAAAAGCCACATCAGAAAGGGTCTGTTAATCCTAAGAGATTATGATGGACATTTGGCAGTAGGCTGTTCTATCTAAGTTTGCAGTGAGGTTGTTTCAATTGAACATGATGTCGATTAGGCCTCCACTTTATGTGCTAGATACCTAGGTACAGTACAGACAATATAATTATTTTTGGAATGCACTGAATATCGCCCGCGGCCCGAGCCTTGCCACCGCTAAAATCGTAGGCCGTGGTGTCCCACTACTTTCAACATGGTCTGCTCTACCGCGCGTGAGTGCATCGCATTTTGCAAAGGACGGCGGGAGCGGATAATGGACTTGGGACGTCATATCCAGCCATGGCGAATTTACCTAGGTACTCATGTCATAGTCTTTCTAGACTACATTCACATCCAGAGAATGTGGTCTATACTTAGGTAGATAGAATTTCGGTTTGATTCCTTCGTAGCCATTCATGATCGCGACAATAACATCTGGGGATGAGATACATGTTACTGGTACATTGAGGATTATTACACTTCAAGCTTCCAACACGAGCCCTTATACTTCCCTGCCCTCCTGGCCCTGAACACTAGTTCTCTTCTCGTTCTGCGCTGCCCCCGTCGACTTCGTAACATCTTCTGGCCCGCCCTTCTTCCTAATGTCATACCAGCCCATAGGCCATACGAAAATGCTGCACAGAGCCGCCAGAGCAGCGACTAGGAAGAACACATGATCAATGCTATTAGCGTAAGCTTTCAGAACAGCATTCAAGTCTCCCGGCTGGACAAGGCCGCGAAAGCCCGTTGCCCCCGCATCGATAATGGCTTGTGCATCGACATTCGGTGCTCTCTGCGCGAGTTCCTTTTTCAAGCTCGCACCAAAAATGACGTTGTACAGCACGAGAGCGATAGAAGGTCCAAGTGCCTGGCAGAAAACCATGAAGGCTATGCCGGAGGACAATTCTTTCCCGGTGGTTACGGCTTGGATAGCGTTGACAGCCTACGAAGTTAGGTCAACAAGGAGGTACAGACGGGGAATTCCACAGGTGTTTACGAACCACCTGCAGTCCTGCGCCTGAGCCAATGCCACCTATGATCTGAAATCCAACCCACTCTCCAGTTGGACTGCCAGGTTGAAGCAATGAGTACAGGCCGCTGGCAACAGATAATAGGGTTGATGATAAGAAGCCAAAAGGCATCACGTAGCCAAACTTGGATACTGCAATACATCTATGTTAGCCTCCAGCTTCCTCGGTAAAATTGGTTGAAGCATACTTATCAGTCCTGAGGAGGCTGCCGTGACAAGTTGTGGCAAGATGGTTGGCAAAAGATAGACACCGCTGAGCAAGGGGCCCACGGCATTGACAGCTTGGAAGTAAATAGGAAGGAAATAGACCCCTCCGTATAACGCTGAGCAAAGAAGCCCCTGATAGACCCCTGATGCCCAGACAGCGGTCCGACCTATCATTGTATAGGGTAACAAAGCCACGTCCCCCTTGTGCCGATTCCAAATGAACCAGACAACAAAGTTAGCAGCGGAGCCGCAGAAGAGACCAATGACGCGTGAGGAGTTCCATGCATATTGATTACCACCGTATTGTAGGGCGAGGAGCAGCTGCAGAAGTGCTGGTGCGAAGAGAACAAAACCTATGAGGTCCAAGTGACGATGTAGCTGGCGTGCCACCGACATTGCAGGTGCTTTGGCTGTCTGTTGAGGAATTCGGAGCAGACTGATAGCAACGGCTGCAACAGCACCGATGGGAAGGTTCATGTAAAAAGCTTGAATCATTAGTCAAGGTAATGTTGCGAACTGGGTGTGTATAAAAACCCAACTTACACCAACGCCAGTTGCTGTAGGACGTCAACGCACCCCCTATAAGTGGTCCAGTTACCAAGCCGAGTTGGTTGACTAAATTCGGTTAACTCAAACTTGGAATGAAGCTATTTCGGCTAGTACACTCACATCCCATTGCCATGCCTAGTAGAGCTATGTATCAAATGTCAGTGGTTGTTGTCAAGTATAGGGAATACCCACCCCGCGCGGCTCAACTTACCTGGACGCCTTTTCTTTGGTACACAACTAGAAAGGATAGTGAGTGCTCCAGTTACTATTCCTGATGCGCCGAGGCCGGCCACAGCACGCCCAACTATCAGCATAGACGAGGAGACAGCTGCCCCGCAAAGCAAAGAACCAAGCTCGAAGATACCAAAGAAGGCGAGAAATGTCCACTATTGTCCGATCAGAAACACGTGAGCACAAGAGGCTCAGCCTGTGACGCACCTTTGTGTGGAAGTGGGTGTATATCTTTCCCGTTAGAAGTGAAGGGGCCGCACTTGATTTTGTGTCAAAACATTGGCGCCTATATCCTCCAGAATCGGGTCTCCAAATTACCTGCCAAACTGATAAGCACTGGCGTACCAACCAATGTCTGAAAGTGAATGGAACGTGTCGGTAATGCGAGGAATTACCTAATGTGAAACGCCACGATCAGCTCAAGTACGCGTCAATTAGCGATGGCAGGACGCGTGCAGGCGACTTACAGTGCTGACGATCAAGTTGTCCAAAAGCATTAAATAACAGCAGAGAATGATGCTGGCAAGAACAACAGCGAGCTTGTATCCAGTGAGGTACTCATCGCCATCAGCTTGTGAACTGTTCTCGATTGAGGAGACTTGGGGATCCTCGGCAGAGGGCGCATCTTCAGCGGCCACGGCCTTGGTGTTGACGTCGCTCAGGGAGAGTTTAGGTGGAGGCTCGGAATCAACCATTTTGATAAGAATTGTTGCCCAGGTCTCTGAAGTTCAAGAGGTTGTCTCTCAGCCAAAGTAAACAGCAGAGGGATGAGTAGAAAGGTGTCGTGCCTAGGCCAGTGGTAAAAGTCGGTTTGGGGCCCTGGGAACTACCGAAAACAATGCAAAAGTCAGTCATCCTGACCCCTGCAATCACCTGCGCTTACCTGGGTACCTAGGTAACAGTAGGCAGCTGCTGAGCTGACAGCCCGACCAGTTGGCAGCTTTCCGCTCTCTCCTTTCCGTGTTCTCTCACCTGCTGAATGGAGGCACCCTTTGCGGGAAGGATCCGAACCCATGTCCTTCGAGGGTGTTCCTCATGCCGTTGGCAGCCCATGGGATGCAACGGTGGCATTGAGTCGAAAGGACCTGCAAAGCGAGGCTACCAGCGAATTTGTGGTGGATTTGACCTTTCCGCAATGAGCGCTGCTGTCGATCTCTGCGGCCTGCCGGAGCTTGTCAGCGTTCTGGTGTGGGAGTGTTCAGGGGCATGATTCGCAGGGTCGCTTCGGTGTAACTTTGGCCCATCAGGGACGCCGTTTACTGGAAGCATGGTAAAGTACACTACAGGTCTCTCGGCGGTTTCGGCGGTTTCTTCATTAGGTGATTGTGTTCCTCATACATACATACTGCAGTGTATGTCTATCTGATGGCACATCTAGTCCCTTTAGTTATTCTTCATACCTCTCATTATAAAGAGTATTAGAACCTATATGTAGTTTTAATTTCTGGACGGTATAAACCATATTGTGGCCGCTATCAAGCAGCAAAGATATACATCAGCATTAGATGCTGCAAGAGACGCCCGGGTCGATCGACGGGGGATGTACAGGTACAGCCCTTTCTGCTAATGCAGTCCATGCGTAATGCTACCCGCGCGGTCATGGCGATGACTTAGACTTCGGTACAGAGCTCAACCTTGCCATCGTCAAGGGTTGTGAAGACCTGGTCGTGGAACTGCTGCACCGTGGGGCGGAGCCCGATTCGGAGACGCTGGGCATTTCCTCGTGGCAGGAGACAGCACTTGAGTTGGCTTCCAAATAAATTCCGAGGCTGCTTCCTCTGGTGGGAGAGCTGAGACTTGTGAAAGAGCCGGCTTCAGGTGGGCAGCGGAGTGAGTATTCAGGTCTTAGTCACTCTTGTAGGGTAGCTTTCCCATTTGCCCATCGATATCTACAATTCTATCTTGAGTCACTGTCTGCTCTCAGAGCTGCAGTCACTTATATACTGGTCAAATGTTATTGCACAGCATAGAACCCTTCATGACTTAAAAGGTGCCTGAAAGGTGCTGTTTCGACGTGAATGGAGGCAGAATCTCCCCGTACTGCTACCCTAGGGTACAATATCGCCGTTTGCTTGCAATCTCTCGGGAGATGTGTTGTCATCGGAGCATTGCCCCTCAGTCGGAACATTTGAAGAGAGCATATTACTTTAGCAAATGAGTATGAAGTCGTCTGATTAGCACTGAGGTCATGTACCAGCGAGCCCATGCAGCTCCTTGTCTCATATTCCCGTTGTTGACGACGAATCACCTCTTTCAGTCACGCGTCGTGACGAGACGTGTCTCGCCACCAGTCAACGGATGCTTGCATTTGGTTATTTGGCAATGCGAGAGGCCTACATTCCAGCTCTCCGACCCGTGAAGTGCCTCGCCCAACTACTGAGCAACCAACACAGCCCACTCTTGGTTGCCTCACGTGCTTAGACGCCGACCAAGAGGCGCAGCCCGACCGTTTGTACGGGTTTTCCGGTTATAAATACACACGTAGAAGACAGCCTTCCTCGCAAAACGCATGTCCTTTCACTTTCTACAAGTCCCTTGCACTTGAGCACTGACATACCGATCTTGCAGAGTATCGCATCTACCTTGTACTTGAGGGTAGACTTCCGACATTCAGGAAACCATGGCTTCTTTTCTTCAAGCAGTCATTGTTGACTCGAAGCCCAAGCTTCTGTCTCTTCTTGACAAGCTGAGCGCCGTCCGCCCTCCAACCGGTCCGTTCGATCCTCCCAGTCTCTACTGTGACATCGAGGGAGAGAACCTTGGCCGCCGCGGCACAATCTCCATCTTCGCCCTGTTCCACTACCCGGAGAACACAGCGTACCTGATCGACGTTCACAAACTGCAGCACGACGCCTTCACCGCCGCCAACGAGGGTGGAACCACTCTCAAGAGTGTCCTTGAGTCCTCCGAGGTCCCAAAGGGCTTCTTCGATATACGCAACGACTCGGACGCCCTTTTCAGCCTCTTTGGCATCAAGGTCGCATGCATCCACGACATCCAGCTCATGGAACTTGCTAGACGCAACGGATCCAAGAGACGCGTGTCTGGCCTGGCGAGGTGCATCGAGATGGACCTGAAAGCTGTCTCTGACCGCTCAGGCGCTGAGCGGGCCATCAGAGCCAAGCGGGCCGGTGAGAGGCTTTGGAACCCGCGCCTGGGAGGACTGTATGCCGTGTTCAACCAGCGGCCGATGCTGCCAGCCATTGTTGAGTACTGCAGCGCGGATGTCTCCATTCTCCCGAGCCTCTGGAAGGCCTACGTCACCGAGCTCCGGGCAGATGGCAAGATGTTCTGGCGCTCGCAAGTGCGGCAGAAGACGTTGGCCCGGATCAAGGAATCCCAATCCGCTCGCTATGACCCTGAAGGGGGCGACAGGTCGGCTGGGCCATGGGATTGGCAGCCTGGAGGATTGGAGGATCTGATGGATGAGTGGTTCGAATCTTGTGCGTCGGACTACAACCTTGGTGACACGTACACAGAGATCGCCTTTGGACAGCTCCGAATGGTTTAATGTCTGTAGTCCACCTGCCAAAGGTTTCAAATACGGTGAAGCCCTTTGTACGTGGTCAGCAACATGCGAGAGACTGAGGAGGAACAGATGTATTCCCCTAATCGCGAATTCCTATCATTCTTTATCAAATTAGATGCCGAGGCACCTCTATCACTGTGACCACTTCCGTCCAAACGTCATCTGGAATGTTGAAGCTGTTCCCGATATTCAACATTATTTTGTGGTAGTATCCTCTGTTGTGATATGTGAATTCGACCACACACAATCACGCCTTGAAGAGACCTGGAGTTCGGTTGACGGGGGGAGCATGTGCCGCCTGTGCTGCCAAACTTGGGTTCTCCGCTGGAAGTGGTAGGCGTATCGGATCAACTTATCCTCTTCGAACTGTCCAGCGATGAAGGACAAGTTGAATCGGGGACTTAGTGTCACCCCTGAGTTTCTCGCCTGGTACGGTCTGTCAACCTACGGAAGACTGGGTCCTCGCTCAGTCATCTCGTGCCGAGGATTCCATCTGAATTCGGTCTTCTTGGGATAGAATCCCACTGGGACACTCAGTATGGGGTAGCCTCAAGGCTCCGATGGCTGGCATGATCGGACCCCACATGTAGGCAGAACAATCGTATCTAAGCCATGGCTCTTTAACGTACCATCGACTCCTCCATCGATAGCAAGATGTCGAATGCGATCCAATGCAGCCTGAAATTCGCTGCTGTTTTGATTTCAGCGACAACCCTCTGAAGTGGTTTGCACATGTTGCTTTGAAGTCAGGTGATTCCAAAATGCTTGGATACTTGCTTTCCAGTGCCTCATCAAATGCATCGAGTTCCGTATTCTCGATGATGATAGTTCCAGGTTGGCGAAGACTCGGGAGTCTTGATTGGAGCGCAGCCTCACAGACAGCCATGGAGCTGCAACCACAGGCATCAGTTCGGCAACCGGAGGACGCCCCCAAGAGCGTGCCGTGGTAGCCCAATCCGAGATCCTCGTAGGCTACTGACGCGGCGAAATGCGGAATAATCTGGGATTTGCCTGAACTGAATGGAGAATGTGTCTGGATCACGCTCACATTTCCTAGAGATGACCCCCAGAATCGCTGCGATATCTTTCACGCATCGTGCTAGAGGCCCGACTGAACTCAATTCTTTCGACATCATGACGAAGTCCGACTGACGAGGCCTATGGTTGGCTCAATAACGCAGAGATTACTTCTCTCGGCGGCGCAGACTATGCTTCCTTCCACATGTGTTGACTATCTAATCTTCAACTGTGGAGGGTCCGTACGCCTTCGGGATGTGGCACTGGGTACGGCCGGGGATTAAGAACACAACCGCCTATCGGCAACGCGGAGCTCAATTAGGCCTTAAATCACAAGCATTCAAATTCAACAGGTCCCGCTATGGCCTTGGGTTGCTTTCACATTCTGACTTTACCTCACGAAAGCGAATGAAAATGCTTCTGCCTTATGCAAGGGCCAGGCAGAAACATATTCCAGTGGCGAATGGGGCTAGCCTTGGCGCAAAGTGCATGGAAAGGAGTTGCTGACTGTCCAGGCACCCGTTTTTCCTGGAACAACATTTCACCTAATTGTCAGCAGAGCTCTTTGAAGTCAATAAGAGATGCTGGACTTATTTGAAGAGGCCTTCCGCAATGGCTGTTTTGATTGCGGTCTTTGCCTCGAGTGCCATCTTTGTCACTCGGCTCACGAGTCGACCTGGCGAAAATTCCAGATTCATCTTCTTCAAGTGCATCGAGTAAGGTATTGGTCGCTGCCAGCCCATCAAAATGAGAGATGACCAAGCCGATTCCGCACTCTTCCAAATCCCCGGAGAGGTCCGCGAACTCGTTTACTCCTTCGCCCTAAGCTTCCGCTATGCCGACTTCGAGTTCAGCAGCAGGCCATTCTACACCTTCGCCGGCGAGCCCGCCTTCGCCAGGCCCCTCCCGGCCCTGATGCTGACGTGCAAGCGGGCCTACGCCGAACTACGGGCCCGAGTCCAGGAAGAAGCCGTCCTGCGGGCGTGCATGTTCGAGCACGGGAGGCGGATCGGCCTCGCCGTCCACGGGACGCTCCACGTCCCCCGGCTGCGGCGGCTCGTGTTCCACGTGGCGATGGAACACGCCAACTGGAACACGTGGGTCAGGTTCTTTGCGCACGTGCTGGAGTCCGCGGAGGGGCTGCGGGAGCTGGTGATCGACTGGGAGCCGAGGCGGTACCCGTCGGCGGCGACGCGAGTGGGTTTCATGGCGCTGCATGAGGACAGGATGGAGAGGCGGCTGTTCAAGGCTGTGGCTGGGGCGCGGCAGCTTGAGAGTCTCAGGATCCACGGGGAGGACGTCCCGTCTCATTGGGGTGAGGAGCTCGGTCGGATGCTGGGTGGGACGGTCAGGATTGTGTTTGTGAAGGAGAGGTGGTGGCGGGAGGGGTGGGATGAGGGTATGAACTTGTTGGATGAGGCACCTCCTCGGTCACGGTCATGGGATGGTGGGTGAAATGAGGAGTTGGGATGGTCGGAGGGTGCGCGAGGAACAAGGGATCATCGGTGTGCACTCCTGAAGTCCGCCTACTAAGTATATCCAAGAATGGGATTTGTTTATTTTCAAGATATAGGGCCATTGGAGAGTTTAATGTTGACAAAAAGGACTGGGATGGGTGCTTGTTCCGGACAGGCTGGAGTGTTTGAATACGTTTGGTGTGCCCTCCCAGCTTCGACCCCAGGGAATTCTCGCTTGATCAAAGGCCGCCACACTTGCAGGCATCGTCGATCTCGGACAAGTACGTACCTAGATACTGACGAATCCACCAACGATCAGCCAACAAAGCCGACAAGGGAACGTGCAAGCCCATCTCGAGTTGCAGAACTTTAGAACACGGAGAATGCAAGGGTCGGGTCGGAGCTCGCCTCATGCCCGCAGACCAGTGTGTGAAACAGTGCAGAGCAATTGCCAACCCAGGACTCGGACAGTCAGTCATGGACCCGGGCCTGGGACGGAATATGAGGGTACCTCGGTAGGTATCCTCCAGTGTCTGAAGTTGAGCGAGCACGCGGCCAATATGTATGCATCCAGCCAGCCAGCCACCTGGGCAGCTGGGCAGCCAGACATCCGTCAAGATATTCGTTATTGGCAGGCGTCTGGGCACCCCGGGACACCCATGGTCGCATACTAGTCCATAGAAACAGAGGGCCAGCTACTGCAGGCACACAGGACAGTAAGTTACATGCATGCAAATAAGGAGGGCCGTGATTAGCCCCAGCGTGCGAGCGAGCGAGCCACAAGGGGACAAGCCTTTCTCGGGCCAGATCTCAGGCCGGCCGCTCGCCGTGGCCCCTCCACAAAGCTTATATTATGCGGTTGCGCGTGAGCCAACGATGGGATGGGGATGGCTGCCGGGGTGCGACCCGGCTGCCGGGACGAGTCGTCGCACAGGGCTGATTGATTGCACATGTGTCCAGGCAGCCCGGGAACGGATACTTAAGTACACCTCTGAGGTGGTGGTACTACGTGGCAGACCAGAGACAGAGCACGCACTAGTCTAGACTATATTTGCACAGACTGTATTAATGCTACGTGCCCTGCCCAGGTGGATCTCAGAGACATAGGTTCCAAGGCTCGGGTGAGGTGGAAATAGAAGCCGGAGAAGACGTGGGGATCGTTGACCATGGCTTCACTGTTGGAGCCGAGACGGGCGAGCACGGTGATGATAAGGAGAATGACCAGTTGGATGCATATCTATCTAGGCAACACTTGAAGTATATGTCTTTCTTTACAGTCGGAAAGAAATGCTCGCACATAACTTGTTGAACTGTATGCATTGCAGTCACAGTGACGGTTATTTGGCCTCAACCTGTCAGACGAAGCAGGAAGCGACAGAGGCAGGGATCGGAGGAGAATACAGAGATACAAAGATAAAAGCAAAAAATGGGAGACGAGATGAAATGAAGATTCGCGGTTGTTTCCGCCCAGGCCAAATTTGAGGGTCTCAGGCCCCTCCCCGCCACAAATGCCATGTACTACTATATATATTCTGTATACTCCACACTCGCAAACAGATTATTTGGCACGCTGGTGACGCACTACTGTACTCCAGACGGGGACGAGGTGGTCAAGGCAGTCTACTGTAGTGCATACAATGCTACCTTACACTGGGTTAATGCCTCAGATATTGAGATTTAACAGATTGACTGATAAGTGAAGTAACCTAAGTACGTACTCCAGATATAGAACAGCGTACCGCACATTGGTGAAAAAGGGGCACGCTGACAATGCTCCGTACCGTGTATCGTCACAACTGCCGGGTTGGGTGGAGCATTGTTAGTGACGAGCATCTGCGGCTGGGCATTTCCTTCCTTCTTTTTTCTGCCCTCCTTCCGAGCCATGCGAACCATGCACACCGCTTCTGGTTGATCAACTGATGAAAAGGGAAAGCGGTGAGTAGATGACCTCGCCCCACGTGTTAGCAACTAGACGCTAGAATTGAGTGCTGATAGGGCTTTCCGCACCTGTGGTCCAGGCTGTGGACGATCTTCACCTGCCGCGGCAGCTCCCCCTGCTAGTGGGTGTGTGGCACTGTGGTCCTGCCCCTGCCGCCCTGCAGGCCTGGCCCACGCCCCTGCAGTTGTCTCTGCCCGGACTGGTCTGCTCCTCCCCCATCCTGCCCTCTGCCCTCTGCCCCTCTGCCCCCTGCCCCTCTGCCCTGTCTGCCCGCCCGTCTGGGCCCACCTCTCCCATCTCCGCGCGCCCCCTGTCCTCATTTGATTGCTCTGTTAATTTTGGCACCACTGCGAAACCGCCTTGATGACGTGCCGTTTCGGCTAAATTTCTTTTCTTGCAGTGCAGTGCTGCAGGTCGCCAGTCAGTCAGTCAGTCAGTCAGTCAGGTACTCCGAGTGTTAGCCAGTCCTGCCAGACAGCCCAGATCAATCAAACAGAGAGTTTGGTGCAACCACAGACGGACGGACCACAGGCACAGGCACAGGCACGAGCAAGCTCACTCAACCTTGGAAGCCAGCCTGTCCAGTGCCGACCCTGCCCAGCCCAGCCCTGCCTGCCTGCCCCTTCCCTGTCCTGTCCTGCCCTGCCCTATCCTTTTCCTATCCTTCCTTTGACCAGATAGAAGCCAAGCCAAGGAAAGAGCCAACCAGAGAGGAACCCTGGGCAGGCCCAAAAACCTGTCAGCACTCTCTCTTATCCAATTTTCTCCTGAACGAGGGCAGGCGACAGATCCTAATCTCCTTTTTGGGCCCATCTTTTGGACCCTCGACCCTCGACCCTCGCTCGACTCGACCTCGACTCGTCCACCCAACCAACACACACTGACACTGACACTGACACTGGCATTGACACTGACTGCAGTGGCTGCAGCTGTCCTCCAATATCGTCATCAGTTCTCGCCCGTCTCCATATCCAGACGTCCGAGTTTTTTTTTATACTTTTTCCATCCCTCCCGCTTGTACCTTTTTCCTCTCCCTTTAATCCTCTCGTCTCGCCTCGCCTTGTCTCTCCACGCGCCCCTCCACAACCACCACCCCTCCCTCCTCCAGCATATCGTCACCACCCTGCCGCTCGATCGACTCTCATAGTTGGCCCAGCTGGTGTCGGCGCATATCCCCTCAGCCCACCCCCAACTTGGCGACTCGATACGGTCCGAATCGCCTCGTCTCGGCTTAACTCCCACAATGTCTGCAACAAAGGAAAACCAGCGGGACTCGGGTGAGGAGGAGAGGAAGCTCGAGGGCGGCGTCCTCCGCCAGGACCCTGCTCCTCCTGCTCCCAAGTCCAGCGGCCTGCACCCGGCAGTCTACATCATGTACGTGATACCTGATACCTACGGAGACAAGTCCTGCCCGGCAGCCTGGCAGCCAGCAGAGCCCCACCATCCTTGGCCTGGTGGTGGTGCTGATGGTGGTGATGTGCCGGGGCCGGTGGCCAGGACAGCCTCTGCGCGCATTTCGAACTGCCATACTAATTGGTCGACTTTGGTGCAGTGTCTGGATTGCTTGCAGTTCTGGTGTGATTATCTTCAACAAATGGGTTCTGGCAACCGCAAAATTCAGTGAGTCTACTCCCACCGCGAGACACATTGTCTCGCAAGTCCCTTGCAGCCGCTGACAAGACATGCCCATCGTACAGACTTCCGTAAGACCTCCATCCTCCGAGTCCGCGACACCGGCAGCGCGCAACCGAGACCGAGAGAGCCCCAATTGACCTGATTTGTGTGACAGCCCTCTTCCTGACAACATGGCACATGGTCTTCGCCACCACCATGACCCAGATCATGGCCAGGTGCACTTCTACCCTCGACTCGCGACACAAGGTCCCCATGACCTCCCAGACTTACATGTGAGTTGTCTTGCCGCCCCCAGCCCGCGCCTCTGGGACCGACCTCCGCACAAAGGCAGAAGAAGAAGCAGCAGCAGCAGCAGCAGAAGCAGGGCTCAGGACGGGGAGGCTATCTGCGAACTCGATGATGCTAATACAGGTCTTCCTCCAGGCGCGCCATCGTCCCTATCGGTATCATGTTCAGCTTGTCTCTGATCTGCGGCAACGTCGCCTACCTGTACCTGTCCGTCTCCTTCATCCAGATGCTCAAGGCTACCAACGCCGTCGTCACCCTGTTCGCCACCTGGGCCTTCGGCATTGCCCCTCCCAACATGAAGGTCCTTGGTAACGTTGGAATCATTGTTCTGGGTGTCGTCATCGCCTCCTTTGGCGAGATCAAGTTCGACATGGTCGGCTTCATCTGTACGTGATTGTGGACTTTTCTCTTCCTTTGCGCCCGTGGGTGGCCCTCGCTGACTTCTGACTTCCTCCTCCACAGACCAGTGCAGCGGTATCGTCTTCGAGGCTCTGCGTCTCGTCATGATCCAGCGCATGTTGAGCTCCGCCGAGTTCAAGATGGACCCCCTCGTTTCTCTCTACTACTACGCCCCGGCCTGCGCCGTCATCAACGGTGTTGTCACCCTGCTCGTCGAGGTCCCTCGCATGTCCATGGGCGACATCTACAGCGTCGGCATCTTCACCCTGCTTGCCAACGCCTTCGTCGCCTTCCTGCTCAACGTCTCGGTCGTCTTCCTGATCGGCAAGACCTCTGCCGTCGTCCTGACCATGTCCGGTATCCTCAAGGACATCCTCCTCGTCATCGCCTCCCTCGTCATCTTCATGGACCCCGTCACCCTCCAGCAGTACTTTGGTTACTCCATCGCCCTCGCCGGCCTCTGCTACTACAAGCTCGGTGCCGAGAAGATCCAGTCCACCTTTGTCGACGCGCGCCTCTCCCTGGCCACCATGCGACAGAACCACCCCGCCCGCGCCAAGGCGGCCATGGGCTTCATGGTCTTTGGAGCCATGCTTTTTGGCGCCTACGTCTTCTGGCCCAGCCTGCACACGCCCGCGCCGATTGCCACGACGCCCGCGGCTTAGATGACTGCCAAAAACATCCTGTCGTCTGGGGGTCTCGCTTCTCGGGTCGGCGTTTTGATGGAGGCTGGTGGTTTCTTACCGTGGACGGTCAAACGGAAGAGGAGGTGCAATGAATGATTCAATGGGAGCACATGATGGGATAAAGAGCCATTACGGCGGGCAGTTCGGGATGTTGCTCATGACTGATATAGACTATTCGGGTATTTCTTTTTTTGGTCGACGCCATCGCCAGGCGTGACATTGGTTTAACACGGCATAGAGAGCTAGCCGTGCTGGTTGGACGGATGGCTACGTGTTGGCCCTGTGTTGTTCGATTTAGACTACATTTTGTGGGCCCTTTTGGGTCTTGAAAATAAATGGCTTGGCCATCTGTAGATTATGTGGCAAATAAGATCACATCGTTGCTCGTCAAATTTAGAACGCGTAACAGTAAAACACATCGCTTTTCTGCTTTTGAGAACCTGGGAACCGAGAGTGCCTGGACACCAGAACTGCCACCATGCGAACCTTGGAATGCGAATATCCAGCGCCGTATGCAAATGAATGCCCAATGATGGATGGGCTTCTTTAATCCTTCTTCTTGCTGAAATTGGGCAAGCCTAACCACAGCAGCAACAAGGCGCCCAGAAATGCCAGGATGACGGGCTGGAGCACGCCGACGCCCTTTGCCTGGGCGATGGCACCAACCGCGAAGGGCAGGATGGCGGCGCCGCCACCGCCAAAGGCAGCCGCAAAGCCGACGGCGCCGACGTGCAAGTGCTTGGGCAGCGACTTGGTGGCGGCGACGACGGTGGCGGGAAACAGGGGGCCGAGGAAGAAGCCCTGCAGCGACACGGCGACGGCGGAGACGATGAACTGCGGGACGAGCCAGAACAGGAGCTCGAGGCCCATGGCGGCGGGGATGTATATCTGGGAGGGGTGTGAGCCAATGGGGCCGAGGACTTTCAGCAGACAGACAGTCTTGTTCACTTACCATGACGGCCAGCTTCTCACCGAGCAAGGGCGTGACGAAGCCAAGCACGACACGGCCGACGGTGATGCCGAGCCAGAACCCCGTGGCGGTCATGCCGGACGCGAAGGGGTCCCCGTGGCGGACCTCGAGCATGAACTTGACGATCCAGCCGCCGAGGGCAACCTCGACGCCGACGTAGCACAGCAGGAACAGGGCGCACAGCCAGGTGACGCGGGCGGCGGGCATGGTGAGGAGGGCCTCCTTGAGGCTCGAGTTGCCCGCGCTGTCGGTGGTCTTTGGGTGGGAGTCGAGGAATACTTTCCCCGTGGCCCTCCAGAAGGCCGTCACGGTGGCGGTGAGCTCGACCACGGCGGCGCCGATCATGATGTAGTAGAAGTGGTACCACTCCAGCCCGGCCTTTGTGATCATTGTTGTTGCTATCAGCGGGGCGATGACGCCGCCTGCGCCGTAGAAGGCGTGCAGCACGCCTAGGACTTCGTTTGCGTTGGCCATGTTGCCGATCCCTGTCAGTCAGTCAGTCAAACCTATCCGCCATATCCATATATGTGTGTGTGTGTGTGTGTGTGTATGTATGTATATATGTATACACACACACACACACACATACAAATACCCCGGGAAGTCTGCTTACATGCGTTCCAGGCAGCATCACCCAGCCCGTTCCCAAACCCAGCCAGCATATACACCACCACGAGAACAGGGTAAGGCGGGTGCACGCACGCGATGACATACGCGACGATGTGGCAGCCCGAGCACAAGATCGCGACGCCCCGCTGCCCGAACTTCTGGTGGATCGTGTTGTTGAGCAGCGCCGACAGCGTGTAGCCCACAAAGGGGGACAGGAAGATGAGCGAGACAAGCGTGTACTCGAGCCCGTAGTAGGACCCCAGGTACGGGATGATGGCCCCATAGGCGGCGTCGTTCATCCCCATCACCAGCAGGGACCAGAACGCCGCCAGGACCCGTAGCGTGTTCTGCCGCGACTGGTTCCACCGCTCGACGGGGTGGGCGACTGTTGTCGGGGCCGGGAGGGACGAGATGCCTGTGGCGCCGTGGCTGGTGCTGCTGCGCGGCCTGTCGCTGCTGCCCCTGGGGCTCCTGTTGCTGTTGCTGTTGCTGTCCTTCTCGAGGGTCCTGCCTGGGCGGGATGGGCTTGTCATGGTCGCCGCGTCGTCCTGGCTGGGACGGCCTGGCTGTGGTGGCCCGTCGAGTTTTGGGGCGTGGGTGTGGGCTGGGGCAGCCTCCTGGAGCTCGACTGTCGTGGTTGATGACATGGTGGTGTGGTGTTTGTGTATGTGTATGTACGTCAGCTATAACGGGTGGGTCCGTCTGGTGATGCTTTGGTGCACCGCTGGCACTGGCAGGGCGGTGCGCGCGCCTGCAGCAGGTCGACCACGAAGCACGAGGCTGGGTGTTGGTTGATTTCTGGCTCCTCGTTGAGTTTGCTCGAGAACCTCAAGTTGGTGTACGCGGCTGAGAGACCAAATAGCGTTTTGATATATGTGTCTTCTCTCTGTCTGTATATGTCAGAGTGATGCAGCAGGCCGCGGGTTGAATATATATTTATACTGTGGTATGGTACGGTACACTCAACTGCTGCGCCCAGGCCGGGGCCGGGCCACCAGGTCCACCAACGATCCGAGTGACGTTTGAGCGGTGTCGTTTTTGGACGGTGTCGTTTGCTTGGAGGGAGGCGAAAAAGGGTTACGCCCTAGGCATGACACTGCATCATTGTGGGGCAGGAATTCTCGCTGGTATTTCGACGTCAACTGGCCTCTCTTGGCAAGGCGAGGCCGGGGCTCGAGCTCTTTGTCTCTTGTCTCTCTCTCTTGCCTGCATCAGTCACAGGGCCTGCTTCTGGAAAGGGGCGGCAGGGCAGCGCAGGGCGGAGAATCCGCCAAGAGTTGCGGCCAGGCGCAGGCGATCCTCTTTTTTTTTTTGGTCTTGTGGAGAACCCCTGCGCTGCGCTGGGCTGCACTCAAAACCAACATGACGGCACAGAGCCACTACTGTCCCGTCCCGAAGGGGGAACGGACTCTCATCCATCGGTCAGGACCGGCTAATCGTCGGGACATGCTTGGTCATCGTCGAACCACGCACTTTAGAACTGCATGTTTCTTGCCCTGTCTCGGCCCGCTGTCCCTGCTCGTGGGCGTCGTTCTGGTCGTACCGGGCCGGGGGAGGGTTAACACAAAAAGAGCACTGAAAGTTTAGCCTGCCAATGAGTAGTTTTGGGAGCGTAATGAAATGCGGTGCTAGGACGAGTGCACGAGTCACAAGTTCTTGCAGTGCTGCTGGGACTTGTACTGCATTGGGGTTGGCGTCGATCTCCCCAACTACAGAGCCTCCCTCTTTCAAGAGCAGCCGGCATTAGTAAGATGCGGTATTACCTCCAGCACCTGACCCCGATCGAGTTGGGTCAATGAAAAGAAGCATCAATTGGTAATTTGAGAGAGAATATCCGCGTTGGACTGCAACATTGATGCGTATCAAGGCCTAGTTGCATTGTCGAGCTTACAAATGGCCGACATCATTGATCTCCAGGGCTGATCTCGGCTCCGACTTGCGCGGTGGGCAAGATGTTCATTGGCGATGGCACGCCGTCTGAGTCACTTCTCTTATTATGCCAAGAGCTTTGGGTTGGTACTGGCTCGGGATTGTTAACCTCGAGCTGTGCATCATTGCTGACGGAGTGCATGCAGGGAATACTAGTACCTAGGTACGTGCTCCCAATTTGCCTCAAATGCTCAGGTGCGGAAGTGCTGCGTGTCTCTCTATTCCCAAGTAGATTGCCACTAAGTCAGCCCGATATAGCAGACATATCTCGATTGTGGATTTGCGGATGGTCTTCGGAGATGCACATTGGTATACTGAGCTGTCATCCCATGTGACTGGGAGTCTCTAGGGAATCAAATGAGAAATACCAGGCACCATTTTCCGAGACGTGTGACCTTGATATAAGCGAAGCCTGTAAAATATCCGGTAGGAATTAAAAGTCTCATGTCGTCCATTCCAAGATTGCAGTGCTATCGATCTGACGCCAGCAGATTCAGGGCTCAGGCATCACACACCTGACCATGTGCACCAATATTACAGACTGGCGGGCCAACGTCAGACAAGTCAAATCACATATGCAACCAGACTAATAAAATTGCTGCTCAACAATTACTACCTCTACCGCCCTGGTCTACACAATTGAGTCCGTCTCAAAGTAAGGATTATTCGGGTCATAAGGGAACTTCCTCACGACCACGTCACCAGTGTATCCCCACAGATCAGCCTCGCCCGGCGCGTAGTCAACCTTGCACGTCCCGGGCGCGCTCTTCTGGCCGAAGAGCTCCACGGCCGAGGTGTTGCCGTCTTTGTAGTCGATCCGGACCATGTTGACGGTGTTGCGGCTCTGGTCGCCGGTGAAGTAGTTGCTCGGCATGAATTGCATGCCCGAGTGGGCTGTGGTGAAGACGGTGTTGGGCAGGTCGCCCGTGTGTGGGACTATCAGTGGGTTGGTCATGTCAGCACAACCAACGGGTCGGAGTCGGCAGTGATCAATGGGGGTGGCCTGAGGTTGGTGGGCTGGGCTGGGCTGGACTGGACTTACCGTGGTGCATGCCCAGGTTGAACCAGACCACCAGGTCTTCTTGCTGCAGGCTCTCGCCGTCGAGGAAGGCCTCAAAGTTGACCGGGGGATCGTGAACATCCTGGCTATTGTACGCGTGGGCACTCTTGGGCTCGGTGTCCTTGCGCTTCGTGACGTAGAGATCGTGCTCGGCCCAACGTGCTGCATTGGCCAGATTACTGCTGTTCTGCACAGTCAGGTGTGCCAGGCCCGTGTAAGGCAGGACTGTGGCTGCGTCAGCGTGCTATTCTTCATTACATGGCACAAGGGCGAACGATAGATAGACTTACTTCTGTACCCGCGGTACTCTCCGTACTTGTTTGTCTCATTCTGATTGACGACGATCACCTGCGTCTGGGCGTTGAAATCCCAGTTGAGGCTGCCATCGTCTTCGGTCTCGATGAAACTCCGCTCGAGTTTCATTGTGTTCCGGGTCTTGTTGCCTGACCAGGGATATGTGGTTGTCACCGGCTTTTGAGTCATCAATTGGACGCTGTTCTCGGTCCCGAGAATGTCCTGTGAGTGGCTCAGATTAGCACGACGCAGCTCCACGTGAAGTCGAGATGAGCACGTTCAAACCAAAATAAATGTGCAAGAAGCATTTGGTGCACAAATGAGCGCCTCAACATGCGCCTCAGAACAAGAAGTAACAGAAGAACTCACAAAATCAACTTTCCAGTTGAGCACATGATCATGCATGGATCCGCTCAGCTGGTCGTGGATCTGGTACCCGTAGTCCTGGTTCTGTGCGAAATATGCAGACTGGATGTATCCGGAGGCGCGAACCTCAACCGCGATTGAGCCGTCCATGAAAAACGTGTAGGTAAACATATAATCATAGTTACCCACAGTGGATACCGAACGGACCGAGAAGTAGGTGTTCTTAGTCACAGAAACATAGCTGCTCGTGCTGTGGCGCTGCATGGGGAAGTCGGCGTCTAGTGGTGAAGTTAGTCCTGCTACGGGTCCTAAAGTGTTGTATTCTAGAACATTCCAAAACATGAAAGACGGGGATCCGTAAAAGGTGAAAAGTGATACTGACCGTACTCAAAGAGGCATATGCTGTTGATGTGCGTGTGCGTCGTCTCGGAAACATAGAAAGACGAGTTCAGGTAGGTTGCGTATGTTGGGCAGTCGTACCCCGGCACGAGCTGGAAGGCATACGGCCCAAAGCCGTAGAACGTGTCGAGGTAGGATGTGCCCGACTGCACGGGGTCATTGCCGGCGTAGTGCGCGAGGGCCTCCTGTAGGGCCAGCTCGTAGATCAGCCGCTCGCCCTTGTACCGGATGTCGTGCAGGGAGATCCCCGTGTCGCGCGAGAAGCCGATGTAGAAGCTGAAGTCCATCCATTCGACGTATTTCTGTTCCGCATCGACGCTGAACCGCGTGCCGGCTGGTGCGACCATGGTGGGTGGGAAGAGGGTATCCTTTGGCATGACAGGACCCTGCTGGTCCGTCCGAGCCCAGTCTCCTTCGACATTGGCACCGTTCTTCTCGAAACCCTCACTCCAGTATGCGGTGCGGAAATCTTCGGTAGTCTCGTAGAAAATTCCGTTGTAAAGCCAGCCCTCTAAGTTCCATTGACTAGGGTCTCGGCCGGTCACGTCGGACTTGAAGAACAGACCCAGTGGCAGAAGCGTCTCCGCGTCGAAGTCGTCCTGGGGGATGTTCCAAAACGTGTCCCAACGAACAATTCTCCCGTCATCCTGCCAGAGGGGATCGATTCCAAAGACGTCTAGGGTATCATTGTCTAGGCCTAGAACAGTGCCATTCCACAGATCGAGGGTGATATCTGCGATGGAAGTAGTGATGGGTAAGATCCACTCAGTGAACAGCTTCTCCGAGTCCGCGTCCAGGTTGCGCACTTTTCCGCCGTTGGATTTGGTCAATGGATAGGTGAGAGGGGACCAGGTCGTCGTTGAGTTGTTTATAGGCAGAGGTCCGATCATGATCTCCTGGTAATATGGGTCCTCGAACGCCCGCATATTCAAAATCGCTTTCGCCCATTTCGCTGGTGGCGATGCGTCACCATCTATATACGACAAGGCCTCGGTTTTATTTGGTTGAATAGCCTCAACAAGTATCCTGAGAAACACGCATGAGATCAATGCTGCCGAGAGGGCGGGAAGAAAGAAGCTCATGATACTCACACCGTGTTGTCCCATTCCGTCGCATTCTCTGCGGTGGTCAAGTTGAACTCGGGTTGGTTGAATAGCCACGCAACAACAGCCGCCGCGTCGGTATCCTCGAGCTCAGCCCATACGTTTACCTTGGGCGCAGAAATCGGCGCCGCCAGAGATCCGGCGCATGATCCGGTCTCATTGGAAGGCGACTGGACAGACCGACGCAGATTGTCTCTCTTGCCCTTGAGAACATCCGATAGGGCCTTGCGGCCATGTCCTTTTCGGACCCAGGAAGCCTTGGGCTCAGGAGATGGTCGGGCAAGGACGCTCTCAGATAGAAGCCCAAACGTGCCCAGATAAAAGGTCAGAGCCCCAGGGGCCGTAGGAAAGTTGGACAGCCTCATCGTGAGTCGAGGGAGTCTTCTCGCCTACAAGAAACTAAGGAAACGATGTTTGCCAAGGGTGAGGCCAAGACAACCAGTCAGCTACGAGAGGGGTCGAAGGAAACCGAGGAGGAATTTGCGACCATATATATCCACAAGCAACAGTTAGCCACTGGCAGAGCAAGACATCGGCTTGCATGCAAACGGAACCCAATCGGGGACAGAACCCTTGCATCTCACGTTATCCAATCTCGTAGCTGCTGGACACCTTATCCTGCGCCCATCATCATGGTGGAGTATTATATTGCGTTCATATCTTATCAAGACGATCCCCGAAGGCTGGAGAAGGCCAACTCTACCGGCAGGATCGGGACAGGGGGGCCTGTCTGCATTAGCTTCGTGGGTAGAGGTTATGGTGCTCAATACTACCCAGATGCATGTAAGATGAGGGGCCGAAGCACCGGCACGCAACATTGAGATGTGTTTGGCGATTGGTTGTTTCGATTCCATGTTCCACAGCGCGCTACATCTGCAATCCCGATCTAGATTGTACTTGTCCCTGTCCGAAGCACAGCATCGTGGCTGTGAAGTTGGCCCCAGTCGGGGAGACAACACTTTTACCCCCTGGCTGAGGAGTGGTCTTTGAGGGTTTAGATCGGCATAGAGACAAAAGGTTGGTTGCCCGCTCCCGAGATCTCCGTGCTGGGCAAACTTAGAACCGCAGAGATATGTGCGGCGGAGAATACCCAGAGACAAATTGCGTAGTGTCCGATAACGCCAGTCAAGGTATTCATTGCTACTACTAGCTAGTAGTACTAGCAACCCCCAGCCATGCCGGCTGGGGAGTACAGAGCTAGATGATAAGACCGGCCGCGTGGACCTTCCGAAAGGGCAAGTTGTATGAGCTGTGAAGTGATGCCAGGATAGGCAAGGGGAAGATGTCTGTTAGTTGTTGGAATTTGCATCAGCCCCGGGCCGATGTGGCAGTAGATCAACGAGAGTCGGGAACCCAGGCGACAAAGCGACCGCAGATATCCAGTAATTGCAGAGTCGAAACACCCCGACAGCATTAGTAGAGGGGTAGACCACAACACACAGACGACTACAGAACGCAACACAAGCAGAAGCAGGGACATAGAGACCAAGCTGACGGGAACTGGGTGACATTGTGTGCGACACCACATGTTCGGACCAGATACCAGTGTAAGTTGCATTGGGCCCACCAACAGGACCAGCGGCCGAGGTCTCAGCCTCCCTCTCAGCACAGAGCCCGAACTCGGATGAATTTTAAATGCCGTGACCGAGACAATCTTGTGCTTGCGCTAATAAATTCTCGAAGCTTGTTAAAGGCAGCATCTGTTCGCCGTATCCGGGTCCACCACCTTAGCCTCAGTAGCTCCCATAACTTCGTTATCGATGACTAGGATCACTGCGATTAACTTGAAGTGGTAGAGAAATAGTGTAGAGGACGACCCGGCAGTCCGGATATCTCCTATGTATTGTCCAATTAACGTGCCTAGATGTCGTGCCCCACCCGTTACTATCTTTCCCGGCTACTGAGCTGTCGCCCGGGACTACCCCTGTTAGGGGCGATAAGGAGTGTTGTGATGTCTCCGTGCTGCATGTTTGCCGGAATGAACGCTAGTACCTCCACAATTTCCAATGTCATTATGGTGATGCCCAATATTAGTAGTTGACTTGGGAAAAGGAGGAAGGAATCTGAACTCAAGGAGCGCAGGTCTGCCATCAATGATAGCTGTGCTCACCAGCTGGTGGCCCTTGACCCGGGAACTGCCCCTTGCCCGAAAACAAGCCAGATGGCGTTCGTGCCCGCCACACTTGCGCGTGCTTGTGTGTTCTTGCGGTGACCACGACTGTGAACAGTCTACCTTGCACGTTCAGTGAGGCTGGTCATCCTCTTCCCACGCGTGTTCCCATGCCTTTGCCATGCCCATCAGCGACTTATCACGCGGGGAAAACAGGTCTCCGCCTTGGCTCCGGCGCTTCACGTATTTGTGCAGGTATCGAAAGTCCCGGCACACGTGGGCTTGGTTAGAGTCAAAGTGCTGTCGCTGTGCCCCTTCTCTCCATTTGGTGGGGATCGGCGTTGTGCTACCGTAACACATTATGTGCTGGCGGATCGTGTCAAGGCAGTGATCAAGGTGTGCTTTTTGCGTTGCCGCAGACGCCTCGGGGCCGTAACGATCTGGGTAGATCGCCTTCCTGAGTTTGTTCTACTTTCATGTTAGTTAATTGCTGACTCGCGGCCCTTGAAGCAGATCCTGAACTTACCAAGCAATGTAGTGTGTGAAACACGTCCAGCCCAGCGGTATATCCCCCCAATTCCTCGTCAACGTACTCGTGCCTCCGGTCCCCCCATGCCTCGATCGCCTCGGCCTCGGAGACAGAGAAATATCGGTCCTCGACGATCTCGTTCCAGTTCTCGTCGACCTCGTCCGTCAGGTCGCCCGTGAACCTCAGATTCTCCGGCCACCTCGCCTGGGAATTTGTCGTGTCCATCCACATGGTACCGTTCTCGTCGAACTTTGGACTGCCGACGAAGCGTTTCACCTCAAGAGGCACTCGTCTCAGACTCCCTGATGGGGGTAACTCGTCAGAAGGACGCTTCACTCAGGAAGACATTCGCGCATCAACATACACAAGTCGGTGGACAGCCTGTCCTCGTACGTGCCGAATTTACGTATCCCGTAGCGCTCGAGGAGCAGGAGAAAAGACGTCAAGGCGAACAAGCAGGCCAGGATCCACGGTATCATTGAGCTCTGGATTAGCCGCCGCTTGGCTTGTGCATTCCTCGGCCGTGCAGCTGGGTCTCGGTCCACGTCGAAGGACGACGACCTGCCATCCCCAATAAATGCGTCGGCCTCGGACTTGTCAAAGTCCTGCTCCTCCCTCGCGGCCATTTCCACCGAGTCTGCAAACCGAACACCGACCATGGTGCCAGCAACGTGACAACCTGTGTGCGTTGCGGTGGTGGCGGGTGTCCTACTAGTTAGACCGTGTCGCTAAATAACATTAGACAGACTGGACCAGATACAAGGACCTCCGGAGCATCGGTAACATGCAAAGGTTAGTAGTAGGAAAGATTGCAAGCAACGGGTTTAATAATACGTGACTGGAATGCAGACTCGCTGGCTCCTAGAAAGCTGCGGCGGTTTCATGGCGTCCGTCAGGCGGGTCCACTGCCCCTTATTTTGGCCCCAATTAATGAGTAATACGTGGTTGTTGCGTAAAGAGTGAGTGGGGCCCTGAGACTGACTACTTAAGTACCAAGGGACTGGACTGTTTTAAAGGCGATAAACCCTGGCTTTATTAATGTGCAGCCATCGTCTTGACAAAACGTACAATCTGGTTATTGGGCCGCACCAAGACTGGTGTGCTTCAATTGATATTATAGGTTGTTGGCCTGGGAAACTGCCTCAGACCTCTTCAAGTTGACAGGATAAACTTTTGACGCCATAACAAGCTATACTTTATTACGCATGAATCCAACAAAGACTAAACTCCACAACTCACAAATTACCCGAATACCTCCATCATGAAGTGATATTCAATTTTGCTGGAATCATTACGCCCCCTCGCGCTCAGGAGCCGACAGCGGTCCGCCAGCATCTCACCCACGATAGGCGTCCCGCAGAAGAAGACACCGACCTTGAACTCCTCGTCGCTCCACCGCCTAGGGTCTTTCTCGTTTAGCACAGCCTTGTACTTCAACATCTCCTCATAATGCGCATCGAGGATGCTGGTGAAGTCTGGCCGGCCGAAATGAGACGGGTTGATCAGCCCCGTGAGCGGGCTCTCCGGGTGCTCGGGTGTGCGGTGCATCTCGAGGAGCCAACGGTAGACATGGGTGGAGATGCTCTTGCGCTTCTGCGTGACATGTGTGGAGATCCTGATATCGAGATGCTGCGCGCTGTCGTGGTTTGCGTGCCATTTCTGGCTGCGGCTGACCTCGTTTAGCAGATCCGAGAGCCACAGGAGATGATTCCTATCCCGAACCATCCAGTGGAAGTCTACACGCCGGTAGTCATCTGCAAATTTGGATTTCTCATTGGCCAAGGTTGTCTGGCTGGAATCAGCCTGGTGCTGGAGAGGAGTTGCGTCTGCTTTGGCAGCGCCGCTCAATGATTCTTTCTCGTTCTTGTGGACATCCTGGTGCTCCGGATGTCCATGGGCAGCGTCGTCTCTGGCCTGGAGGTCGGCCAGGATCCCAGAGAAGGGCGTGACACCAATTCCCGCTCCGACGACAATGGTATGGCTGAAATCGTAGAAGCGCTGAGCTGGTGCGCCAAACGGCCCGTTGATCCCGATCTTGATGTCGGCTCTGCCATTTTCTCCGGCCAGCTTTCGAAGCCTCCCGGTCCAGTTTCCGTCGGTCTTGATGTGCAGACGCATCTCTTTTCCCACGCAGATGGACACAGTGAACGGGTGCCACTGGAAGTTTCCAAGCTCGGGCACCTGCAAAAAGACATACTGTCCAGCCTGGTACTTCCAGAGCCGCTCACTCGGGATGGTGGCCTTGACTTCGACGGTCTCGCTGTCCAGGACGGTGAGAGTGGCCGCGATGCGGTGGAACCCAACAGCGACCCGGGTGACTCGCTCCACCAGCACCAGGAGAGTCGGGAAAGCGAGCCAGTACCCGAACATTGGCCACTGCAAGAGTGCGGCCGTGCCATGCGCCATCATCAGGCCGATGATGGGGAACATGAGCAGATGTCCGAGCTGGAACACCTCGTAGTTCCACTTCCGAACCGCGGGCATGCTGAGAAGTGCAAGGAGATAGAACAGTCCCAGAGCCGTGAGGCCTGTCCAACCGGGCAAAGACCTCACATATCTCACGTAGGGCCTCGGGACAGCATCCGGGCCCAGGAGGAGGGCTACCGCCTCCTCCCTACTCTGCCGACTCCCCCAGTTGAAGGTTCCGCTCAGATGGCCAATCGCATGCAGCGTGGCCAGCGCCAGCGCGACGCAGGACATCTTGATGTGGAAGCTCTGTCCCAGGTCCCAGTTGATGAAGCGGCTGACGTAGTACCACTTGCGCATGAAGGTCGAGAAGTACCGCGACATGCTCAGGACGACAAAGAAGAAGGTCGGGTACAGCGCGCCGGCGCACGTCTTGGCGAGGACGACACCCCACCCGAACGCGGCCTGATACTCGGGCGTCGACGCGTACTTGACGCACTGCCACACGCCAAAGGCAATCTGCAGCGAGACCACCAGGCACAGGAAGGCAACCTCGGGCCCGTGGACGGCCCAGTACGACCTCAGCCGCCGCCATATCCCCAGAGACCGCATGTACGCCTTCTGGGACTCGTCGGCCTCGCTGTCCTGCTGCATCGACGGGATCCCCCACTCGCGCACCCGGGCGGCAAAGTCGGCGCGCGGGATCTTGTTCTTGTCGGAGCCGATGACGCTGCGTAGGAAGGCGTGGCGGTCATGGTCCTGCTTCGTGTTGTGTTCGCTGCTGCTGCTGGCATGTTGCCGGTGTAGACGGTGGTGGGCTTGTGGTGTCCCCTGGACGAGCTCGTCGTACACGGCGTCGAGCTTCTGCTCTACTTCACTGTAGTCGATGAAGCCATCTTTGTTGTGGTCCAGGTCGTCCAGGAAATTGTTGATCTCCGATTCGGTCAGCGGTTGCACGTCTCCCTCAGCCATAGGGATACCAGTACTGTTCGTTTGCTGTTCGTCGTGGATATAAGATTACAACTGGTGCATCCCCAGGTCAGCAAGAGGCGACTGCCGCGTCCCAAAAGGGGCCAGGGAACCGGCCATCCTTATTATACACACAAGAAACACCCCCAAGACAACCTCAGAAGTCTGGGTCTTGTCCTTCTCAGCTGCTCCCAACGCGGTGCTGCGTTGCTAAGAAGCCAACCGTCATCGCCAAGCTCGACATCTCACCCGGATTTACTGCCAAGGGACTGGGCTGTGCGAGCGGGTAGGGCCAGTTCTAATCTTAAAGCCTTGGCTCCTTACGGGCTATACCGCTTAACACGTGTCGGTGATGGAGCGCCCTGGAAACCTCAACCTCGCCCCTTTGCGCCGTGAGATCTTGGCTGCAGCATTGGCAGGATGCTAACACCGCACCGCGCCGGTTACTCGGCTTTGGTCAGCACAGCGGAACCCAATTTTATCCCACCGCTGCTGTCTACATGCTCCTGTGAAACCACTTTTTCGCATCCCTCAGCCCCAAAGGATCCTGAGTGCAGCGTCTCAGCTGGGAACCGCCCCGGCGGTCAGATGTCTGAGACAGTGCTGCTGTGACTTTCCCATCGGTTGAAAATTTCTGGGTCATGTCTTTTCAGAGCCAGATCTGGTTAATCGCATCCGTCTCGGGGAACCCTCCCTGTTGTTTGGCCTGGCTGGCCCACTCTCAACCGAACAGTCTGAGGCTGTGGGATGGATTCAAGAGCGTCCATATCTCTGAATGCTTGTGCTTCATTGGAGCTGGAGAGCCATGGAGCTGGGTGTAGATCGTGGCCAGAGTATGATGTTAAACTGTGCTGAACTGCTTATTATTAGTATAAATCCTTTTTTTCTTCAAATTGGTTGTGAACTGAGAATCTCAAGTTTGAATTTCACACAAAGACTTACCAACGGCGAAGTGACAGGGACAAGAGAATCAGTGGTGTCTAGACTAATGTACCATGCGGAGGGAATTATGATCAGATACATTGCGAAGAATAGTATGGTGGTAGCAATTCAGACATGTGAGAAAGTGAAGCTGTGTCTTGAGCGAGGTTCAGAGTTTGGGAAGTTGAAGGACCCCACAAACTCGACAGAGACAAGCTGAGGAACGGAACTCACATTGCATGAAAGACTTGTGGTCTTGGGCCAAGAGCACTTGACTCTGAGAACAAGTACGAACTGTCTGATCCGTTTCTTTACTATGGCAACACTGAAGGCCGAAGCGATTCATCCAGCTGGTCATTCTGTATTATGTGGACAATACAAGTTCATCCACTATGGGAAGTTCATTTGATCCAGATTTCAGATCTCACAGCCTTGCAAGTGACTCCCAGGAGGAATTATTGCCCTCAAGGGATCAAATGAGAACGATGGAATGATACCAGGAAAGGCATTCTCGCTGCAATCAATTCTGGACGACTCGGAGTTTACGGATAATGGAGGACTGGTCGGCACGTTGCCATTTGATGGAACATGTTACGCGAGACCCAAGGCTGGCCCCCGGAAAGAGCAAGGCAGGGAAAGGAGCACGCATAGCCGTGGGTATTATCCCGAGGACAATGAAGCTAAGCCAGCCCCCTTATCAAGTAGATGCCATTCTTGTAATACGTATATCCTGCATCAGTCTAACTATATCAGCCGGCCTAGCCCCATGCTCCAGAGTGGTTTGTTTTGTTGATCTGCCCGTTCCTCTCCGATTTTCGCCCAAGGTCCGTTTGACAAAGCAGGGAGAAGGTTTTTCCACAACTGCCTCTCTCTTTTTCCTTTTGGACCGGCTTTTTTTTATCATCACAATCTCATCGTACAGTACGTGGAATGGCCGCCAATGCAATCAATGTCATGCCTGCCCCCCATCCTGGACTCCCCTAGCACCCGTGAATGAAGGAAAACCCCAAAATAACACCGCCTGCCAGTCCTCCCGCATCGGGACTGGCTTATGACTGTAACACTGCTTACTGCTACTAGTATTCCATTACTACCTGACAATCATGCTGCAATAAAACCACCCGAAGCCATTTGTATGCTGAATCTCGACATGATGCCCGAGCCACGATTGCACTTTTTCTTCTAGCGCCTCCTTGTGTCACGGCCCTTCTTCTTCCCCTTCTTCTTGTCCTTGGGCAGGTCCAGCGTGGTGCCCTCGAGCTGTTTGGTCATGGACGCCACCATGTACTCGTCGATGTTGTGGATCTTGTCGCCGAAGGCGTTGTACTCTGGCTCCGCCTCCTCCGCAGCGGGCGTCTCGGCGGCCTCGACAAACAGACCCAGGCCGGACCGGCCGGGGGCAAGTGATCCTTCCCGCGGCGTGCCCTGCTGAGTGCTGGCGGCCCCGGACCCGGGTTTCGTCTCGGAGAAGTCTGCGTCGTCCTGCAGGATCTCCCTTTCGGCGGCCCGTGCTGCAACGACATCCTCGGTATCTTCAGCTTGTTCGAGTGCTTTCGTGGCGGTACGGGTGTCGGATTTGTCGACGCCGCCGAGGACGAGGTCCATCGCTGCGTTGGCAGCCGCATCGTGCTCACCCATCAGGCCACCGGCGACCTCCTGTACTGACAACTCGCCATGCCGGTTGTTGAAGTAGTCCGTCGTGAAAGCACCCTCCTGGATCACGACATCGTCGAGCATCTGCTTCTGGCTCGCCTTCCTCAGGATATTGGCCTCGATGGTGTGTTCGCTGACAAGGCGATAGATGTGCACATCTCGAGTCTGCCCAATGCGGTGGCACCTGTCTTGGCACTGCTTGTCCATGGCAGGGTTCCAGTCTTGGTCATAGAATATGACAGTGTCGGCACCAGTGAGGTTGAGACCAAGGCCGCCTGATCGCGTTGACAAGATGAAGCAGAGGATGCGGTCGTCAACGTTGAAACGGTCGCACAGTATCTGACGTTGCTCTACTTTGGTAGACCCATCGAGGCGGAGGTACTTGTGGCCGTGGATATTGAGGAACTGCTCAAGAATATCGAGAACTTTGGTCATCTGGGTGAATATCAATGCACGATGGCCGCCGGCCTGGAGCTTGCGGAGAAGCTTATCCAGGGCTTGCAGCTTGCCACAGTCGTATTGCAGGAGACGCTTGTCTGGAAATTGAATGGACAGCCGCATGCGAGACTCGTGCCAGGGATCAATAGGTCGCTCGGGAGGGATAAAGGGAAGGCGTCTAACAGGTGCTGACAGGCGCAGGTCAGCGTCGCCGAACGCCTGGACACCTTTCCAGCCGAGCAGGAATGGCTCCATGTCTCTCGTGACGACAGCAGGGGTGACGCAGGCAAACTTGGATATTGTCCGTTCCATGGACGCAGCACGCTGGTCCAGTGTCGGTATCATCGTCCGCAGGATAAACGAGTCCTCTTCAAACCAGCTCATGACCAACTTAGGAACCCTGGGCCGAGGTCTGTAGGGTCGCTTATCTGCGCCGATTGTGAGGAACTCACGTAGGCGCTTCCCATATATCGGCCGTTGCTGCCTACGCAAGGCGTTTAAATAGACGCAGTGTTGCAGTTCCTCGAACCGACCCCAACGGGCGGCGCTGTCCAAAAACCCAATGGTGGACTTGACGGTTGAAGGGTCGAGGGTGTGGTGTGATGCCTGGCCCCTGATCCGCTGGGTCTCGCGCAAATCCAGGAGGACCCTGTTCGAGCTCAGCTGGTTGACGCGTTCTGCAACTGTGTTGGACAAGTCTTCGTGTTGCGTCGGGACCAGGTTCAGGAAACCAAGGTTGACGGAAGTCATGGGCTTCGGTGCCAGCAATTTCTTGCGCAGCAATTGTTCGGTGACCTCGTAATCAGCAGCAACAGATTTTTCCATGCGGAAGGATGTCATGATGGGCCGATCGACAAAGAGGTCAGGGTGGTTGCAGACCTTGCGCAGCTGCATCAAACAATTGATGATTGAGAGGTAATTACCCGACGACAAGGTGTCCCGGGTCTCGGAGCGAGCCAGGAAGCCGTCATACAATTCTCTTTGACGTTTGGACAGACGGCAGAACTCGACGTGCTCAATTTTTGCAGGCATCTGTTTCTCCACATCAGCCTTCAAGCGCCGCAGCAGGTACGGTCGCAGAACTTTGTGCAACTTGGAGATGATGGCGCGGGCCTCCTCGTCCATCTGCTCCCGGCCATGCTCGAGGATCTGTGACTCTGGCCTGGCAAACCAGTCGTGGAATTCTTTCAGGTCGGCAAAGCCACCGACGCCGTTCTCCGAGGGCATCAAGAAGAAGAGGAGAGACCACAGCTCGGTCAGGTTGTTTTGCAACGGCGTGCCCGTCAGGAGGAGACGTGAATGTGTGTTAAAGCCAAGCAGCGTCTGCCACCTCTGGGACCTGAAGTTTTTGATGTTGTGAGCCTCGTCCAGGATCATGTAGTGCCACCTCCGGCGCCTGAAGACCTGGGCGTCCTGAAGGACAATCTGGTATGACGTGATGCACACGTTCCAGAAGTCGTCGTTCGTCCAGCCTTGGCGCTTTCTCTTCCGTTCGTCCTGGTTGCCGTAGTATGTGAGGATCTTGAAGCCCGGACACCATTTCTTGAACTCCATTTCCCAATTGAGCATCACACTGGTCGGGACGATCACAAGGTGCGGCCCCCATACCTCGTGCGTGCACGCAAGATGGGCCAACAGCGCAATTGTCTGGATAGTCTTTCCAAGCCCCATCTCATCAGCGAGAATGCCATTGGTGTTGTTTGCATAAAGCCCGGACAGCCAGTCTAGTCCATAGTGTTGGTACTCGCGGAGCGTGCCACGCAGGAGGAAAGGCACCTCTGTCCGTGGAGCAGTGGGATGAGGAGAACCTGATCTGCTCCTGCTTGCTTCGAGCGGGCCGCTCATACGCTCGAAAGAAGTTGCAGTGTCGACATCTGAGGGTTTCGTATCAGACGTTCGAGGTGACTGGCTCCGGTCGGGACTGACGGGATTGGTTGTGGCATCAACCTCCGGTGTCGTTTGCACAGCCTCCGAGGGTGGTGCTTTATCAGTTTCTTCCGAGGCTGCTGGCTGGGGCTTCTCCTCAGAAGACGGAGACGACGGCCGTGGGGGTGCGTCGGTCATCTTTTGATCGGTCTCGGATGTCGCATCTGTGTCCACAGTAGTCCCGTTCACCTTTGGAGTTGCCGGACGGTCTGCCGCTGGTGCTGTGGCCGACTGTCCTTCGGGGGAGGGCGCAGCGGCATCAGCGTCGGTCATGGGCGCATCGCCAGGCTCGGCGGCACTGTCGGCCGTGTCTTCCTGGAGTTTCTTCAGCTCCTTCTCACCAAAGAACAGACCAAGTAGCCCGGAGGGTCGGCCCTCTTCATCCCCGCTGTCATCTCCGTCGTCGTCGTCGTCCGACCCGCTCTCGTTGCTGCTGTCGTCTGAAGAGCCCATGTCGTCATCCATGTCGACGGACTCGTCACTTGTATCATCGTTGAGGGCTTCCGCCATTGATGTGTCGCCGCCGTCATTATTGTCAATCTTGCTCTCGATGTCGGGCAGATTGGCGTACTTCTCCCTGAGTTGCTCTTGAGTTAGGCCCTCGTCAGATGCGGCCGACTTACGGTCGTCATCCTCCTCTGAAGAAGACATGTTGTCCTCGTCGCTTGGCCCGTCCACAGACCCCTCATCATCTCCTGATATCTGGCTGTCGTCCGAGTCGGAACCCAGGGGTTCGCCGTCCTCATCTAGGTCCTCGTCGCTCATATCCGAGTCAAACTGTGCTTGCCTGGCGAGAAGTTGTTGCTCTGAGCGTGAGACAGCTTCCTGCAGCGCAGCCTTGACGCGCCTTTGCTCCTCGGCCTCCCATTCTTCCATGCGGCGCCGGTTCACCTCTAACCTCACATTCTCCCAGGTGCCGAACATAGCTTTCACGACTGTCCGGTACCGCCCGATCCACATGTCTCGCGCTTCCCTCTCGATTTCCTCGTTGGATTTCGGCTGTCGAGATCGCCATACCGCCTGGCACGCCTCGGCCAGCTTCTTGGCCTTGTCGCGATGCTCTTTCTGCTCCCGAACCATCCACTTGCGGAGGTTCTGTGCAGCTTTGACCAGGTGATCCACGTGCGCATATTGTCGCGGCGGCTCCTCGGCGGCCTCGGGCTCGAATATGACACAGCTGTTGCCGAGCAGGCCATCGGGCCTCGCTTCGTCCTCGATGCGTATGATCGTCTTGGCCTCAGCCAGAGCCATGTCGTCGGTCAAGACGGGCTCATCCTCGGGTATCAGCTGCCCTCCATCCGTCACAGGTATGTTGTAGGCATCGCGGAAGTATTCATCGATATTTGAGGCCACCCTCTTTTTCTTGGCGCGGTCAGGATGCACCAGAGGCAGTTCGGTAAGGGGAACTCGGTTGACGCGCAGCTTGATCCGGGGCGTCGTTCTCGTGGGCTGGGGTGTGGAGAAGTCGTTGTCGAGGCTGTCATGGCCGTTTCTCGAGGGGCGTCGCGTCCTAGTAGACGACCGACTTGGTTGCGCAGGGGGTGGTGAGGGTCTACGATTCCTAGGAGTGGATCTAGACTCATGTCCGAGTGACTTTCGCGGCGGGGGCTTCGAGGCGCCGCCCGACTTGGAAGCAAGAGCCTTGCTGGCGGAGACGGCGCGTTGTCTGGCAGACTGGCTGGCGGCAGCGTGACCGTTGGCGGAACCCTGTCTGAGCTTGGAAGGAGGGCTGTTCTGAGAGTATGACTTCCTAGTGATCCTCTTGTCACTGCTCATCTGCTCGAGAGGGACCGTGTTCAGACGGCCGGACTTGCGCTTGCCACCCTCGATGATGGTGGTGGGGCCATCGGCCTCGAACTTCTTCCATGGCGGCGATTCGAAGACCTTGCGAGTTTTGGACCCGGGCGGCGGGGGCGTAGAGTCGCGAACCCTTCGACGTTTTGCGGGCCTGTCGTCCTCGGGGGTCTCTGTGTCGCGGGCATGGCCATTTGTCAGCCCGTTGCCGAGCTGGCCGTTAGTCTGGCCGTTGGTGTTGGGCGCAGCAGAGGTGAGGGACTGGAAGAAATCATCGGTCGGCGACTCGGGGGGTGTTGACAGCGCGGACAGCGGGGAGTCTGGAGATGACAGGGCAGCATCGTGCTGAGCAGTGGTCGGCGCCGGGAGGGAGTCTGTGATGATGGGCGGGGGGCGGAGGGGAGATTTCGAGGTCTGTGGTGGGCCGTTGTTGTCGTGTGACGATGATGGCAATGGCGACGATGATGATGAGCGACGGGCGTCGACGGTGCCGTCTTTGTTATCGACAGTCGAGTCTGGATTCGGCCGAGGAGGGCGGGGAGGGGTGGTGGTTGTCTTGTTGGAGGGCAAGACCGAGGCAGATTCGGAATCGTCAGAGGCAGAGGCAGAGGCAGCAGCAGCAGCACCACAAGTGGACGCGCTGGGCTCCGTCATAGCGAGCGACGCGGGGAGAGGGGACGGGGAGGGAAACGGGGTCGGGATCCGGACAGAGCGGGCATTTGACAGGCCAGAAAATAGGTCTGGATGTTGGCAGGGGCTCAGACTATTCGCATGTCGAGTCTGGACATGTTTGGGGCCTCGTGCGGTGCTGTACGGCGCGAAAAGGACGTGTCTTGCTCGTGGTCGGGCAAAAGACCAGAAAACCTTGAGATGCGTGAGTCCTGTCGCCTGCGCTAAGACCAGGTCGGGCAGAGCAGATTTCAGAAGGGAGCCTTCTACGGATACCCGAGTACATACGTACCTACCTACCTAGGTACTTAAGGTACGTAGCTCTGGGCAGCTCCCTGGCGCCGAGGTACCTGGGTACCTAGGTGCCCACTTACGGAGTACATACGTACACCAAGACGCACGGGCCATTGTCTATGGACTGTCTGCCTCAGGCAGCCAACAGCAGCCGCCGTGCCGAGCATCGAATTGAAGCAGCGTCACGTCGGAGCATTCAACGACAGCTTCAAACAGCCCGCATTGTGCCCACGGTCGATACCCAAGGCATGTCTCTCTCGTTGCCCCTTCACCCAATTGATTGACACACCCACAGCCAATTGGCCGCTAACCCGACCGACCGCCACAGATGCTCTCCCGACGAATTGCAGCCAAGACCCCTCTGCGGTCGGCAACGGCTGCAGTCGCGGCGCGCCGGCTGCCCATTGTCCAGCAACGGACCTACCTACCAGAGTACAACAAGAACCTCGACGAGAGATACCCTGCCTACCCCAACCTGTCCGATGTCGAGGACCCAAACATGGTACGTTGAGACCAAGGGGGAGGAGTGAAAGAGTGCCCCCAGACGACCCGGCCGACAGGATGGGATGGAGACACATGAAGCCAAGGGCGGCCGGCAGGCGGGGAGGTCAGAACCGGAAGAGGGGTCGGTGGGAGTGCCACTGCCACTGCCACTGCGGCAGGCCGGAAGGAGCACAGCAGGAGCAGCCAGAATGCTAACGATGGGGTACGCCCTCCCGCACAGAACGGAGGCTACGTCCAGCCCGCCCCGATCAAGCGACAGTTCCGCGACCCCCATGGCGACTGGTGGGACAAGCAGGAGCGGAGGAACTACGGCGAGCCCTGCCACGAGGACTACGACACGCTGGGCGTCTTCTCGCCGCACGTGTACACCTGGGTCAGCCCACGCAAGGGCCTCGTCCAGATCGCGGCCTTCATCGCCACCTTCCTGAGCGTCTGCTACGTGGTCAAGGCCACATATCCCGACCGGCCGTCCTTCCCGCGCGAGTTTGAGGACGGGCTGCAGCGCGAGCTCGGCGGCGCAGGCGCAACGAGGGTGAGTCTAGCAGCAGACAGACAGGCGGCGGGTTGACGACGTCGCAGCCATTTGCAGTTCAAGGCTAACAACATACGGCGCAACAGGCGAGGGCACCAGAGGATCCGGAGCCGTTCCAGGCGGAGGAGCTGGACTGAGCTGTGCCTTGTACTTGTAGATATGTGCCAGACCTCGAATGGAACGAGCTAGATTCAGACATGACAGCTGTGGTCTTGACATGCGATGCAATGCACTGCACTGCGTTTACGATATGGGTCGCTGCCCAGTCCAGTACGCAGGAATAACCCGGGCGGGTTGCTGCTGGACACGGCTGCCCAGGCGTTTATGGCGGTGGCTTCTACGATGTGCGGTATGGCGACTGACATCATCTTTGCAAACACCTTGCCGTATATTTGTGTGTATACGGCCTGGAATCCGCCTTCCACATGTCCCTAAAAATATGGTCGAAGCAGCTTTGCCAGGCTTCATCCGTGAGGGACAAGTCAGCTGGGGAAAGCACCAGCTGATAAGGTTGGAAGCTACATGTGTAGGACTGCGGGTTTCTATACATCCGACCTCCAGCTTGGGAAGTCTCGGTTGTGGTCCTGCACTCTGCTCGGGTGGCACTTGCTCTTGTTTTGTTGCTCCTCTTGTGGCCTGGATAACTTGCCTTCCAAGGTTCCATTGCTTCCTTCACGCCGGATGATCACCACTGTTTGTTCGTCTCTTGTCTCCCCCACCATCCTTTTCGCCTGATGCCTTTCCTCGCCTTTCTTCCCTTCTCTGCCTCCTCTCTTCTTCCTCCACGCCGTCCCTCTCTCACCTTTCCCGCCCCCTCCATGCGATAATATTGCTCCTGTCCCTCCATCCACTCCAGCTTGCCACCAGCCTCGTCTCAGGATGCGATACGACGACTGGGACGTGCTCCTCTTCCCCTCGGGCCGAGATGATCGGGTGCCCCTGAGGGAGTTCAAGGTCAACTGCCATGTTGTCCCCGACGCCGACTTCTCCCACAGCCGTGCCACCTTTGGTCTGCCCGTCATGACTTGCTTCGTCCCGGGTCTGCAGTCTGGATCCCCTTTCCATATCTCCATACATTCCTGGTGCCGGCCCAAGCCCAGCCAGCACACGCTTAGCTACACCAAGCACCCCGAACTGGCAACGTTCGAGGCCCGCATCTTCATCGATGGGCGCATGGTTGCGTGAGCTCTGCCCTGCCCGCCCCTTGCGCCACATGTCTGCATGCTGAATTGCTTCCTCAAAACAGGTCCACGTTGCTCCAGCCCTTTGGTGCCTGGCCGAATCTGATCGCCAGCACCTCGCGTGAGTCCCGGTCTCTCCCTTCATCGGCCATCCGTGCCCTGACCAAGTCCTGACTGCCGGTGTCACCAGAAATGACGAAGCAGGGTGAACTCGAGGAGTTGAGATTTCCCTCATTCCGGCGCGAGTTGCTCTTCCAGAACCACTGGAGCCCCGGTGACGACCTTGGACGTATCAAAGTCCTCATCGGTGAGGGATTTCCTAGAGACTCGCCTTCCAACCCCATCGAGCGGGTCAAGAACGTTGTCGCATTTGCCTTCCAACATGCGCCTCTGGGTCAGTCAATTGTGGCTCTATACCACCTTCACTCTGCCACCTTGACTCGCTAACCTGGCGATTCTTGTCAGACATCCTCGAGACCAATGGCATAGCTTGGCCCAACCCGCAAATGTGGCGTCGGCCCCAGAACAACCCAGCTCTTCCCGTGCCAACCTTCTACCCGGATGATGGTGCAGACTCTCACCTGCACTCGCCACGCCGCAGGCCGCTTGCCTCCCAACACATGCCAACCATATCCACAACCCTGACTGCCCCTGCCGGGCCAGTTCCCACGCTCGACGCCATCACCACAGGCCGCTCCAACTTGCAAAAGGCATCTGCATCCACCGCTTCGAGCTTTCTCGACCCGTTCAACGAGGCCGCCTACCAGGAGTGGATCGACTCGTTGGGTCTGGAGCAACAACAGTCCCACGTGAACACCAGCGCCATCTGGCCCACCCTCGTTGCCCGCGGCAATGACAGGTCTGGGGCCAACCCAGCCGCGGGAAGCATCATGGCGTACATGCCCTCCGCCGTGCGCGACACCGCCACAGCAGACCCAGTGCACTTGTCTGGCCGCAGCCTAGACGAGGATACTCAGATGGACATGCTCAAGGTGCCAACAAACACCCCGACCGCGTTCCTTGGTGCAGATCATGCGGCTTCAGGTTCGTTGGCCCATCGCCTTCCGAGTCGTTGTGGCTTCCGGGTCTGACATTAAATATCCAGGACAATTCACCTGCAACAACCCGAACCCACCCATGTCCACCGACTTTGCCCACACTCTCACTCACTCACTCCTGAACCAGCCCCAGCCTCTCCCCGTCCTGCCGCAGTCCATCCAAGCACACCAAATCCAGCTGCCCGCAAGCGAGGTCAAGTCTCGGAAAGAAAACCGCCATGTGAACAACGCCGGCTCAGTCGGGTCCTCGACAAACCCTTCCCCCTCAGTCGAAGCTCAAACCCGCAGATTCTCTGCCTCCAACACGGCCTTCGGCATTATTGGCAATGATCGTACGACATCCTCGGGGTCGGGCTCTGGCCCTACATTCAGTCGTCACTCCTCCGCTGGCGACTTTGGTAAAGACATCACAAACACGGCTTCCCCAGGCCAGACATATGCCGGGGTTGCCGCGTCAGGGAACGGCCATGGCAGCGGCAGTGAAAAGGGCACGAAAAGAAGCCGTAACTTCACACCAGCTAGTGCCAAGGCTATAGACGAAGAAGACGAGCCTCGTCGAGTCAGCCCCCGACTGCGGGCGGCAACAATATTTTCCTTGAACTCAGACGACAACGAGACCCAGCAATGATCGCTGTCAGATGTAGGTATATCCATCCCTCTGCCCTGTACGGATTTCAACGGGCCTAGGTATACAATATCCCGCCGGCAGCGAAATTCTTTTGCGCCTCGTACGGCAGTCTTGATGCGGTCTCTTCCTTTCCCATTTTCGAAATTGTTATTTTGGACGAGATGAAGATTGTAACTGTGGGTGAACGAGCCTGATATCTTAAATTAAGGACTGGCTCATGTTCATGCTTTGATCATATGTATGCGGCCATAGCGCTGCTTATGAACGCATGGCATCAACTCGGACCTGTAACAACCCACTGCATCTCATTCACAGTCATTGCTACCACTTACGAGCGCGACGAGAAGGCACTCACAAGCAATCTGCGCTATGGTGACGGGAGGAAGAGGCAGCCAGGATTTGTCATGATGAACGCGGAGGAATCGCATCTGGGCTCAGAGCATCCACTCCAGCGCTCCTTAGGCGGTGAGAATAGAAACAATGACACGACTCTCAATTTTCCTACCGTGCCTGACAGGACTGTCAGAGACTCTGCATCATCGTACATACCCTCTTCTGCACTGACAGGGTTTCACTGGCTCCGACTCCCTTTCTGCGCGGGACCTTCCCGCACTCAGACGGCCGCGGAAGGCCGTCTGGGTGGCGCAGCGCTGGAAGTCTTGTTGTACTTACGTACCTAGGTAGGCAGCTGCCAATATTGCTGGTGCTCCGCTATCTCTCCTTTTATCCCCCAACTCAACCCTTTCTATTCTCTGAGCGAGCGTCAGCGAGTGATCATAGCGGAGCGTCACCACTTATTAACGGCGGTCCTCCTCCTACCCCCCAGCCCCTACCATTCTCTGAGCAAGACTGCAGAGCGTTACCACTTAACGGCAAACAACTTGACAATGGAAAACCGAGAAGATATTCAAGGTGCGTGTGGTTGACCTTTGTCTGGTATGTCGGCTGTGTCTAATGTTATCTGAGCTTAGCGGTCATTTTCTGATAACTTCTTCTCAGATCGGACACTTGCGAAGTTCAGGATTGTACCTTCTATCGTCGTATATTGATTGGCGTAAACCAAACATATCGAGGTTGCATGTATACCTAGGTATTCTTGTTCTGTCTCAGGTTGTCATCTCTCTCGCTTCTATCTGTAGTCAACTCATTTGATTCCACCCTACTTGCAAATTCTGGAACACTATGGATCCTGGCACATATATACCTTCCATACCGTACGTTAGTGGGTACTAGAGATAGTCACTATAACGTTCATTTACCTATTTAACTATTATCCCTCTAAGACTAACTTTAAATACACTTAATATAAATAGTAGCCTTATAGTATAGGCAATTGTTTAGCCTTTTAGTAATTTCTTTATAGCTAAATGGACTTATAAAAGAGAGGGTCGTTAAGAGAAGAAGTAGCTATAGAGAGAAGAAGTAGTTATAGAGAAGCCTTTATACCTTCCCCTATATAAAAAGAGGAGGAGTACTTCTTCCCCTTCCTTCCTTCTTTCCTTCCTTCCTTCCTTTAACACTAAGTCCTCCACCATCACTAAGTCCTCTACCTTCTACTATCAAACCAATTAGTTAGTCAGACCAACCTAAAGACTTAAAAGTAGACCTAATAGAAGCTAAAAACTTAAAAAAGACCTAATAGAAAGGGAAAGGAAGGGAATCTCTCTTAGCTAGCTAATATACCTAAGTAAAAGATCTACCCTTAGTAAATAAGGAGAGAGACATTTAGAAGGAAGTAGCCTCCTATATAAGTCTATTTCCACACTTATAACCTCTTTTTCTCTATAACTATTTCTAACCTTTAAAATAATCTTAGAATTTAGAAAGGATTATTTAAGCTTAATAATATATACTATTATAATTATTAGATTAAGATAAACATTATAATAATAGCCTTAAAGGAAGAGAAGTAGTATAGTAGTTAAGAGGTAGTTAAAGGTATATAGGTAGTTATAGTAACCATCTCTAGTACGCACCAACACACGGTATGGTTGGACGGTGATTCTGATCAGCACTTTTTAATTTAGGGCAGGTGGTGCTTGCTATGGTCATGATTCGGCCCAAACACTTGTATTCGAGCATCACCAAATGGAAGCTGTGTTTCGTCTTTGTCCTCGGAAGCCTGTGGGTAAATGGTCAATACTGTCTAGACTTCTCAGGCATGCATGAGGCCCCCACATACATTCACTAATGCCGTATCTGGTGCTGGGGTCGCTGCATGTGGGCTCCCAGGGTTCATCAATGTTGGCATCGTCTATAGCCCTGACCAGTTGAATGTCAACACTCAAGTGCTGTCATTCAATTGCATCCCCATTAGTGTCCAGAAGGACTACGGAAGCAGATTGTCAAGGTACCCGGCGTTGCTGACCACGGGCTGTCGAGATGTCATCTCCCCGGTATTGGTTTTGGTCACAGTACAGTCCGCGATCTGCATCGCCTGCTGCTGCGCGTCAGTGTACAGACATTTTTCTCCCTACATGCTTTGGAACAATATTGGACTCTTGCCTTCGGGATCTATGCGCGGTCCAAGGTTTAAGTACTGGCAGAGAAAGTCAAAACCCAGGCTTACGGCCTGAGCCGTGGCAACTTGCATCCCTTGGTTCGTTTCCTTGAGTGGAAGGCCACTATCCTGTTCGCTCGCCCTTTGGTCTCTACACAGGCCTACAGGGTGGTGGGCCTTGATGCTCGCAGAGCATAAATGACGCCTGACTAGCAGGAGAGCCGCCTCAAGGCCGCGGCCACCTCATGTGTGGGATAAAGGAGGGCATTCAATGCAACAAGGATATCGAAATCATTCATTAATTATCTGAGCCTGTTGATACTCAGTCGGGTGTCTCTGGCTTAGTACAAGCCTCTCTATATAAAAGCACGACCAACGCCCGTATAATACAGAATATTCACCTTCAAAACAATCCTTACTGTCTATAATTAGGCCACCGCCATGTCTACCTTCTTGCCCTTCACGCTTCTCCACTCCATGAATGCACTCCCTACTATCGAAAACGCCGCCAGCGCAGCACTGACTAGGAATGTCTGCATCAGCGCGTCGTTATAAGCGAGCGTGACACCGTCCAGAAACTCAGACGGAATGACCTTTTGTATGCTTGTGGCGCCGGCAGCGAGGACCACAGAAGGATCGAGACCGGGGGCATATTCGCCAACATACTCAACGAGTTTGTTGCTGAAGACGTTTTGCGACACGGAGACAAAAAGACTACCTCCGAGCGTCTGTGTGAACACAACGACGGCTGTGCCGGTGGGAAGGTCCTTGTCGCTCAAGACTGCCTGCACAGCCATAAGGGGCTGCTGCATGCCAAATCCAACGCCGGCTCCAGCAAGGATCTGATAGCCGATCCAGACACCGGCGCCAGTGTCCGGCTGGAAGGTCGAGACAAGCCCATACCCAATGCTCATAAGCACGGTGCTTAACAGCATGAACGGGGTGTAATACCCCACCAACGAGACCACAATGCCTGCAGTGAGACTAAAGAGGACAACCGAGATCAGCATGGGCAGGTTCATGATGCCACTGTTGACTGCGCTGGACCCCTTGACTGCCTGAAACCAGAGCGGGAGAAAGTAGATGCCCGAGAAGAACGCGGCTCCGGTGGCAGCCGCGAACAGGGCGCCGGACCAGACGCTTCGCATCTTTACGACCCGCGGTGGAACAGTAGCGTTCTCCTGCTGCCTCCACTGGATGAAGAGGAACGCGGAAATCAGCACGCCGAAGACGACAAACAGGGCGATGATGCGCCCGTTGCCCCAGGCGTACGTGGTACCGCCCCACTGCAGGGCGAGGAGCAGGCACACGATGGCGGGCATGAACACGATGGTCCCGATCGGATCGAACTCGTTCAGGATCTCCCGCCGGGTCTTGTTCTTGTTCGCTGCTGCGCCTGCTCCGGATGACGACGAGGCGCCCTTGGGCGGCTGGAAGAAGAAGGCGACTACCAAGACGGTGATGGCTCCGATGGGGAGGTTGATGTAGAAGCACCACCTCCACGTGGCCTTGTCGGTGAATGCGCCTCCCAGGAGGGGTCCTGCGACCGAGGCGATACCGTACATGGAGGTGATGCCGCCGGAATAGGCCGGGCGGCTCCGCAGGGGCACGGTGAATGCCAGGATGATCAGGGCCCCGGACAGGATTCCTGCCGAGCCTGCGCCGGCGATGGCCCGGCCGATGATCAGGGCCGTGCTGTTGGGCGCAACGCCGCAGATCAAGGAGCCCAGCTCGAAGAGGCCGATGGCGCTCAGGAAGACCCATTTGATGTTGAGGTACGAGTAGAACTTGCCGAACAGGAGCTGCAGGGCGGCCGTGGTCAGAAGGTAGGCAGAGCCGTACCAGCCGACGGCGTCCAGGCTGTGGAACTCGTCTGTGATCTTTGGGATGGCCGTGGCGATGATGGAGTTGTCCAGGGCCATGAGAAAGACGGCGAGACACAAGGCGACGGTGATCAGGGCCAGCTTGGCGCCGCCCGGGTATTCTGAGCCGTCCTGGCGGGTCTCTTGACGCCGCAGTTCGGACGCCGCCGTGGCCACTCTCGACAGGGTGTGGACTAGGTCCCCGGCGGGTTCTGATGGCTCTTGATTGCCAGCCTTTTCCTCCTTGACGTCGACGTCGACATGGTGGTATGCGTCAGAGGATGAACGTGACTGTGGGATCTGTGCCTGTTCCTTCTCCATGTCGGTGCTGGCGATGCTTGAGGTGGTGGATGTCTGAGGGATAGCGTCCGCCGAGGACGGTGAGAGGGCCCCTTGGGCCATTTTAGTCGATTGAAATGGTGTCCCCGGAAATATCTGTCTTAGTTTGCTTTTGTGGAATGTTGAGTCACTGGTCTGTTGACTAGGGGACTAGTAATGACCTCAGGGGGAAGATCGCGGCGGCAGCAGATTCTAGTTAAGGATGAAGGGCTGGATGTTGGATGATGGGGACATTTCCGTACGCAAGTCAAGGCCATGTTGTTCAATTATATTATATTCACTGTGATACTGTCATAGCTGTCGTCTTACAAAGTCTTCCAGTCATCACCGTGCACACATAATGATGTGACAGCTAATGTCGCCGGTGGGAATTGATGCCGCTCGGAGTTGGCGACACGGCTTTTGGAGTGAGTAACCTTCCGCCCATGGCGCTTCTCACGCTCGGGCTGCGGATTACACCACAGCTTGCCTGTGCGAAGAGTCGAGCCGCTGCTTATTTGTTTGGCGAGCGGGCTGCCATCAGCCTTCTGAGCGGGGCCTTGCCGTAAAGGGCCTGGGGCGGCAAGGGCTCGGCACGATCCAGATGTCCTATTTGCTTATGCGCCGGCGGGAATCGGGGGTCGGACAGATTGGAGACCGGTTGGGGGCCCCCGGCGTGCGCCCCAACCAGAAAGACGGCACAGTCCAGACCGGGGTTAAGCTGTTTTAAGGGAGATACCGCCTGTAAGCGGTGGTGTGTCATCCGGAAAGATACACATCATTTCCCATGAGTTGTGCTGGAGCGGACAAGACGACGAGACCGAGATGCCTAGTGCCTAAAGATGACCACCCCATAGTCATATATCCTATTATTCATTCACATTGGAATCACATTGGAACGGTGAATGGCCAAAGATCAGACCGTGGACTCCACTGCTGCCGGTGTACTACTACTACGTATGAGCAGCAGTCCGTGGTACTCCGTACTCTCAGACTTCTCGCGGTGCGGCCCAACACAACAGGCGTGGCTTGCCCCGGTCATTAGGACTGTCCGACTACCGTTGTACGGCCGGCCTGCCATCGTCGGCCCGCCACAGATGATGTAAGCTGATTTTCTTTTTCTCACACCCCGGATGGATTACCCCAATGGGCTCTCTTGAACTCGCTTAGAAGAGCCACAGGAACCCGTGTTGCACAGTCATCATCCAAGATTCAATATGAATCATATCGTGTAACTTCCAAGTTTGATAGTGGACGAACCAGCCCTGGAGCCCGGTCACTTTTATCCCTGCATCTGGATCTTGTATAAGGACCGTATGTTTTAAGAATGAGACTACCTAAACCCCCATTACTCGGCCTTGCGAATCGTCCGCTCCAATCCAGGGCTTTCGGTTTCAAGGTGGCAAAATGAAAATCTTGCTTGCTTCAGGCAGACGCATGATTGGTCCCGTGGCATTATCACAAGCATCGTGGCGGCTGATATAGGTACTCAGCCCAAGAGGAGAGTGCCCCCGACTGCGAGGGAGGGGAGGGCAGCGGGCAGCGTCGTCGAATTAAGCTATGTGGAGAAACGGCAGCGATCTCGGGATTGACATCCGACTCAGTCGTGCTGTATTCGACCTATCCGCCTCCCGCCTCCCCCCTGCCCCCCACATGTTGAGACGATGATGGCAGAGCCGGCCCGGTTGGACCAATATTTTAGTCCTAGTCACTATCTCCGGCACCGGGGCCGGCCTAAGCTTCACAAGTGAACTTAGTCGGGCAGAGGCGATGCACGCATTGTTCTGTCAACATTGAATCTATTGTCTCTCATTCTGACCCTAAACCTTAAATCAACCGACCAGCTGTCGGCTACACTCGCAGCATTTGAGAGCTGGTGCAACCGACTCAACTTCTATATCGCCGCGCCTTACAGCAACGTGAAACATGCCGTTCGGCCTATCGGCATGGGGCATTGTGGCCCTAGCTGTTGCTGCGGTGATCATTGTCGTACAACGCACTAGGAGGCCCCAGGGGCATGGCAAATACGTGAGTAGTGAGAAGTCGGCTTCTATCCGTTGTACTTTTGGTATCTGCTTTGCCACTCACAGCCACTTAGCCCGTAGATACTGCCAACTCAAGCGAAAAGGACGCGCTAGCAGCATGTCCGATGAGCTCTGTCGAACCCCTAACAACTTTCGATTGGAAAGCGACCAAGCCACTGTCCTTGCGTCCGTTCAAACCAGTCTATCACATTACCATGGCAGTCCAGAATTCCAAGCCCGCTGATCTGATTGTTATGGACCACAACTACAAGGACCGAGTCCTAGAGAGACGGCAACTCATGGCCCAACAACTGAACATCGTTTTGGGCGCCATTCCAAGTGGAAAAGCAGCCGTCGAGGAGCTCTACTCGTTCCTCCTGTCAGACTATCTGCCTCGGAGGTTCCCAACCATGTTTTCTCTCTCCGAAGATGGACAGACATTTTTCAACAGAACCACTGGTGCTGCATCCCCTACCACTCCACCCGAGGATTCAACAGAGTCTCTCAGAATACTCGGAGAGACTGTGGAGGATGACATGTTCCTGCTCCATGAAACCGATCAGGGTCACCGCAGCGTGGCGTATGTCTGCTGCTATTGCTCTGGGTTCGATCCGTCGCAAAAGCTGGACAAGTTGCTCTTTGAAATCCACAAGCCTGTCCCCAGCTATGAAAAGATCGGGCCAAGCATGGAGAGGTATTTTAAGAAATTAGAAGTCGGTAAGAATGTAAAGCGTGTGAATGTAAGTGACTGCCAATGCTTTGGCATTGAGCACAACCACCTGTGGCATGACGTGTAGACTGACAGCTGGTTCACGATAGTGGTCTGTTGTGGATTCGCCTATCCTATTCAACTGCAAAAGCAATCACGTGCTTGAAGAAGACCTTGACCATATCATCAAGGACGAAGACATTGATCTCAGCCAGGCAAGTTCGGTTGTATAATTAACGCTAGAAGATAGCTGACTGATTGTGGTACAGGCGCGGGTACGGTGTGAATTGCAGACGCTGAGTCGGCTCCCCAAGACCAAGGCCATTTTGTTTTCTTTCAAGACACACCTCTACACGCTAGAAGAGATTAAGTCAGAAGGGCTCGGTCCACCACTTGCAGAAGCCATTGAGGGTCTTGGAAAGGGCAATGCTCCCGGGATGTGGCAATACAAGGGCGCGCTCCGTTTGGGCAAAAAGGTGAATGAGTACCTGCGATCGTGAGGTAATAATAGTAAGTGGGTAGGCGGTGGCACTCTCGATGTTCAAGTTGGTTTGGGATAATCGTTCAGGATATCCTGTCAGTGGGGGCGTTTCGGACAACCAAGGCTGTTCTCTAAGAGTGCATTCACGCCTCCCCCCATCCAACTCGAATTGATCGCATCATCCACACTCGTGCGATAGACCATAAGTTAGGAAGATCTACAAATCACCCGCCTCCTGGTTACACACTGCTGTTGCCGGAGATAGTCGCTCCTCTGGCACTTGGCTCACCAAAAAAAAAAAGTGCAAAGTAATTATCAGAAAAATACTCAAGCAAAATCAGGCTATGTGCAGATATATATATAATGAGCCGGGAGTGCCGATATTGCCTTTGTTCCTCGCCTTGATTGCAAGCATCGTGGACCCGCCAGAGCCCCTCAGCTTGGGTGTTCATTGGTGGGCCTGATGCTTGCTGCTTGACTTGGGGTAGTATTCTTGGCGGGGTCAGCTTCATGCACTTTTGTTGTTGACTTCCAACACCGCCTCGTTGCCGAGTGCCCACCCCCAACATCACTCCATCCGTACATGTATCTATTGTCTGCTGTCAATGCTATCCGAACCCACCAACATCTCGACCTTCTCTCCAAGCCGTTTTTATACGGGTGCATTACCGAACTATCACCATGGGTCGTGTAAAAACTGGTAAAGCACACGCACACCCGGTAAACATCACTGCCGGCCTCTCGGTACGCGCGCGACGCAAAGCCGGAAACGCCAGAGCGGCGTATCAAAAACGCATCAGAGAGGTTCTCAAGGGCATAGGTAACCTGCCTATAGATCCTCTGGAGCGTCTGGATGTCCTGATACCCCGTGCTGGACTTGCTCGCACCAGCTGGCCCATGTGGGTCTCGTCACCCGAAAGGGCTCATGTGCTGTGTCAAGCCTTGCAAAAACAGGGCCCAAACGCCCGCGACGTTACCCCCGTGCTCATGGACTTGCTGGACCATGTTGAGCGACACTTTATTGTACCAGTTCCGGACCTGCAGCTGGAATGTGGTCCACAGACGCCCTGTCACGGCTGCTCCAACCCACCGCTGGGAGCGCGGTGCTGGGAGCACATCATCAAAGTCTCCAGCCTGCCCAGCGACATGCCAGCTATTATCGTCAGAGATCTTGTGGAATCACTTGATGCGGCTCATGTCCGCTTCATCAGGAAGCGTCACAGACGCATCGCGAAAAAAAGGGCCAGGGCTAATGTCGGCAATGGATCAGCTGTTGCTGCTGCATTGGATCAGTCCGCGGAACAGATGATGCCTAAGTCGCCGTTTGCAAAGAAGCTGGTCAGGGTACATGCTCTTCTTCATTCACCTTGGGCTGAGCCTCGGCCACATAAGCTCATTGAGGGGAATGGTGACGGCAACGAGGAGGCGGATATGCACCAAGACGAGGATCAGGGGATGGAGATAGATGAAGACGAGGAAGGTTACGACCTGAGAGGCGACGATGACGACAAGAATTCCTCGGAAAATGGTTCTTTTACGTTTCAAGGCGACTGGGAGGACGATGAACGCGACCTGGGCGACCATGATTTACTTGGCGCTTCTGCGAGACCCATCGCCGACTTCTCGCCCAAGTCCAAGGCCCGCCAGCCATTTGGGGATCTTGCTCAACTGCTTTCTAGTGCACCATCTGCCGGCGAAAAGATCGACGTCTCGCAGGTCGACTTTCAGGGCCCAACCTCACGCCTCGCGTTCGGCCCACCCGCCCAGTAGGAACGAACTGCCAGACAGGCGAAACAAGCATGATAAACAGCTGGGGCAGCAGTATGGGAGCCACGGAACCTGAGGATAAGCTCTGCCGGTCTTGTCTGTCATGGCAAAGGTACTACCTAAGCCCAGGTGGACAGTAGCACCAGTTGAAAGTTACCGAGACGAGAAGAGACTGTTCCTGAAACAGCTGACAAAGCCTGCATCTCTTGATGCCCCCGGCAAGAGGGTTAATTATTCGGCCAAGATATTGCTGTATATGGAGAGAGTGGTGGGGCAACGAGTGGCTGAGACAAAGAGCCAGCTGCCAGATTCCATCCTTTGCATCTGGGGTGGCCTTCCGGCTACCAGAAAACGAACAACAGGTGATCATTTGTCCTGTAACACCGCAGTGGCACCCGCATGAAGCCTGTGTCAATGATTGCGTTATGTTCATAAGGTTCCGAGTCTCCCATATCAAGTCAACAGCTCCTTGTCCAAGTCCCGAAGTTGCTTTTGAAGACCACCTCACTCTGCGAAGGAAGAACACAAGGCCCCAGGACAAGAATGGCCCCTACTTGATTGCGTACCGACGTTCATGGGAATCCGAAAGGCTCATTCTCTGAACCCGGCGGGGCCGTACCAAATTCGAAGAAGCCCTGGGGCCCAAAAGCCAAGCCAGGACTCTGGATGGCACCCTGCATCGACTGCATCCCGACCGAGCCCCCCACATCACCAAGGCCCGATGGAACGGGTCCCTGGAAAGACGAGGCGTTCGGGTCAGCATACAACCCAAATGCAATGCCAGATGTATCCTCCGGCCCCGAATCCTCGGCCATGCTGCCAGGGCCCCCCTTGGCGAGACCGCTACCTGCACTACTGCCTTGTCTCTCTGCCATGCTCGAACCACTCTCGCCGAGTAGTGAAGCAGCCGACTTTTCCAGCCCATCGGCCATGATGTGAGCTATGTGCCACTTGCCTGCCTGGATCGATCTAAACTGTGCGACGAGCCTGCTTGCCAGGTCACCGACGTGGCCGCCGTCCACCAGCCCGTCCTGCCGCTTGGCAGCTTGTTTCAGAAGGAACACACAGGCGAAGCATACCATTGCGTGCACAAAGGTGGGCATGCCCCGGAGGCTGGCCGCAATGTCTGGGTCCTGCAGGACAAGCTCGATCATGTTGGTCGCCGCCGCAATAGCACCCGAGGCAGCCTCGCGCAGCGGGATGGGGACAGCATCCTTGCTCGCGAGCCCTCGGAAGACGTGGCTGAAGAGGTAGAGCTTCGAGAATTGGTAGTAAATTAGGGCATTCTTGACTGGAAATTCGCCGATCGTCGAGGAGCAGCCTATGAGTGGATAGCGATGGGATTAGATTATGGGCCGACTCTTCAAGTCGTAGGGGGAGGGAGATACTGACTCTTCAGTGTTGTCGACCACACACCTACCCAATGATCCAGCTGACGGCTGTAGTGCGCAATCTGCATTGAAAAAGCAGGCGGAATCATGACCCCGTTGTCCGGTCCGAAAAGTTCGTGGACGCTTGTGAGAATCAGATGCAAGGAGACCTGGCTCATTAGTCTCTTGTCATGATCCGTGGAGGATGGCGTCTTGAGAAACTCCTCCCAGCCCTGAGTGCTGGCGTCTTCGCACACAAGAGTCTGCCTACTATAGAGAGTGGACAGGTTCCTATCACATATGAAAAGATTGTACCACAGCCTGAGGCAGTCAGCCGCATCCTCGCTGCCCTCCATGAGTACCCTCTGATAATTACCGCTCAGGTTGATCTCGGTCGCCCGGCGAATCGCCATGCCGGAAAGGGTCCAGCTGATATCGCTCAGCCAGTACGAGGCCACACAGAGGGCTCTGAGGTGGTCACGGTTAACCCTCCTGTCGAATATACTTGCCGAGATCAGGCGCCGTAACTCTCTGTTGCAGACCGGGTAAATTTGATTCGACGAGGAATCATGCAATGCGGCCACGGTCAGGATGCTCGCGGTCAAAATGGCGCTCCGCGCCCTCAGCGCGTCTAGCGTCCGCCAGCGGCCACCGATCCTGTATGCGAAGTAGTCAAGCCGCTCGATGTAAAGATCAAAGAGCCGCTGTGCGTCCACCAGGGAGATCTGCCCCGCGGCGATAAAGTCCCGTAGGGCCCCGCCCCCGGAGTGGAGACTCTGGGCGTCCTCGCCCGAGTCATGAGAGGGGAGGGGCGGACGGCTTCCTTGTGGGTTTATTGATGAGATAGAGGGTGGGAAGAAGCCCGCGTGATGCGTGGTGACGTCGGTCATGCCTTCATCCAGGATGTTCATCATGGTTGGCGAGTTGTTGTCTCCTGGTGACACGCCGCCGCTATCTTCGTGCTGTTCCTGCACGCCCGGGTCCATTGTGTCGGGACCCGGCCGGTCAGAGGAGCTGCGGAGTCCGGTAAGGGGAGGAAGAGCAGACCGTTCCCTCAGCTCTTGAACACCCGTGTATATGAGCTCCAGGTCGCCGACAACGTCTTGGTGCCACCTACCACGACTGTCAGACATCCGCTGGCACTGGGAGAGGTCACGCAACAGCTGGCGAGCATGTCCTCGAAAACAATGTAACGGGGCCAAGAGATGATAACAACAATGGAAGGGGGGAAACCTTACTGAGACCTCTCATCCATGAGCATCTGTAAACTCTTGTTTAGGACACAAGAGAGATTCCTTTGTTTGCACCGCACACATGGAGGCTTGCCATCCTCCATGTGACATCTGATCTACATAGCGAGGTCAGGCACAACTGTGAGTTCCCGGCAAAAGCTTTCGGGAGCGGTGGAGTTCCGGCGCCGAAAAAGGAGGAAGGAAAGAAAGACTATGGTAGTGACAGGTGACGGGAGGACGGGAGGCCCCCTACCTTCTGCTTACGACATGCTGCACAGGCCTTCACTTTCCGCGATATCTCCACAGATGCCAGGGAAGGGTTCCGCTGAGGCTGCTGGAAGGGCGGCACATCGCCACGTGGTGTGGAAACGGACTGGAAGAGGGACGGGTGACTGGTGCGCCTAGGAGTTTCCCCGGTCTGGGCCTGGGTCAGGCCGGCCGAGGAAGAACCCGGTGGCAGATCATAGCCGCGGCGCCTGCTCTAGATCGTTGGTAGGGCTCAGGGTCAGCATCACTGTGGCACCTGCCAGCGACCGGCGGCCACGAACCAGGACATGGCTGGCGAGGTGGTGTTGCCGCATAGGGACGGGGCAAGGAGGGTCCAATATCTGAAATAGGCAAGGGATGCCCAAGTGGGTGGTGGATGGGGATAGTGGGAGGGGCCCGACCTACCGTAAGGGGAGGGCTAGCCATGTCCTGCGACAGGGAGTCGGTTACTTCGTGCCAGGATCTCTTGGCCATGAGCCGGACGGTACCGTACTGGGTACAACAAAAGATTGGCCTCGTGTGTCAGCTATTCGCGGGCCCGACGAGGCTCGGAGTCGAATCAGGGGAAACAGACTGCGGCGACGACCTTCTCGCGCGGGCAGATGCATAGTCGCTCAGAGAGTTGGGCGGGATGAAATTGTGGAGAATACTTAGCCGGAACCAGGGGCGGGGGGGCAAGACAGTCTGGGGATGCTCGGGCAGAATGGTATGTCAGGACTTTAGAGTTTCCCGGTACGCGCATCATGTTTCTCTGATCCGGTGCCGGGGTGTGGCTCGCCCTGGTGGAGAGAGGGCAGGCGAGCATGGGATGGGATGTGAGGGGTGTTGGGCGCCGGGCAGGCTATTCCGCCCTCTCCCTCCCTCGAGGTCTCTGCGTAAGGTGCCAATCAATGCCCAGGTCAAAGTCTTGACCAGGACTTGGGTGCCAGGCCGAGGGCCAAAAAATAAGGTTTGCTCCCACGTCCAGGCATCGCGTGATAGGCCGGCCCAGGCCAAAAATCGTACCATGTCTCCCGATGGGGTAGGCCAACCACCAAAGAGAGTATCAGTCCTGAAGGCTGATATAATTCGCGATAGTCGGCACCCCACGACGGCTAGCGAACCTGGGCTTGCATCGAGATTCCTGGCGTTCTAGAAGCAGTCTGAGCTGCATTCTGTGCATGCACGATGCTGACTCGTAGATGTGACGGCTCCATACCGTGCTGTGGTAGCACGCTCCAGGGTACGTTAGTGTCGTGGTGTAGATCGACACTAATAATCCCCCGACGGACGCTTCTGTCCCTTCCACGGTTGGCCGCCGGGAATGAGTGGTGGTACTTCTGCTGCGCCGTGTGAGAGGCCGAGGCGGAGGGCCAAGCATTGGATCTCAGAGTGCGGAGGTTGAAACTCTGAAAGGCATGTCATAGATGTTGGTGTGATTCGTCCAGCAACGAGGGCCCGTGGTGAGACGAGCGCTGGGCCGCCGGCCGGTGCAACGGGCTCGTATAACGCAGTGTTGACGAAGATACCACCAATTGACACCAGAACGACCAATCCCAACTCCCAGAGACCAAATTCTCGTAGAATCCGTTCAACGTCACATCGACTGTTCCTTGAACACACGCCCGTTGTTCATCTCGTGCCTCCCCCTCCCCGTTCCTCCTCTCGTGCTCTACAGAACTCTTCTCGCCCACATGTGCAGTCTTGTTGCATTTTAGACACCCAAAAGGCACATGACGGTGAAAGCACGCGTCAACATATGTACAGATATGCTCTGCTCTGGAGCCGAGGCCGGAAACACGTGCTCGAGTCATGACGCCATGGTTCAGATGAAGTCTAAACATGATGCCCACTATCCCGGGCGGTACAAGATGTGTCCGACCCTACCAGGCTATGATAGGTAGACCAGTCAGCTCCAGTGAGACCACCATAAGTGACAGCGGTGGTCGAGACCAGGGGCTCCCACAGTTCGTCAGGATGGGTGGTTGCATTGCATCGGGACGGATATGTTAGCATGACTTATTAGTAGGGTCAAACGACCGGTTAAGGTCGAGCCTCGCGTCTACATATGTATCTCATCACTCCAAGCGACGGAACATGTAGCTTGATTGGATGATGTTTCCATGCCTGTACAAACATCTGGAGACGATGGCCCCAATCACCCTGTCACCATACAACGCGTCATCGGATTGGCTGGTAGTGCCCAGCGTATACTTGCGACACAGGAAGCAGCTATCCGGTTGCAAGGGTCACGGGCTCAAGGATTTGAAACTGGCATCATTAAATCTTCGTTTGTTAAAAGTAAAGCTTCCAGAAGTTCCGCTGGACGGGCCACGTGCTGGCACCGATCCAGGCGCACGGGCGATGATCACTCCCTTCATATTCAATGCTGAATCCGTCAGAGCCTCAGATTCCAAAACGGTTCGGCGTGTAGGTAATATTTGCCCTTGACGCGAGGGCACGGGGAAACTTCCACAGCCCTCGCAGTTTGATATCCGACGAGTGTCCATGTCTTGTAGCAGCAGCTTGGGAGCAGCTTGGTTGTGTGCACGGCACCGTGGTGTGCTGAATCCATTGCAAGCCCGCCGTGGAGGTTTGGCGGAACCAGGTGAGCGTTCAACAGTTGAACGGTTCCAAGGTTGTGCGCGGAGATGCAGGATTCTAGAAACACCAAATCGCATGATTCCGCGTAACAAGGTCACAACGCCTTCCGAGTTTGGCCTAATTGCCTGCTTAGCTTCGGGCACCAGTGCTGCTGCAAGATTGGCGGTTCAAGGATGGGCGGTGCTTTAATTTGCTTGGTTATCGCTACCGCGGTAAATGCAGACGTAAAGATGAAGAGGATTTTACAAGCATGTCTTGAAACCGTCTAACTCATCAACAGGGTGACTGGAGGGCTCATCCCGGGTACCTGACCAGTACGGCAATCAGCTCGTGTTGAGCTAAAACATCAGAAGCCCGAGACAAAGCGGCTTGGCAAAGGTCTGCAAACAAAAGCGGACTGGTGGCCTCGATATCAACTGGTTCTCTGGTCTAAGTAAGACCCCAGATGTTCATGGACCTTAGGAATCATGCATAAGATATCACACGGCAGTCTTCATAGAGTCCATCATGCCCGTTTGAGGGGGGGGGGAGGGCGGCAGTGCTATGATACCGGTAACAATCTCAAAACATGGGCCATGTAGTGTACTCACTGCTTCAAAGGCATGGTATTCGGGTGACTATCTCCTTGCCGCTTGATGGCGGTAGACTCTTGTGCCGAGGCTTCTCGCGACAGTGATTACTCACAAGGCAAGATTGTGGCGAGATAATACAACATTCCCATTCCAGAATATGGCACGTCCGCTGAGCAAAACCCCTCATCCAGATAGGACGGGAGGGCTGAATATGTCTGACCATTGCTTAACGTCGTAAACATCTCACATTCATAATCAGAGCCTTGAGTACCAGTGACAACAATCATTCCTTCTATACTGACAAGCCAGGTTGCAAACGTAAACTCATGTAAACAAACCGACCGGAATATCACTGCTTCAAATTTTGTGAATGAATCGCGCCATGCATTGAAAGCATCCTCGTGATGATTGCTTGTCGATCCTCCATGACGCGATAAAGTCAGCGAACCAGCCCTGGAGGGCTTAGCGGAAACCAAGGCCGTCCCGACGCCTGTCGAAGTGTATCCATAAGCGAGCAATTGCCTGGGGTTGATTTGCCAGTGATCCATCTTGTCCATGTTATTGGAGGACACACCTTCTCATAAGCTCCAGTGTTAGGTTCGATACTGGATGTGAGAGAGCCCAGAGTCCTGCGACGGGTTTGACGAGAGCGATCGTGGGAGAGTTGTCCCCGCGTGTGGTCACAGTTCTCCCCCTGGCCACCTTTCAGCCTATCATGAAGTATGCGCAGGTGCCATTCAGCCTGATAGTGCTTTGGCACCTCCTGGGGTACTCCGTAGTTCATGCTGAGCGCTGATCCCCCTTCAATCTTTTTGCCGTGTCCAATCCACGATCGTTTGACGGCAACGATAAAATTGCGAACGTGCAGAGATGGACGGCAACCCGGTGCTTCCGTCGCATAATTCCCACGCGTGATTCGAGACGGCTTTCGATCCATCCACCACAGTTCCCCAAGCCTTGGACACATGTGCATCCAGTTGCCGGCCCCAAGAAGGGAGTGACCCGAATCACGTTGCCCTCCATCGAGTTTACCCAATCGAATTCGGCCCCAGGCCACCACGGGCCGTGGACTGCACTGGTCGATGCGTGGTCCATTGGGGGCGCGCGAGTAAGTGCCCAGGTGGTGGTTAGATGCGGCGTTCCAAATGGCCGACCCATATGTGACTGACTGGCCCTGGATGCAGTGATTGTTGATCAACATTCGGAAGCCACGGTCCTCTATACGTCGAAATGCTTGTCTGAAACCTGAAAGCCCTCATACTCTTCAATGATGGGCCGGTCTAATGGCCCTTGATCGTAGTAGTCCCTCCAATCGAGTCCGAAGACAGCAAACGAGGCGGCGGCTAGCCCAATGATAGCCCCTGCTGCAATTATGGCGGTAGTCGCATCGCCAGTGATTCGTAGAGATACGAAAAGTCTCGTCGTTTCAACTATACTGGACCATTGTGGTGGTGTCGTCGTCGAGGTGGGCATAGATGTCGGCATCGCCAGTACACCAGCTACCTGGAGAGCGAGAAGAACGACCGCAATGCGATGGCAGCTCAAGAACACGCGCTCCATTGGCTCCATTGGATATAACTCGATCTCTTTGGTGCACTTGGTGATAAATGATCTGATTAGACCAGGCTGGTGTTGCTCGGGCGTTTGAATGCCAGGGTGAGCTGGTCGTTGATGCAATTCTGCACGCAAAATAACTCCAATGTTCTAGGCCGATATCGAGGTCTCGAGGCTCCGAATGTCGGCTAAGCACAAATGGGCACCGGGAGATGCCTCTTATGAGACCCAGCCCATGTGCACACCTCAGCTCACTGCCTGGCGGTCCTTGGCCCGGCGTGTGACAGCGGGCTCACAAGCCACCTGCTTAGGAACTAGAAGGATTGACGTGTCGTCATAAGGTGAGTGCTTAGCTGTGTACAGCCATTGAGGATGGTCAGAATTGCTCTCGCAGGACCCAGAACCCGGTTCGTACCACCAAAATAGGCCCAAGCCCGCGCCGTGCATCCTCTCAGTGGTCCCAAGTAAGCTCCATTGGGGCTGACGTGTCTGGGGGATCGTCGATCCGGGCCGGAGGACTGCAGACCTTTAGGCATCCTCGACCTGCAAAGTTTCTACTGCGAAGTTCGAGAAGAAATGTGCCAATTCAGCCAGGCCACAGTTGCCTGCTTCTCGCCAAATCATGCGGATCAGGCAGTTCGGGCCAAGTATGGCAATTCACTTGTCGGAGTCGGCCGACGACGCGCACTGTGATCCGGCGCGCCGGAACCGAGGGCCCGCTCGAATCGACTGGTGGAGCGAACCGTTGATCCACCACCGGCCTAGAAAATTCCTACCCTGACTTTGGACTCGGCATGCGATACGCACTGTTACTTGGAACCAGCACGTCGTGGAAGCAATCGCTCAGCGCCCGCGGCAATGCCATCCCCAACTCCTATTCTCTTCCTAGATGGGGGCCTCGGGACGTCGCTCGAGGACAAATACGGTGTCAAGTTTTCCAGCAAAACCACCCCACTGTGGTCCTCGCATCCCATCGTGAGCGACCCGGAGACGCTCCTCGCCTGCCAGAGGGACTTCGGCCAAGTTCCAGTTGATGTGATCGAGACGGCCACCTACCAAGTGTCCCTCGCTGGCTTTGCGGCCACCAAGACGGAAACATGGCCGAACGGCATCGGCGCATCTCATGTGCCTGGCTTCCTCAAGCAGGCAGTCGACATCGCCGACCAGGCCAGGGGCAAGCCGGATGCGAGGCTCGCTCTGAGCCTAGGGCCCTACGGCTCCACTATGGTCCCAGGTCAGGAATATAGCGGGGCGTACGACGATGAGCACAATGACGAGCCACGGCTGGCAGAATGGTGGGCCCATCGGCTATCGCTCTTCAGCGACCCTCAGCTTCTCGATCGGATTGCATACATTGCATGTGAGACTATCCCCAGACTCGACGAGATCGCCGCCGTTCGGAAAGCCGTTGCTGGCTTTGCTTCGAAGCCACTCTGGATAGCCTGCGTCTTCCCCGGCGAGGGGGACGGGTTCCCCGATGGCAGCAGTGTCGAACAGGTCGTGGAGGCCATGCTGTCTCATGACGACAACAAAGCTCAGCCTTGGGGCATAGGCATCAACTGCACCAAGATGCACAAGCTCGAGGGTCTGATCGGAAAATACGAGGCTGCTGTCTCCAAAATGATCCAAGGAGGAAGGATAACCGCCTGGCCGGCACTGGTTCTGTACCCAGACGGAACTAACGGTGAGGTGTACAATACTACGACGCAGAAGTGGGAGGCCCCGGCTGGCCAAGTTGAATCGACAGTAAGCCTATCACCATCGTTTACCCTTTTGTTGCCGCCTCAGCGTAGAGCTGCTGGTTCTGATGTGACGCAGATTCCATGGGAACAGCATCTCGGAGACATTGTGGTCGACACGGCAAGGCGTCAGAGATGGCACAGCATCCTAGTAGGAGGGTGTTGCAAGGCCAGCCACAGCGATGTTGCAAAACTCGTCAAATATGTTGACTCCGCCAACGCATCGTGACTCGACCCGTCAGGCCAGGCACCCGGCCTGCTTCTACGATTGTGAGCGGCTGTGATACAGGGCTGGTTACATATGTATGCGGCCAATGATATGGCATCGGGGGGACTTAAGGGCTTGGGTGCAGCATCTCTATCCTCGAGCCACTCGCGATGAATCTGGCTGCTACAACCCAGACGGGCCCTCGTGCTTTACCCTGCCCACTTGGTCGGGGACAGGGGAGTGGTGAGCATCCACATGCCACGACCGTACATAGCACACCACGGCCCTATGGTCGGTCCCCATCTGTCATCCTAGGCGGTAGAGGCTGCAGTTCCCAACAATGCCGAGGTGCTTAGGCAACGATCGTTGAGCAGATTGATATCACAAAAGTCTCTTACTCTGACATGCCACGACGGCCTCGTAGGTCGACCAGCAAGGAACTGGCAGTGCCCTCATTCAAGACAATAACCACCAGACACAGGCAGGCCGTTGGGCGAATTGGACCTCTTGATGATATTGCCTGTACCTCATTCTGTAGCAACTGCTTCTAGTTCACCCAACGGCCTCTACTGATGCGGTTCACCAGATGCAGTGTTGGCGCGCAGCAAAGTGGGGGTGTCTGGCGGGGGGCGTCTCAATCGGGGTCGACGACTCAGCTCCAGCGTGTTCTCCAACTATGGGAGGCTGGCCAACACGAAAATCGATCCCTATCAAGACTAGAGGAAGAGTTGTGCCCGGCTGCGTCTTACCAAGTTCATGGACTGCAGCGAAATCGGATGATGCCCGCCGCCGCGTCCCCGCAAGACTGCCCAAGACTGCCCAAGACCGATTCACGTACATTCTGAACGACTGCTATCCACATCCGTGTCTTACTGTTCTCGCTCGGCTTACGGTTCTGAAGTTTCTAAGGCACATCATGACGAGCGTTTACACCTTGGGCATTGCCATTTTTGCCGCCATCGGCACATTCCTGTTTGTGCGTCCCCTTACTCCCGAGGTCATACCGGACGAAAACATAGGTATTGAAGTCTCACTGTTCCAGGGCTTTGACACCGGCATAGCAACCACGAGTGAGTCCAAAATCATCGATCGGCGGCCTTTGACATCCTAGATTGACGACAAGACATATAGCAATTGCACACCAAAGCTGGAGAGAATACATGCACCACCCGTCGAATGCCTTGACTGGCGCGGTATGGAGCACCCGCCCCCGCCCAAGAAAGGGCCGGGGGTTCACATCACACCCATACTGACGATTTAAAACAGGTTGTTGCCGTCTACATCGCAGGGGAAGCTGTTGGTGCTCTTACACAGACAGCGGTTGGTGACAAGCTCGGCCGAGTTCGTTTCATGGAGTTTATGTGCGTAGTGGTAACGATAGGCACCATCGTCCAGACTGCGTCTGTGAACATTGGAATGTTCCTGGCAGGTCGCGCCCTGGCAGGCTTCGCGGTCGGGTGAGTCCAACTTCATGCCTGCGTTTCGTGACTAGTACTTACACAGGCCTCAGAGGCCTCGTGGGAACCGTTCCGATATACCTTAGCGAGATATCACCACCTGCGCATCGAGGCCTCATCGGAGGCATATCGGGGTGCGGAATCAGCTTCGGTACAATGATGTCGAACTGGGTGGGGATGGCATGTGGATACGCGCCGTATGGGCCTGTCCAATGGCGTCTTCCGCTCGGGATTCAGATACCCTGGGGTGTGATCCTCATCATCGGCCTGGCTACTTTCATGCCGAATTCTCCGCGCCAATTGATCAGGAATGGAAAGGTTGATGAGGCCCTACAGGAGTTCATCAAGATTCGGCGTGATCTGCAACCTCATGAGGCCCAAGATGAGTTCGTACTCATGCGCTCCCAGATCGAATTTGAAATGGAGAGAGAAATGAAGTCATACAAGGAGATATTCAAATTGTTTAGGCACCGAGCCCTGGCGTAAGTTTCCTAGAGCACTGCTTCGGCTGCATACAATGCTGACAAAGAACCAGATCCATTGCCGTCCAGACAATGACAAGTCTGACGGGGGTTAACGTTATCCAGGCTAGTCTTTCCATACAGTGCCAGTGGGCTCGTTGGTCCAAAGCATAGAAGCTGACTCTTTATCTCGGGCTTTAGTACTACCAGAGTCTGTAGCCATCGCTGTTGGCATCTGGCTGGAGAAGTGCACTGACCGGTGAACCATCTAGCTATCCTATACAAATCTTTGGGCATTGGATCGACTTCCATCCTTGCTCTGGCAGGTGTTTACGGGACCATTGCCTTTGTATCCAATGTCCTTACGACGCTATTCCTGACAGACCAGTGGGGTCGAAGGAAGTAAGCTTATAACGTTATCCCTCGCATACAAAACGTTCTGATGGGCTAACTATTAGTAGAATGATACTGGCCGGTCTGAGTGGCATCATAATCGTTGAGATATACGCCGCTGTGATGCAGAGGGAATTTCAAAACACCAACAACAGGACTGGAAAAGGATTTGCTGTTCTCGGCATATACTTGTTCGTCATTGTTTATTGTCAGTTTATGCATACTCTGGGAGCCCGAGAAACTTACAGGAGCCGAGGCTCCAATCAACCAATGGTTAGCTGACCTCGTCTGCAGACGGCATGCTGAACAGTACGACGTGGCTATATGGAGCTGAGATTTTGCCCATTGCGTTGCGAAGCAAGATAATGGGACTTGCTGCGGCATCTCATTTCATTGTGAATGTGGGAAGTAAGTATAGAAGCTGTACACCGATCCCGAGCTCATTATTGGAGCCTTGTGGGCCGCTCGCTAACGCACCGCTGAATTCTAGTCACCGAGGCAGGCCCTAGTGCCTTTGCAAATATCAAAGAGAATTACTACTATGTCTTTGTCGGCTGCAGCCTCTTCTTCTTGGTTGTTGCATATTTCTACTTCCCGTAAGTGCACTACCCACCCACCCACAGATACTTGAGGCTGAACGAGATATTTTTGCAGTGAAACAAGACGGAAGACACTGGAGGAGATCGCGGCCGCCTTTGGTGATAAGGTTGTGGTTCTTACAGATGCAGAGCGAACATCTCCAAACCAGCCTATTAACGGTGTCCTCAAGAACGATGTCGATGAGGTGGAGGCCGGCTTCACGGGCGCTTCAAACCACAGGGAGTAACGAACGTGTGCTGGCTGCCCAGGTGAAGACAGTACGCAAAAGCCCCTCTGTTTGGTGTGCCGAGTTCAGACTTGCTTGACACATCGCAAGTCAATGGCACAGGAGATGCTACAACTCCGGCACTCTGCCGTTATCGACCAGGGATTGGAGACTGAAGCAATGCCCGCCAAGGAATTGATAATCTCGAGAATGTATGGTCAATAGACTCAGATAGTTCATTCATCTGCATCAAAGCCTGGTGGGATTCTTTATCGCTTTGCTCTCTCGATGCCCACATGCAGCGCCCAAGAAGTACCTGCACTCACATTCCAAGGTTGGCAAGAGAATCAGGTTCAGGGCAGATGTTCTCGTTTCCCTCCTTCTGTGGTCGCGATTGAGCCCCGTCAACTGATGCAACGAGAATGTCTAGCTGGAGCAAACATGCGCGCATGCAGGAGAGGTCGCGGCTAACCTGATCAGCTACTGAATGTCAGTTAAGTGGAGCAGTTCAGGGACACTTCTTACCCCGGTACCGTCACCGGCTTGAGATGACAACATCTCTAGCGCGCCGGATCATGCAGAGTTTATCCGACCGAAATGCGCCTTTCCGAGTTAGGTGTGCACCAGGTACCAACGCGTTAGAAGCCTGGCTGACAGATAATCTCGATAAGCTACTCCGAGGTATGTACAGGAGTTCGGAATTCGGTCTAGCCGCGTCAGCACGCCATTAGCTTACGCCGTTATCAAATCCTACACGTTGGTGGGTCAGTGACAGCTCATTGTACGCCCAACTTGTTGTCTGTGATTGTGGTAGCAGGTCTCTAGTATTTGAGCTTCGGAACCTCGATTGACAATCCGTCAACGTCTGACCGATCTTATGCTGGGCGCAAAAGGGGTACTTGCTTCTGCTGTCTGAGTCTGGGAACAATCACGTTCCATAGATGTTGGTGTTTGTTTCTTCTAACAGCAGCCCATCACAACTCCCCACTGATCCTACCTTTATCTCACGGGCCCAAAATGCCCTTCTCCACCGGGGAGGGCGGCTTGTTCCAGCTCGACCAGGAGAGCTTCGACTTCAACGTGCAATTTGAACAAGTCTTCTTCTCTATAATTCCGTCTGTGTTGTTTATTGCTACGTCGCTGTGGCGAACACTATCACAGGCACGGAAGCCTACAGTTGTGGACGCCCCAATCTTCCAGCTCGTGAAATTGGTAACAAGAATCTCAAGAGCCATTCACATGCGCAAGTGCTAACACAATCGCCCAGTGCACCATCACGACCTATGTTGGCCTCGAGCTCTCCCTCGTCATCTTGGTCGCCGTTGGCTCCTTCCATGTCACCAGCGTCTTTATAGCCTCATCGGTCCTCAAGCTTGTCTCCGCCTTGTTCATGATTACTCTGAGCGTTATTGATCATAGCAAAAGCCCACGGCCGTCTGTCCTCTTGAGCAGCTATTTGTTCCTGACTCTGCTACTCGATGCGACGCAGGCAAGGACATTGTTTCTCTCATCGGACCAGAAGCCTGAGGTTACCTACAGCAGTATATTCTGCGCTGCAATTGCTCTGAAAGCCGGCATATTGCTGTTAGAGGCGCAAAGAAAATCCAAATGGGTCAGGTGGCAGGATGAGAAGGAGCATAGCCCCGAGGAGACCAGCGGCATTTTCTCCCTGGGTATCTTTTCTTGGCTCAACACGCTATTCCTTGACGGCTACAGAAAGATCCTCACTGTCAATGACCTCTACCCCCTCGATAGTACCTTAAACGGCAAGGTTCTGCATGAAGAATTTTCGAAGAAAGTGGATTACTCTAAGCTTAAGGGCGACAAATTTGGCCTGGCGAAAGTTATAATGCGCACATTAACAGTGCCCCTGCTGCTTCCAGTTCCTCCTCGCCTGGCCCTTCTAGGGTTCACATTCTGCCAGCCGTTTTTTATTGAGAAGCTCCTTGAGCATCTTTCTCGGCCGCGCGTCGACAACAACATTGGCTATGGGTTTATTGGAGCAAGTATCCTAATCTACTCAGGCATTGCTATCTCTATGGCTTTATACAGGTATAGTGCCACCGAAAACATATTACTTTCAACTTTTGATCTCGTCAACCACTGACAGGAGCATAGCTATTTCCACCACCGCATGCGGACTATGATGCGATCCATACTTGTCACTGAAATCTTTATCAAGGCCACACAGGCCCGTATTGGCACCTCAGACGATAGTGCTGCCCTCACTCTGATGAGTACGGATATGGAGCGAATTATGATGGGGTTCCGGTCTTTCCACGACATCTGGGCCTCTATACTCCAAGCTGCTCTGGCAGCGTGGATGTTGTACACTCGGCTCGGTGTAGTCTTCGTCGTGCCAATGGGGCTTGTTGTGGTCTGCTTTGGGGGGCTGACAGCACTCGTAAAATTCACAGGGGACTCGCAGAGGGCCTGGATGGCTGGAGTGCAAAAGCGTGTCGGCTTGACCGCCACCGTGATTGCCAACATGAAGAACCTCAAGATCTCGGGCCTATCTTCTGCAGTCAGAGACTTCGTGCAGCAGCTACGTGTCGATGAATTGGCGGCAGGGGGACGGTTTCGCAAAATCGCGATCATCGCGGCCTTGCTTGGCTTCACGCCGCTGCTAATCAGTCCACCACTGACCTTTGCATTCGCTAAGAGGACTTTGGACGCATCGACAATGTTCACAAGCCTGTCGTATCTCTTGCTCTTGACCAACCCGCTGACAACGGTCTTTCAATCTGTCCCCCAGTTCCTCTCGGGACTCGCTTGTTTGGGCCGCATTCAGGCCTTTTTGGAGTGCGAAAATCGCCATGACTTTCGCCAAGTCCTCGCTGATATCAGGTTGGACTCAGAGAAGCCGGCGTCAAGCTCCGAAGCTGTTGGTGCACCACAGTCTGACTCACCTCACCCAATCGTCATCAAAGACGGGAGCTTTGGCTGGGAGGCTGATAAGTTCGTCTTGCGGCACATCAACACAAAAATCTTGAAATCCTCTCTTACACTTGTCGTCGGCCCTGTTGGATCAGGAAAATCAACATTTTGCAAAGCACTGCTTGGTGAGATTCCCTTCAGCAAAGGGAGCGTCACCTTGAGTACACGGTTCCCCCACGTTGGCTTCTCCGACCAGACGGCGTTCTTGGCGAACGGATCGATACGAGACAACATCATCGGGTTCTCCACATTCGAAAATCGCAGATATACCGAAGTGATTGAGGCTACAGCATTAGCCTTCGACCTGGCTACGCTCCCACAAGGCGACAGGACAAACGTTGGATCTGATGGAATTACTCTATCCGGTGGACAGAAACAACGTGTGTCTCTGGCACGAGCTCTCTACTTGCAGTCAGACATGTTGGTCCTTGATGATGTGTTCAGTGGTCTCGACGCAGATACAGAAGAGAAGGTCTTTCGTGGAGTGTTTGGCCCAGACGGGCTGCTCAGGAGGCGAGAGTCCACCGCGGTGCTATGCACTCACAGCATCAGACATTTGCCCGCAGCCGACCACATTATAGCACTTGGAGACGGCACCGTGATCGAGCAAGGAAGCTTCGAGCAGCTTATGAGCAGAAAAGGATACGTACAGTGTTTAGGCCTCAAGAGTTCCTCAGAAAGCGATGTCTCGTCCCAGGATCCTAGTGGTCATCAAGATCTGGAAGCTCCTTTGCTCCATTTGGCGACTACTAAGACATCCGAGCCAGCTCCTGCTGTGGATGAAGCGCGAAGGGCTGGCGACAAGACGGTTTACAAGCATTATTTCAAGAGCATGGGCATCGTATTAGCATCTTCGAGTTTGTTTTTCGGTGCTCTTTGGGGTTTCTTTACAAATTTTCCGACCATCTGTGAGTGAATATTACGCCTCAACAATGGGGCTAGGACTGATACATTGGTTTGGAGTTTCATACTTTCGAAAGCTAACGTTAGTGGTGCAGGGCTCAAGTATTGGTCTGATGATATTTACTCGGACCATCCGACACGCTCCTACGCCTACTATGCTGGAATATATGGTCTACTTCAGATCTGTGCTATGATATCGCTGCTGCTGCTCGGGATTGCGCTCTTTGTCGTCTCTGTGAAGAGAGCGGGCGCCAACATCCACCGAGATGCCTTGCGTACGCTCATACAAGCGCCATTGGGATTTTTCACCAAGACAGACACCGGAGTGGTGACGAACCTCTTCTCCCAAGATCTCAACCTGGTAGATACGGAGTTGCCAAACTCGCTACTGAATACATTGTTCTGTGTAAGTCAAGAGCACGCAAGCACACTTTGAGCTCTCAGTGGTTCCCTCAATGACCACATTCTCTCCTATCCGGCAGGGGGGGGACCCGGTAGATGACGAAGTCAGTTGAGCGTAGCTCGACGATCTGACAAAATGCCCATAGGTCTTCCAAGCCATCGGACAAGCCGCAGTTATGCTCACCTCTTCTGGGTTCTTCGCAATTAGCTACCCGTTCCTCGGCGTGCTGCTCTATATCATACAGAAATTCTATTTGAGGACCTCTAGGCAACTTAGGTTGCTAGACCTCGAGGCAAAGAGTCCTCTCTAGTGAGTTAAACATACGGAACGCTGTCATAATAGGAGACGCCAAAGCATGCTAATCTATATTTATACAGCACGCATTTCCTCGACACTGTCAAGGGTATTACTACTTTGAGAGCTTTTGGTGAGTACGACATGGATGTCGCTGTTACACATGTTTTCCAGTGCCCGATGCCGCGGTATTCTCCAGCTGTCACTTGCTAATTAGTGCCCTTAAACTACTGCTAATATTGGGGAAATGTAGGCTTCATTCCAGACGACATGCAAAAAAATGTGTATTTGATCAATACGAGCCAACGTCCGGCATACCTTCTCCTGATGATTCAATCTTGGCTCGGCCTTGTTCTTGACCTCATGGTGATGGTGATGGCAACGGTGCTGACAACTTTGGCTGTTCGCCTCCATTCGAATTCGGGGTTTGCCGGTGCATCCTTGGTCTCCCTAATGAGCTTTGGTGAAAACCTTTCTGGCATCGTGATATTCTATACCCAACTCGAGACTTCTATCGGGGCCATCGCCAGACTCAAAACGTTTAGCGACAGCGTCAAGCCAGAGGACAGGGATGAAGAGAATGTTACTCCACCTGAGCAATGGCCATCCAAGGGTGTCGTGGAGCTGAAGGGCGTGTCTGCTGCCTACGAGTAAGTCTACTATCCGTCCTTCTTCTCTTTTCCGAAATCGGATTGGTTGCTAGCTACTGACGATTCGGACAGTGTGGGAGATCAGGTAGACGAGAAGCCAAGTCTAGCCCTCCGCGACGTCCACCTCAAGATTAGGTCGGGCGAAAAGGTGGCTATCTGTGGCCGTACCGGCAGCGGAAAGTCCAGCCTGATTGCACTTCTCCTCAAGCTTCTTGATCCGACCCCAGAGACCGCAGCCCAGTTGGAAATTGACAGCACGCCACTTCGAAGTGTAAATCGCGCTGCATTGAGACAGCGAATAATCGCGGTCCCCCAGGAAGCTGTGTTCCTACCGGATGGGTCAACCTTCCAGGCCAACCTGGATCCATGTAACGTTTCCTCTGCCAACGAATGCAGAGATATCTTAGCGGCGGTAGGTTTGTTGCAATTTGTCCAAGAGCGGGGCGGGGTGGAAGCAGGCATGAACGCAAGCACCCTCAGCGCCGGACAGCGACAGCTGATGTCGCTCGGTCGGGCACTCTTGAGGCGTCGGATACGGGCCAGAAATCTTGGCATGGGGTTGGATGGCTCCGAGGGTGGTCTCTTGTTGCTGGATGAAGTCAGCTCCAGTGTGGACCGTGAGACGGAAGGTGTTATGCAAGAGATCATTCAGAAGGAGTTTGAGGGGTATACTGTCATCGCGGTTAGCCATCGACTAGATATGATCATGGATTTTGACAGAGTTGTCGTCATGGACACTGGGGAGGTCGTGGAGGTCGGGAATCCGATGGTATTGGCCGAGGAGGCAGATTCTAGGTTTGGTGACTTGGTGAGGGCCGGATCCAAATAGATAGAAATGCAACCAGAGAATATTTAATGATGCTATTTGGCCTTGACTGAGATTAGAAATTAGAACAACCCCATTCCCGAGCCACAGTATCGTATTCGTTTGATCTGACTAGACTCGGGCTACCCTAGGGTACTCTCCAGATGTCCGATGCAACAGACCAGAAGACTTTCATCCCTGTCGGAGCTCGGCAGCTTCGTCCTTGACGCGGAGGAAGCCTTCAAAATATTGCTGCAGACTGTCGAAATCGTCCACATCACCTGCCCAGGCGACATATTGGTCGGGCCGAACAACAACAACACAGCCACGTTCCTTGTCAATACCATAGTTTTTGTATGCATCGCCAAAGCCTTCGTGATAGCTCTCGTCATCGACAAATACCTTTTCATAATCCCAGCCTGTAGACTTGTCGAACGGGTGGAGGACTTCGGGGAAATCTCTCAATAGTTCGGTTTCAGTACGCCTGGATGAGTGGATCGTGAGAACCTCCACAACGCTGTCGATGGGCGCCTCGTGTGATTTTCCACGACGGATGAAGCTTTCATTCGCGTCTAGGCGCGCACAGAATCGATCAACTCGCGCTTTCTGGCTAGCTTCGAGTATATTGCCAGCAAATAAGACGACCCGGAAGCGGCCATCAGCCTTGAGCCGTTCTTGAGAATGCCAAGGCCGAGCGTCAGCCTGGTTCAGAACCTTGAAACTGTTGAAACGCATTCCAACTGGGAGACCAGTGGCAACAGATGGGTCCGAGGTATTTTTCGCGACGAGCTCGCTGGAGCCGTACTCCACGGACAGCCCGCTTGCGAACATATTCCCTTTAAGGAAAGCGTCCTTGAACTCTTCCATGGAAACTCCTTCGGCGTCCATTACATCCTTTGCAGGCCTCCCTGAGAAGAGGCGACTGAAGCGATGGTCAAAGTCGATCAGGTCTTGAGCCACCTGTCGCCGTTCACTTGCATAGGTGGAAAGGATTTCTGGTTTTGCAATCCCCTTCGAGACAAGAGCGATCTTCCAGCCGAGGTTGAATGTGTCTTGCATAGACACATTCATTCCTTGGCCAGCCTTGGGTGAGTGCGTGTGGACTGCATCTCCAGCCAAAAAAATGCGGTTGTGCGATGAGAAGTCGGTACCCACGCGTTGACCGATCTGGTACGCAGTCCACCAGTCACAATACTCGTACTCAAGCTTGTATGGCTGTATAATTTTCTTTGCCGCACCAAAAATTAGTTCCGGGGTGATCTTGGAGCGGTCCGCCCGCCCGGTGGCGTCTGGTGCCACCTCCTTGAGCTGAATATAGAGTCGTACAAGCTTGTTCTCCCGGGGTATCACCATGAGACTGCCATTTTCGGCCGAGTGGATTGCACAGCGCATACGAATGTCAGCTGTACATGTGGAGTGCTGTTAGTGACGTTGACGCATGAGGAAAAGCCTCCGACTACTCACGAAAGTCAGTTATGGGGATTATGTCCATAACGCCCCAGATAAAATCTGTTGCCTCACCCTGGAGCTCAAACCCAAGTTGCCTGCGTGTCCAGCTTCGAGCACCATCGCACCCCAGGACATACTTTGCGTGCACGGTCTCTCTCTCCCCGGCCCGAGAACCATGTTGGATCAGCTCATTTTCGTCATCTTCGTGGTTCAGACTGCTGCGGAACAGCCCATCCCCAACTTTGCTGCCGCTGTTCTGTTGCTCTGGCGTGGACTCCTCCTCGGAGAGATGTTGTAGCTCAATCTTGACCGGGTACGCATCTTCATCCTCAAGCTTTGACTCGTCTATACTCAGTGATGCAGGCAGGACGGCGCGTTCGACTTTGATGCTGTCGTTTGAGTACTTCCTGATGTTGTCGAGGAAGAACCGCTCAATACGGCCTTGGTGTAGCACAATCTGTTGGAACCGAGACAGTCCCACGATCGTGTCCGGAATTCGATCAGAACGCCGGATAACCCCGTCTTGCCCAGGGTTCTGCAGTCAAAACAAGGTCAACACGGCTCCTGACACTCAAAGGTCATCTCAGCAAAAGGGCACAGGCCCGCTCAATCGCACTTACCCACATGCAGATCTACCCCGAGTCAGTAAGCTTCCACAAGTACAGTAATTACCACTTATGGGCGGGCTCGTTACCTAGGTATCTTACCTCAATCATGTGGTTGGCTTCCTTCCAGGCCCGGTCGCCAAAGCCAAGGCTGTCGAAGATCTCCAGACTGCGGCATTGGAGCCCGTCCGCTTGGCCGGAAAAGATTTTTGCGTTCCTCTTGTCAACAATTCGCGTATTGACACCGCAGTGGGCCATCCACGCAGCGGCCATCAACCTTTGGCCAACGACGATGTCAGCTACTACCTGGGCCTTTGGCCTCTCTACATACGACCATGTCAGCTTACCCTGCTGGGCCTGCCCCAATGATGAGCCTAGAGCAAAGTCAGTCGCTGATTGATCAATTTTCTAAGATGCAACAGCTGGGCTGTTACTGACACGTCGATGTTTGATTCTATGCCAGCACCATTCGCCTGGCCAGGAGTGGGGCCATGGGAGTTTGTGTTGGTAGCCATGTCTCTTCGGCCTCACCAGACACCGAATCACCAGCGTGATTACTTTGCTCTTGATTTGGTGAAAGCAGTCAACCTTGACAGGTGATGTATGTCGCGAGTCTGGCTGGCTCGCTCCCAAGCAGCGGGGTCGCAGTAGTATTGGCAAGACTGACGTAGCCCAGGGTAGTGGACCTCCTCTTTCACAATGCGGAGATTACAAGTGGATGGATCTCCAAATTTGTGTCTGGAGGCCGGCAAGGGATGATTGGAGACAATATGACGCCCGGCCTCGGCCGGACTATGCGACTAATATTTGCAACCGTTGCACGCCTATACGATTTTGGGGCGCTCGAGAGTGTCTGGGGTCACGACGCTCGAGGTCCCGCTCAAGATGGTCAACGACGCAGTCCTCGGCCCGCTGCTTAATATCGAGGAGAGCGGATATTCGTACCCGCAAAAATAGATAGTACACCCGGTATTAAAATAAGTATATAATTTAATTACTAACTTAATTTAAATAAATAATATAATTAATATATTAAACTTTAAATTTTATATTTTATTAAACTTTTTATAAATAAATATAATAATATTAAATTAATATTATTATAAGTTTTATTATTTAATTTATTTAAATATTATAAACTTTTTATTATAATATATTAAAAAAGGTTAATTTTAAATAATATTTTATATAGGAAATTATTAAGTTAAATTAAGTAAAATTATTTAAAAACTATTATTTTTAATACTTTATTTTTATAAATTATATTAAATTATTTATTAATATCTTTAATATATATTTATAAAATAAATATTAAATAAATAATTTAATTTTATTAGTATTAAAAATAATAAAAGTATTTATATTAATTATATACTTTTTTAAAATATTAATAAAAGTATAAATTTAATTATAATTTTAATATATATTTTAAAAATTTACTAACTTTAAATATAAATATTAATATAATTATCTAAATAACTTATTAACGTTAATTAACGTAGTAATTATAATAATTAATTTAATAATTAATTATCCTTTAAATATTAATAGTTTATAAACTTATACTATTATATATATTAAATTAAACTTATAAGGCTTTTTATAATATACGTGAAATATTTCAATAGTAAGACTTAATAGTTTTCCTTATTATCTTTATAAAACAATTTATTACGACTAATGTATGATGAATTACCTAAAGTGTAGATGTAGTGTTGGCCGTAGCCCTAGGTGAGGCCCTCACAGCACTTAGGTAGCCCATATAACCGTTTCATACTGTCTCTCGTGCATCAAGTTGAATGCAAAGTCCTGTAAAATGTCTTTGATGCCTGAGATCTTATCCCAGTAACCTTGGAAGATCAATGCTCTCCAAGAGCGTCCCCTTTCACTGGCTCATAGTGAGCCCAAAAAAACAGCATCGCGGGCGACCCTAGCCCGATGTCCAAAACCGATCGATCAGCAGCAAGTTCCGTGTTAGGCTTCACGGCATTCCGTGTCATGTTGCCTCTAAGCAGCGGAATGTCAGTCAAATTCCTTCGCCTCGGCCTTATATGTGGATCACCCTCATACCTTTGCATTTGCGCCTGCATAGTACCTATGCCACGCACTTCTCGCAGTACTCTGATCCCCTAACATCAGGCTGGTGCCACGTGATACCACCCGCGCCGCCAAAGGGTATGCATTCCCCCCACGGCTTTTTCTTGTCCTTAGCCACCTGGCACCTTTTCTTCTTTGTCTCGTAATTGGCATTGGTGACACTTTGGCACGTCTTGTTTGCGCACAACTTTCTTTGTGTCTGTACTTCACACATGCTTGCTGTCTCTCTCGGTTGCTGCTGCTTGAAGATGAATTATTTCTGTAGGGTGTGCTTGAATCGTTCTTAGAATTTATCTCGTCGAATCTGATTCTCTTAGGGTTCTTGGTTTAGCAGATAATCGTCTTCTTCAGTGCAAGTGTTGCTTTGACGTGTGTGGTCTTATTGATTCCAGTGGCAGGTTGTTGGAGGAGCTCCTAGCTACTTATAGTGGAATAAATATAGATGACGTTTGAATCACTCGTAAATGCATACACGCTCATCAGCCCACTATGACTTCTATATGGGATTGACTTGTAGCGTGCACAGCCCGCACACCGGAGTCACAAAGCCTTCCCCTTGTAGTGTGTTGTAAGAAAGCTGGCATGCAATGATAAGTCTTTCACTGGTTTCGTTCTCATCTTCTCAACCGCACTAAACCCTTTGGACCCATGTACTTAATTGTGAGAAATTTGTTAATCACTGGAGTCAAGGCCGCAGTGATAAGATAATTCTATAGCTCACCTGGGGACTCCCTTAATGAGATGATCGTGAAGGCCACGGCAATGATAATGTCTAGTCTGGCGTGCGTGAGGACCGCAAAATAGGGGCTGTACTATATAGAATGACCCTAGAAATGGGTACTGCACGGGTCTGCATTGGTGAAGAGGGGCTACACCGGCGGAGCTCGCTCA